ATCTTAAATTTCCTTATTAGCTAATCTCATAATTTCTGCAAAATACAGACTGAAATAATAAGTGTTAATAGTCGCAATATATTATATAGTAATGAGGATAATTTGCGTGATATTGAAATTGGGAATTCAATCAATACAATAATTAAGGAGCGAGTAGATGAAGTAGGCTTATTTAATTTAACATGTCAGATCTACTTCATTGTTAATGGTTCAAAACTAACTCAAAAAAGGTCATACAAATTTGCAGTCATAGCTCCATTCAATATATCACATAGATTATTTTATCACAATGACAATTTGAAGAAAAGCAAACTTTGTTTTATTGAGGTATCTCTAGAAAATATAACTCATCAAAGCATATCACTAGAAAAATTAGATATACAAAATTGGATAGATGAAAAAGGGAATAAGCAGAATATCCAAGTATCACAATTAAGTACTACACAATTCTATGATGAAAACTGTAAAAATACTTCACAATTATTATATAATAGTGGAGTTATTGTTTTACGTCCAAGATCTAGATATAATCAAATATTCTGTATATCTCAATCTCTTTATAAGGAATCTATAAATAATATTGATAAATATATAACAGGGCAGCTATCTATTTCTTGGAAAAGCAAAACATATGGTGATGCTTTTATGAACTCCTACAGTATTACTTGTCAAGTTTCTAATGAAGATATATATAACTTAAATGGAGTAGCTATAGATGTTATAGTTCCCTCTACAATTGAAATTCAAACTATCTTCACTATTGAAGTAATTATAATTAATGATACTGATAAAAGATTGCATGATATTGAATTAAGTATAGACAATGAAGCTTTACTTCCTTTTTGTATCCTTGGGATGGATATACTTCAAATTAAATTTATGGAACCAAATCAAAAAATCACAATTCCACTACAGTGCATCTCTTTCACATCAGGAGTTCATCCCATAAATGGAATTAAATTAATAAATTCTTCTGGAGAAGAGGTAAGTTTTTATTGTTAATAAATTTCGATAAGAAAAGTAGGTGAAATATAATATAATATTTAGTGATAAATAAGATATTTATTAATTCTTATTTGCTTATATATTGTAGATTTGTAAATTATATGGAAATAAAGAAATACTTGTGACATAAATATTTAAAGTATGCTAATAGGACTACATAAGCAAAAGGATATAATTACTTACCTTTGTATATACCTTATACTTTATATTTGATAAAACACCAATCCAAAAATTAATAGTAAAGTTTATATGGACAAGTTAATAAATTATGGATTTCTATATTTATAGACTTAGTATTAGAGATAGTAGAAAAAAGTTTAGGTTCTTGTTGATATAACATTTCGATGATTTAAAATATTTAGTTGTTCATTTATTGTATGGATTCTAATTTAGTTAGTTTAATATGAATTATTTAATAATATCAATAACTGATAAAAGAAATTTGCATAACTACTTATTAAAAAATTTAGAACTAATTTTTTCAGTTCTTAAAGCTGACTTGAAACCTCTTCTAACTACTCGAATAACTTGGTATTTTGACATGCTTAAAAGTATGTCTAGCTCTTCAGTTGACTTTTTACAACGAAGTAATCAGTTCATAAACAAGTGTAAAAAATAAAGGAATTCATTGAAATAACTTTAATAGACTGACTTTTTATGAAAATCTACAACACTTTGTTTTGATTTCTTCTTATTTCCCCAATAGGAAGTTACAAAATTCCCAAAATCATAGAGAATAGATAAAAGAGCAGGAGCTATTATGATACCTGTTATTGCAGATACACATAGAACAATAGTTGTGATCCAAAGAAAAACTTTAAAAGCTTCTGATGTTGCAAATGCCAGGAGTACAATACCAAGAAAAGTAGATATAGCAGCATACAACACATTTGGACCCATATCTAATAAAGAATCCTTAATACGTTCAACTCCATTATCTCTGTAAGTGATCAAAAATAAGTGTGTTATATGAACAACATATTCAATTGAGAATGAAACAGCTGTAGCTAATACCATAAATGCAACAATATCAAAAATAAGACCTGTAATATACATACACAAAATCACAATAACATCAATTCCACCGACAACAAGTCCAATAAAAATTCCAGTAAGAGGGTTTTGTATAATACAGAGTATTATTGAAACCCCCAATGTAACATACAAGAGAAGTTTCCAAACAATGGATAATATATGAGAATCTCTTTCAGCTTCTGCAAACCAATCACTGTATATATAAGTTCCTGGAAATTGTTTATTGAATACAACATCAATTAGATTATTCAGTCGTGTTAGGGTCTCATAATTATATTGCGAATTATTGGGATCATATTTTACAATAAGTAAGATACGAGATATTTGAATACCATCTTCTGGGTTTGGATTAAATATGAGCATAGTAGAATCATGCATTTCTGGTATTACATTTTGTAAGAAAGGAGTAACAGAACCTACATTATCTGGAGTATGTTTTGTATTGAGATATGAAATAGTACAAATAGTATCATCTTGATTTTGATCATCTTTTACAACTTTTTGATTTCTCCAATTTTCCAAAAATTTGTAATACTCACTTTTTGGAGCATTAGCAGGAGGTTCTGGAATATCAACATCTCCAGTACATTCTGCAAAAACTGCATAAATATGATTTGGATCTTCTGTATATTTATTTCCTGTAAAAAATGCTTCATAATCATGTACCCAACTTATAAGTGGACCTGTAATTGCTGGATCTTTAACTAAAATATTATCTACTAAATTAATAAAATTTTTGCGAACTTGACGATCTGACCAGTCTACTTTGTCACTTCCAGGTAATACAACAAACATAGGGCGAGCTTCTGAACCCCAAGAATTTGCTAAGGTTTCTTCAAAATAGTGTAAAGGTGACGATGGAGGTAAATATTTTTCAGCACTGAATTCTGTATTAACATGGCGTCCATATATAATACCTAAAATTACCATTATTAAAAAGAATAAACATGCAAATACTCTAAATGTAAAACTACACATTATTCTTAATATCAGATCAACCTTAGATGATTCTACCATTAAACGGCCTACCCAAATATCTTTCATATCAATATCTGATATATCTTCATTATCATTTGTAGATGAAGATTTATCTAACTTATTTGCATGCAAATTATCTTTATTTAAAGCTGATCTATCATTCCACCAATTTTTGGCCTTTTTATACTTTCTAATCACACCTCTACGGACACGAAATACAGGTTTAAAAATGAAACTACGTAGTACCAGTTTACTTTGTGAGGTTTCATTGACTTCATTTGATGAAATATCAACTTTCAAATTTGAAATATCTTCTCTTAAAAAAAGATAATTAGATTTCTTTTCTGACCATCTAAAACGTATAAAGGGTAATATATCACATTTTCTTTTAAAAACCCTCCTTTCATCCAATACAAATGATGGTAAGAATATAAGCCAGTGAAACATAAAAAGATACATAATTCCAAAACCTGCATGAATACAATAGTAACGTACAATTGGAAAATCTACTACAGTTCCTAGAAACAGAGCTGCACAGGATGTCAAACATGTCAGTGTAATAGAACTGAATACAACCGACCCAGATTCCACTAATCTTAAATATAAAAGTACTTCATTATCCCACATATTCTTAGAATCTAAATCATTATTAATTATCTTTTTCTCTCCATTAATCTCTAAAATAACTTCATCAATTTCAATACTTGATGCAATATAGGGTGTTCCATTAACTTGTTTTATTCTTTTATTTCCTTCTAAACTAGTGTTAGGAGGATCTTTATATATCTCATCATCTTCAGATACTTTTCTTGCTTGTGTCTCATTTGACTCTATCTTAGGGAGTTTTTCTATACTTTGGGTATCAAAATTATCATCTAAACTTATCTCACCACTAATTGTTTGTTCTGATGTTAATGTAGTCATATTTCTTCTTTCTTTTAAAAATTTTGCCCCAGGTTCTTCGGGGAAAAAACCTTTCCATGGTCTGTAAATATATTGGGTAATATCAAGAAATACATCATTGTCACAAATACGGACATATTTTGGATTAAGTTTAGAAAGATGGTTATGGGGTATACGGAGATATATCTTAGTTTTGGTATAAGTTCGGACTGTAATTATCATATAACTCACAACAATACCTAATAGCATATGAATAAATAACGGAGTTAAGGCTGATATTGGGACCCCAAAAACCATCCCTGTAGCAAAACTTCCCACTGTAGCATATACAGTTATTAATATTACTGTTGAAGATAACATAATTCTAGATTTTTTAGGGAATCTACCAGATATACAACCTGCCATAAATAATATCATTAATGCAAACGTAGCTAATAATAAAGGAGTTTCCTTATTAGCTAGTTCTGTCGTTTCATTTGATACATATTCTTCAGAATAATGAATAATATTCCATAAATTTGGATATTTAGTCACATCTATTGATTTGAACAATTTATTAGAATTATCTTCATATTCACTATCTAATTTTCGAATACTTTCAAATTCAGAAATAGATGTACTATTATTTGAATTCTCTTTTGTTATATTATAAATCTCATTAACTTGTAAATTTATACGATTTATTATATCTTCATTTAAAATATCATCTTCATTTAAAATATCATCTTCATTTACTTCTTGTCGAATACCATCTCCTGATAAAATATCAATCATATTTTGTTTACGAGTTTTCTGAACTAATTCAGCTACTTTATTTTCCCAAGCAATAATAACATCACTTGGTATTGTAGAGTTAAGACGATAAATAGACATTAAATGTTGAGTATTATTAATTCCAAAAGGCCATTCAGGTAAATCTTTATCATATGTATATTCATGTGGATAATATGCATGCTTAATAAGATTACCAGCTGCAAATTTTTTTATATCTACTCCTCCACAGCAGTCACCAGTAAAGGCATTATCAAAATCTTCTTCTGTAAAAATTCCCTTACCTGAATTTGCCATAAATAACCCAAAAATAGATACAACAATACAAGGAGAACCTGTTATTGATGTTCCTGTAGGTTGGTGAAGACAAATATTATCCCAACTCCAAATCTTACCAGTTTTATCTGTTACTGTAATATTCTGAATAGCCAATTCATTCAACCATATCTGTTTAAGTGGAATATATTCTAATAAAGATGTTCCACTAGGTCCCATATTACTATATAAAACTGGGACTATTGGTGAATCTTTCCCAAATAAATTTCTTAGTTCTGTTTTACGTTTTGAATATATAGATTCTGTTGGGACAAATAAATTTGGTGATCCATTTATTTCTAAATAAAAAGGTTTTAATTTCATTAAACCCAACGCTACAACTAATCCAAACATCAAACCAATTGTATTACCAAATATTAATAGTATTCTAGGATGTTTAATAGCTCCTCGTGATGTAGTCTTACCAAGTCTTTTTGTATATCTATCAAATAAATGAGTACAAGAAAAAAACTTAAGTGAAGAAATTTTAGATAATTCATTCCTCTGCTGTCTATCTCCATCTAATGTTGATTCATCTTGAGTTTCTAAAGAAGTACTAGAATTATGTCTTAAAATTTCAAATCTACGCCAAAATTGCCACCACCGTATATTATCATATTCTTCATCATTAGTAGACTTATCAATATTAAATACTTGTAAATTTACTTGATTTACTTGAGATTCTAAATGATCTGTAGATTGGATCCTTACATCCTCTGAATCATTATTCAAAGAATCTTCCATATCTACTGGATCTATAATCTCTTCTTCTTTATTAGACATTTCTATTTGTATCTCAATATTATAATAAGTTTATTATCATTTATTATTAAATCCAGTCTTGATGTTGAACTATAAAATTGAATATTACGCAAATATATCCCTTATTGTATAAATTAAAATAACTTTTACTCCAAGATAGTCCAATACCTACCTAATGAAGGGAAGAACAGTGGTACCCAAAATATCAACTATATGTAAAAGGATTTCTAATAATTAAATAACTTCAATTTTCTTTTTTTTTTAAAAAATAAAACCCCCTCAAAGAGTTGAGTAAATTTCTCAATTTGAAAATTGTTAATGTACAAATAGGCGCCAAAATAATGACAAGATAATGTTAAGGCGCCATATTTTTATATTTATATTACTGGATCTTTTAGGCCATATAATAAATTATTTAAGATAATTTATTATAAAAAAAAGAAAATTTATTTAGTATACGATATCTTAATCAATAATATATTAAATACCTTCTTTTCTCTATTTCCCTTATTAAAAGATATAAATTAGATATATTATCAAATATCTTTTAATATTGTGGATTTCAGCTTAACAATTTTAATATAATAGTTAAATAAATATTCATTTAATTTACTCTCTCCCTATAATATTTGAATCTATTAAATACGGTATCTCGGCTGCTAACCAAGGAGCTAAACCCATAGCAAGTACATGGGCAATTCCAAATTTGGGGCAGTTCTTTGCCCATAATGGAATAAAGTGAATATCTAAACATATCTTTCCTCCACGATACATCTTTTCTGTCTTACCATCTAATTGTGGCAATTCAATTTCTATTGGAGTTAATGGATATTTATCGGGTATCTAAAAATAGTTATTAGTAATAGTTATGAATATAAAAAAACAAAAAATTAATATATATAATACCTTAAACTGAAAATCAAATTCATATTTATCCATATTATATATATACCAACATTTACCCGTCCATCTAAAATATATTTAAATTATATTACTTTATAAATTTTAGTAATATTCTACTTACTCTGTTCCTTGAGGATTTGATTTAATATAAAACCAATCTTGACCTGTCTCTTTAAGTAATGTAATATACTTTATAATAGATGATAACTCTTCTTTGAGTCTATTATTCCATTCCTTATTATTAGGACCAGCATTTAAACTCATTAAAGGAATCTTATCAATTATTAAACGGTTTTTGAAATTATTCATTATTAAAATTATACACTGGAGCGCGGAGGTTCTACTATTCCAATATCTTGTAATGGGATATTTTGACATTCAATATCACTTGATCTAATAGTATAACAATATAGAAATATGATTATATAAGTTAATATAATACTTGAAAATAATACTAAAGATATACAAGTACCAGAATATACACAGAGGCTTATGTGAATAAATTCCTGATTACCTGAATGACAAATAATATACATTAATGAAGATACTGTAATATATAATACATCAACTATAATATTTAATCCATATATTGTAAATAATAAAGTATCTATATCTGTAAAATAATTGAATTGTTCATATCTATGGGGTATAATAATAATTCTAATTGCCAATATTATAAGTAGAGTAATATTAAATATTGAACATAATACAAATATTAAACTAATAGGAGATCTTGGAACTGGTGTAACCCTATGTAATATTGAAAATATAGCTGATATCATAAATATAAACATATCGAATACTAAATATTTTATATAACTAATGGGCCATTTAGAATTAATATCGCAAGTTTCTTGTAAATTACCTATATATTCAAGAAATTGAGTTAAATATAAGCATCCAATAATTCTATTTACAATAATTCCAATTATGATTGCAATAACTGTGATATTTATAAGTGAATTAATAGCTAGTAAGGGTAAAATTATTGATATAATTATTATAGTAATACAATGCCATAATATTGAATTATATTCAATAAGGTGATCTCTATTATTATGTTCACGATCTATTTTTGAGTTTTTCATTTCATTAAGATTAAAGGCATTCATCCACTTAGCTTTCATTATATCATCTTCTCAAATTACAAAGATATCAATTTTAAAGGATAATCCACAAATATTGAAGAATATAATATATAATTAAAATCTTTTAAATAAATGATTCTAAATATTGATTTTAGCCAGAAAACTTCTTGATATACTACATTCTATTTTTTACTTGACAATATTTCGTTATTTTTGCTACAATATCTCTTCAATTCTCTTTTCTTTAAATTAAAAATAAATAATGATTATTCTATTGTAATATAATCTTAATATAATGTAATTCAAAGGTTATAACCTAGTTTTTATGTCAAATAAAGACAATAGAAACCTCAACAATTAGAATTCGAGTATAATTGCGCTTAAGATAGTGAAAACTATAAATTATTGGCGCCAGATATGTAATATTGCGGCAATTTTGATCAAAAAATACAGCTATTTGTTTTTAGATAGACTTAGTGGTTGAATACTAATATGGAAGATATTGGTAAATTTCCGTTATTTTTGGACTATAAATGTTGTATTGTATAAGTTAGTGGAACTGAAGATAATTATTAAGATTTAAAAAAGAAGTTGATAATAGCTTTGATATATTTAATATGATATTTATAAATTATATAATTTTAAGTTTAAAGTTATGTTTTTTATTAGAATATATTAGATTCTATGTAAAAGCTACAGATAAATTATTATATGAATTAGAAACTATAAAATCATCTTTACCAGAATTTATATATAGTGAACCCTCTAGTAAACTTCCACTTAAAGGCAGTGATCTTATATCTTTTAATAAACAACAATCTTCTACAGCTAATATTACTAATACTAAATTAGGGTAAGTATTAATAAAGTATTTTTTTTGTAATAAAGCCAATATATTTTGATATTATTAATGTATTTTATTTTATAGATTATCAACAATAAAACTTTTAAAAAGGCCTAAGCGTAAAGTTGATACTTCAAAATATTCTATTCCAAATATTCAAGATAAAGAAGATGATTTATATACAGATCTCCAGAGTTTAGAGGAACAAATTAAAGATATGAAAGATAAAATTAGTTTACTTAAAAGTGATATATTTACTAATTCAACAACAAAACCGGATACACTTCCAATTATGGCAATTCCACAAAAGTGGGATATAAATCCAGAAAAATCTATTGAATCAAGTCAAGAACCTGAGTTAGATCCAAATTTAAAGAAATGGTTTGATGAATTACAAACTACCTCAATACCTTCTACTAACTCTATACCAGGTTCTAAATATCCTATATTAGATGATCCAACAAGGTAAATTTTTACTTTATATATATACTTGTATTTATTTTAAAATATTTTATTTATTTTAGGCCAAAGATTTTGAAAGAACAATTGAAGAATACTCCAAATTGGAAAGGCTCAGCTGGACAATTAATCAAGGGAGTAACACCTATAGATAAACTTTCAATAAATTATGATGATGAAGATCGTTCAATATTACCTGAAATAAATATTGAAATAGGGGTAAATGAAGATACGAATACAGTGGAATTAAAAGATCCTGAAGAAGTATCTCTTAAAGAAGATTTATTAAAGATAAAACCTATTTTATCAGATAATATTTCTGGAGGTAGTATTATTGAGGAGAAAGATTTTGAATATAGAGGCGAATTATTTGCAAAAGATCCTATTGATTTTAAGAATACAATGGAAGATCCTGTACCAATTGATTTTCATAATATTGAAGATGTTAGTGAAGATTCTTTAGAGTTTAAGGAACTAAAAGAGATATTTCCAGTAAGACAAAAAAGAAATAAATCGAAGGAAATTAAGAAAAATTCTAAAATAAAGAAGATTAATACTGAATATTTAAAACATATAAATTCATTATCATCATTACCATTATCATCATCAAAAGAGAAATCCTTAGAGTTACATATTGATAATATTCAATCTTTGGATACCCTACCACTAACATCTATTATATCTACTGATAAATTTTCATTTAAATCTAATAATAATAAAAAATTATCAAATTCTATATCTAAAATTAAAAAAAATAATTTTATTGATTCTTCAGGTTATAAAGACTTGGAATTTATTCAAGAATCTAATTTGTTAAGTTCACCTTCAACAATAATAGAAGAAGAGAATTTGTCAAAAAGTTTATTATCTGAAAAATTCCCTTTAAAAGAATCTATGAAAAATTTGTATTCTAATAAATTAAATCAAATAAATACTTTAGATAATATAATAATAAAAAATAAAGATTCAATAATTAAGCAATCAGGTAATAAATTACAAGAATATATTACTAAGTCTCCAAAAGGTAAATCTTTTATACAAAAACCTATAAATACAACAGGTTATACTGATTTATTAATAGAAGATTTTAAATTATTTCAAGATATTGGAAACTCATTTGATAAAAAAATCATTGGTAAAATTGAAAAAACAGAATCTCAGTTACAAGATAATATAAATAATGGTATTGTTACTAATAAACAGAAACAAATTAGTAACCCTACAATTATTTCTCAATTAAAATCTAATCAAATAAATAAATCATTATTAAATAATGATATTTTATCTAAGGGGTTTTATAAACAAAATTCAGATATTACTTTAATACCTAAAAATAATAGTTTTAATTTATCATTATTAGATATAAATCCAAAACATATATTATCTAAAAATTTATTAAATATTACATTAAGAAATCAAAATATTTTAAAAGGTACTAATGAACAAATAAATAATAAAGTTAATAATATAACTAATAAAGAATCTAGAGTTATGGATATTTCATATAATAAAGTGAAGGAAAAATCTGAAGATAAGGAAAATCAGCTTTTTATATTTGGAGAACTTGGTACTAACATAAAGTTACCTAAGAGGAAAAGATAGATCTATATTATTTAGAATATAATAAGTTCTTAATTATTTTATTTCATTCTTTAAAATTAGGATATTTATTATTATTATAAAATTATTATGATTTATTTATGATTTCTATTTAAATATTTATTAAAGTATTTTTATTTCTAAATATCTCTTAAATATATTTTATATAATTATCACGTTATTATAAATACATAATAGCGGTAGATATTTAGAATAATTAGATCTAAACTTAAGTTTCTTTTATTATGTTTTATTAAATATTTAAGTATATAAAATATTTAAATATGACTATTCTACATTTAAATTTAACCTATATTATAATATATGGTTTATTTATATATTTATTAAGAGTAGAAACGGGAACATCTTTAAATATAGATTTGTTTCATATTAATAGTAAGTGAGGAAACTTATAAGATTATTAAATAAATCATTAAAATAAAACAATTTCTTTATATTTTAAATTAGAAAATAATAAAAAAAAAAAGTCATCTAAATTTGATGAAGTTGTTATGGGTATAAAAACAACTGATATTGAAAAATCACTTGAAAATGATGATATTCTTGAAAGTAAAACCTTTGAATTATCTGAAAGTAATACAAAGTCATTTGATATAACTAAAAATATAAATATAAAAAGTAGTGAATTTGTTAAATTATGGTTAGATGATGTAGATATTAGATCATTTGGAACATCTAATATTGATAATATAAAAACTATATATTCTACAAAGGAAGATGAAAATATTTTTAGTGATAATGAATATCAAATAGATTTTCTTATGATGGAAAATAATATTCGTGAAAAATTAAAAACTATTCGTGAATATGAAAATATAAATAATAATGAGACTATAGATATAGATGATTATACTAAGAGACGAATTATATCTGCAGGAGTTCAGATAAGTGTACCAATTGAACAAGAACAAGATAAAGATAAATTGATTAAACAAAATCAACAAATAAATAAGATAGAATGTAAAGAAATGGAAATTCAACCAATAATTCTTACTGAATCTAAGCAATTAATAGCTGTACAAATATTAGAAGGTATAATCCCAATTCATAAAATAGGGAATCAAGTTACTGAAGATTATTGTAAAGGAAATCCATCATATGAAATTAATCAGTTAAATATTAACCAAGATAATAGTAAAGAAATTCAAGAAATAATTAAGAAATTAAATAATAGTAAACAAAAATTAAATCAATCTATAGCAGAGAAGAAACTTCAAATAACCCAATTAAGGTATGAATTAGATAATATGGTAAATTCTGTAAATCCTTCAAAATCAGGGAATATTGAGCTAACTAAGAAGGAATTGAGAAAAAAGAATATAGAACTAAATGATTTAATTTATAGAAAACAAAAAATAAAAGCTAATATAACTACTCTTAAGAGATATATTAAAGAGACTGAAGAGATATCACCAGTTAGATCTAAAGGGGAATCTAGAAAAGAGGTTAAAAAAGACACTTTGAATGAAGATACTAAAAAGAAGATTGAAATGTTAGCTAAAATGACTTTATGGCTTCAAGAAAATACCAATGTATCTATTACAAGAGACACGCGTCAAAAGCGTGGTGAGAATACTATAAGACATTTATCACATCTATATATAAATAATAGAGCGCTTTTTGATACTACCGCTAGATCTATAAAAAGTAAATATATAAAAGTAAGGGATTCTAAACGAGCTAATTTACTCAGTAATACATATTCTGATATAGATAAGGAAAATATAGATATATTAACTAATAAGACAATTGGACAAAATGGAGAGGGGGAAGAAGTTGAATTTGTAATAAGTGAAGAATCTACAGTATATTGAAGATCCCAAGATTTTGAATAATGGAATAATTTAGTTAACTCATAATAAGTAATCGATTTTATATAATAAATAAGAATGTACCTTTATTTATAGATCTAACTTAATTATAAATAAGTACAGTTATTATGGAGTTTAGATTATAAATAAACTTTTTTTTCTTTTTTTATATCAATAGTGATACAGTCAATAATATGTATGTATATATATATATATATATAAATATAGAGATGATTTTAAATTTTAAAGTAAGTTCTTCCTTTAATAAATATTAATATTACAAATCCTTAGTTGTATTAATTGAGGTAATCTTAATTTGATCTTAGATACTAATTTACCTATCTTATATATTCCTTGTAAAAAGTAACATATTAGAATATCTTCAGATATGAGTTGATTCTAAAATAAGTCATTAATGAATTCTGAAAACTTGTCTATTATGCGGTATGTAATTACATATTTCTCTTGTCGCCAAATGTTGAATATTGGACTTCGGAAGTAAATTTAATTTAGGATATAGTAATCATATAAATTAAAGATAGATATTTTGCCTATGATGTTCTGCATGTATTAAATGAAGTTCTATTCTGTTGTTTCGAGCTATTGAACCTACTCGGAAGCCAGAGGAATATCATGAAATTTAATTTTTGAAACTGAGGCATTATTATTAATATGTAATACATAAGATATTGTCCTTTATAACTATGAAAATTAGGATATCTATTTAAAATATATCAAATATCATAAAGTTAGAAATGATATCTTACTAATTTAGGATCAATTTATAAATATACCCGATTTATGATGATGATTTCGCTCCCTCTTCCAAATATTCTTATAATGAAGAATTTCTTGCGATTCCGGAATCAATTTAGAAATCTGAATATTGTATTAAAGATTTAGAGTTTCAATATTTATTCAATCTATTAGATTCTTTTTTTATTATATAATTATAGTAGATAAGATTCACTATATGTATGATTCTTTAAATCTTACTAATTTTTATAATATAATGTATTTAATCTTTTTATTATTTGAAATTAGAAGTAATGAAAATCTCCATCTTCTAGATATAACTTAACTTAACAAATTTTACCAGATAATATCATTAATTTGAAATATCTAAATAAGTCTTAATTGTTAATCTATTAGAATAAAATAAAGGCCATATTAAATAATTTAAAGATATTAATTGTTATTGATCTATAATATATTGTAATATACTTAAAAGGAAGTTCCCAAATAAAATAATTTGGAGTGATTTTGTTTTAATATTATTATATAATTGTTCAATCTTTATGATATAAATTTTTTTAGTATTATTTTCAATACAATACCAATTCTTTTCTATATGCAACCTCAACTTTTTACCTCTCAAAGTATAGAGATAATGTTAGAATAACTTATTAAACTATTAGTATAGTAGTAGCAAATACACAAAATATTGAAGGAAGAAATATAGTACAATGATTATAATAAAAAAGTGTAATTTTAAGTATAAGAGTATAAAGATTATATTAAGAGGAAATATTAATGAAGCATTATTTAGAGAAATAATTTAATACATAATTGCACGTATTTTATGTATAAACTTTTTCATTATCTTTTTGTATCCTCTGAAAAGTATTCTCTATCCTGTAATAAATAAAATTCCATTGACTTTAAAAGATCTTCTATTATTACCTGTCTTCATACAAAAATAAAGAGTTTTAATATGTAAGAGTTTATGATAAAATAATAGATAATGCAAATATCCTAGGTAATAGACATATAAATGAGGACAAAATTAATTTATTAATGTTACATTCTACTTTTTTTGTTGAAAAATTAAATAATGATTGAAGATATGTAGAATTTACCTGACAAATTTGAAATATTAATAATCGGATTATATTGTACTAAAATAGTGGAAAATATAATATAAATACAGGTATAAAAAAGTTTTAAACATTTTTTTTTGTTTGTTATACTTTATTATATTTTTAAGTAATTTATAAATATTATTAATATTATAGTGGTAACCCCCAATAAATAAGTTTTGAATTTTCTAATATAATACTTACTGCATGTTAATTAACTGTCCTTATAAACTATTAAAAATACCGCTTAAAAAAATCATACCGTCTAATTTGCATAATACATGTATTATTTATTTTACCGGTACCCTAAATACCTAAAGTTAATATAAAATATTGCAATTTACTATTTGCTAATATTAGTATTATATAAATTTGTAAATTTAGATTATTTATTTCAATATGATTAATTTATTTTGGTATATTTTATTTTTTTTATTAAATTTTTGGTTTATAGATTGTAGATATGGTAACTCAAATGAGGATGATAGTTTAATAATGGGATTAAATTCGGGATCTGCAGAGTTACCATTAATTAATTCTCAATATAGGATAAGAGTAAGGAAAACAGATCCATTATTACGTAGAGTTGTTATTAAGGGGATAGAACCTAAATTTCCCTTAGATATTAATGCTGATGGCCAAATTAATAATCAATCTAAATATTATAAATCTTCAATCCCAATTCATGTCCCACGAATGATAAATAAATTAACTAAGAAATTAAATAGAATCCCTATTATATCACAATCACCTCCTATATTACCTCTTGAACCAGTAGAACGTTTAATTTCATTCGCTATTGAAATTTGTAAATTACCTTCATTATGGTATTTAGAACTGATATATTGTATGTATAAAGGAGTTTTACCTTATATAAATGGAGTATTAATGAGTTATTCTTTACAAGATATTGTAGGAGCCGCATTAGCATCTATGGACTTACCTAGTGAAGGGTTTAATACAAGATATTGTAAGATTGCAATACCACTTTTTAGTGATATTGCTATTCAACCATATGGGGATCAAATTTGTTCAAGAATGCGTCAATGTTTAACTGATCGTGAATTTTTAGATGGTGAAAATATTTATAGAACAAAGAAATGGGAAGATAGAGTTATTAATCTTTATAAAGATAAACCATCATTTTATAGAGGATTACATTCAAGATCTTATGCTCAAAAAATAATAACAGAAATTCTTATGTATCATAGAAAAACTTTAAAAATAATAAAAAATATTTTTCTTTTAATAAGAAAGTAAATATTGATAAATTATTTTATGTTATTAGATATTTCAATATGATATTTATACTTAATGAATTCTTAATAGATAATGGATATAAAAATCCAGATGTATTTGAAGTTTCTATTAGTGATTATTCTGCTATTGGTGATAATAGTCTAAATAAAAAGTCAGTTTTGAAGATGATAGCATCATGTATTAATAGTTTAATAGATATTCATTTTCTATCAAATACTGTGGATTATTTACCATATTTAACTTCTGTTGGTTATTCTCCATTTTCTAATACTATAATGGAATATGCTTGTACAAAAATGATTTCAATAGGATTTATTAGTAAAAATGTTGAAGTTCCAAAAACACTTTCTAAAAAAGAAGTTGTATTAATTGCAGATCCAGGTATTTTATATAGAAATAGTGAATGTGACTATAGTCAATATTTGTTAGAAGGTGAATGTAATAAAATAGATGATAATAGACCTAGCAAACTTTTAATTGAAACACCAGGATCTTCAACAAAATTAGATTCTGTTGATATTAATAATACAGAATTTGGTAAACAATTTAATGAAGAATCTGAAAGTAAATATCAAATAGAAGAAATAAAGCAAGAACTAGATAATACATATACATTAGATATTGATTCAACTTGTAGTGAATCTATAGATAAACCTGCAACGAAAACGTACTGTTTTAAGGTAGATAATGAGCATGAGTATATAAAATATGATTGAATTAATTTAGATAAAAATGATCTATAATATAAGTTTTTAACTTTACAGAATGTGGGCTAATATCAAGCTTAAAGCTTAGAAATTACTTGACATAATACCTAAGAAATTAACTATATAATTTATTACTGTAGAGAATATAGAAATATGAGTTCAAAATTTATTATTTATTTTTTGGTTGAATTATATATTCAGATGTATAAATGTTCAAACATTCAGATGGGATTAATATTTATAGATGTTTTCTCATTGTTAAATATTAAATATGAGAATAATAGTAACTCACATATATCTGAGGGTACTATTAAAAAATTATTCAGAATAAGTAATAATAGTAAATTAATTAGTAATAATGATATTATCTCTAGTACTTTAGATTCATTGGAATATAGAGATAATAACAATTCTGATAAATATAATATGAATTATATAAAGTATGAAAATATTAAAGATTTTGATAAACTTCTAGAAAATAAAAATTTTAATAATTTGAAACTATTATCTCCAAATTATAATACAGAATTGAATATCAAAAATATTACAGATAAATCAATGAATTTAAAGAGTTCATATAATTTAGAAGATAACTTTAAACCAATAGAAGAAATAACGTATTTTGATCATAATTATTCTATATCTGATAATATAAATATAAATACTTCTAATCTTATAAATAATTCATCTAATAAATTTAAATTTTATTATATTGGACCTCAAAATCCATCATATAATTTTGAATCTAATTATAAAAATGAATCAAATATTTTTGGAATGCCATATGTATATTTGATAAAAGATAATTATAGAAATGAATCATATCCAGTATGTGAAATAAAATCCTGTAAGAAGTTTAATGAAGAACCTTTAATAAAAGAAATTATTGAATCAAATATAACTAAAGAGTTTTGTAAATCTAATGATTTAAATGGACTATTTATATCTAACAATATTTCAGATCTGAATTCAAATAATATCTTAATATATAATGATATAAATAATTCAAGATTTGAAATTTCTGAAATTGATCACAATCAAATAGGATTTAGAATGTTGAAACAAAAAGTTAAGAAGAAAAAGAAAAGTTTGTTTGATAAATTTAGAACAACTTTAAAATGGTTTGTCTGTGCAGAAACACTTTTAGCTGGTTGTGCATGCTGTTTAATGATTACAGAAACTTGTTTAATAGCTGTTAGTGAAAATTCAAATAGATATGATATGAATATGTATGATCCATATGATTATGATCCTTATATATATCCTCATGAACCAATTAGAGTAAATAATCCTTTACAAAATAAAGATAATATATATTTAGGTATAAATTCAAGATCAAGATATGAGGAAAATAAATCACACCCTATTGAAGGATTAAGTTTACTGGATATATTAGCTAATATTTAAAAAATATATAATAATCAAATTATTATAATTTACTTTATATTTGATAAATTATTCAAATATATATTTTGTAATAGTTAGATATTAATATATTGATATTATTATTAAATTCAGAATTAATTATTATTGATAGTACTATTTATATTCAAAACTTGTGAGATAAAATATAATTAGATTTATTAATGATTATTATAAATATATTAGTGAAGTATCTTAATTTTTCTTTAATATTTCTAGATTATAAAAACAATATTTTGTTTATTTAAATATATTAATAATTTATCATTTATTTAAAAATTAAATTAATATTATAAAAATTTAGTTTAAGTTTAATTATTTAGTAATAGATCTTTCAAATAAAAATAATATTAGGAATATTTATAAAGAAAACAAGATTTAAGTAAAAATTCAAATGTCTACTATTATAAATCTACTCTTATTTTATTTCATATTATTATAATAATATAAAAATTTTTATTCTTCTATAGATAATTCAGGTTCAAAAGAAATATCAGATTCTGATTCACTTTCAGTGTCACTTATGTCGTAATTAGAAATTTCACTAGGTGTAATTTTTTTATAATTTCCCAAGAATCTATTCTTAGTTCCTAATGATTGTTTATCACTCATTTTTTTGGAGTAATTCTTTTTATCTTCATTCTTTTTGGTTTCTAAAAGTTCTAATACATCCAAATATGGTTGGTTTATTTCTTTAAATTGTTTTTCCTTAGTATAATTTTCAAGTAATAATTCATCTTGTAAATTTAAAATTACATCATCTCTTTTATAATTTTCATAATTTATTGGGTCATAAATTTTTCCACTTTTATGATAATGGGACCATCTACGAGCCTCTGGTTTCCTCCCAATATTATATTTCCTCATATATTCTAATTTTTTACCTCCTTTTATTTGTACAATAGGAATTTGAAGATTTAATAAATCTACATGGGTAAATCCTTCTTCAATCATATTAGTAAAATCAAATCTATGATTACTTACAAATCCAGTTTTTATTGCTTGATAGCAAGCTGCATTACTTATACTATCAATTATAGACAAATTTGGAGCAATTAATACATACTTCTTAGGAGTTACATTTTTTAACCACTTTCTGACTATACTTATACAGTGAATCCTATATTTAGATAGTTCTAAATCCTTTTTTTTATATACTAATAATGATTTAATAGCTAATGAAGCATGTATTATCAAATTATTTGGCCATCCTGCATATAATGTACCACTATGAAGAATATATAAAGATAGTATAAATGCACGAATAGGTATAAAGGGTTTATTGGGATTTGAATAATATTTCCACTTGCTAGACTTGTGTAAAAATTTTAAAATATTCCATAATATAGCCTCAGCAGGTTTTACAGAATCATTATGGTACCATATATTTAATCCTTTATTCATATAAGATCGTAATATCAGTTCATCAAAATCATAGCACCTCATTGATTTAGATAAAATTGGATAAGTTCCTTGATACATACATAATAACATATCATCACAAGCTTGATTTCCATGTAGATTTAAAAGTGAATCTGCAATATTTGCTATATTTTCTCGGCAATATCTTACATCTACAGCTAAAGTACTATTAATCTTGTTAATAGATAATAATGATGCTCCTAATATATCTTGCATAGTCTCAGAACTTGGGATACCCTCTAAATATGGATATAGAGAATCAAACATACAAAAGGCTACTCTTAAATAAAACTGATTAGGTAGTAGGCATTCTTCAACAGCAAAAAGTATAAATCTGAATAATTTTATTTTTAATATATTATTATCAAATTATATTAAATTATTAAAAAAAAGGGGTATAAGAGTCAAAAATATCATAAAAAAACAGTAGTTAAAGATAAGTTTATTTTGTAAATTAAGTAGAGTCAATATCAATAACACTTACCTATCAATAGCAACTGCTGGAAGAACTTTCATACTATCTTCAGTTATTGGAGATGGAATTCTTAGTTCAGAAAATATGTTAGGATAATGTATTGGTATCTCAATTCCTTCCCAACCTGGGATACTATCAAGAATATAAATATTCTTACGTTCCAATAGATCTACAATATTACAAATAGATCAATTTTTTTTTGTCAAAAAAAGATTAAATATAAAATTATGTCAATAAAATTAATAATATTTATTATATTTTTTTCTTAAAAAAAAGAAACTATACCTTTATTATCAAATATTTCCACATCCTTAGCTTTAGCCCTAGCAACTTCTCCTGTTCCAAAAACACCAACAATTGCAGGATATATAGATAAATTATCTTTAGGTACTAATTCTTTTTTAAGATCTGTATTGAGTTTTTTAAGAACTTTATCCTTTGCCCTTTTTATTATTTTTTTAATTGGTTTGACATCTATTTCAATATCATACAACCATATACTATCAATTATACAGAATATTATCAATACTGAACAATAAAAAAGCTTTATAAAATGCATATAGTGTAAATAATATAAACTGGATATTTTCTAACTAGAATTAATTTTTAAATACTACATACAAATTTCTTTCTAATTTCCAAGAATGATACCTAGTCTAAATCTTTTACAACAATTACCCGCCAAATCATAAATGCATGTCAAGTTTAGATCTGTGTAACTTTGATTTTTTTTTTAATATTTTTTTTTTCTAGATTAATATACTAAATTATTGGTGATAGTATATAATATATAAATATTTAGGAGATTATTATATCAAAAACTCCATTATTAAAGGAGATATTATCCTAATAAACAATACTACATAATATTGTCTATAAAATAGTTGAAATTTAGATTTATTTAATTATATTAAAAATGAGCTAAACTATATAATATTAATAAAATTGAAGTTCTTCAATACATATTATATTTAATATACAAGCTAAAAATTTCTTAATTAAATTTCAATTTATAGTAAATATAGAAGATTTTGTACTTCTCTCGTAGTTTGGAGAGCAGTAGAATAAAAATAATACTCCAATCAGTATAATGGCGGTCTTGAAAACGTTACTTCATTGGTGAGGATTATTTTAATACAAGTAGTAAAATTAATAAATAAGAGGTATGAAAAGGTTCCAACTACTTCCCTATCTCTCTTTTGTAATATGGCTGCTTTTTTTTGGGTTCTTCCCTCTTAATTTATATAGTTTAAAATTAAATAAGTCTACTGACACTATACCTATTAATAAGAATTACTGGGCATTTAATAAGACAATTTCTCAATTAAAGTTATTATCTGATAATTTAACAGATCTTCCTATTTTTAGAAGTGAATGGAAGCGAATTATGGGATCTAGAGAAACAGCATGTTATGCAACATGTTCAATTTCATATGAAAGTAAAGTTAATAATACAATAAAAGTACATGTTCCACATATGGTGAGAAAAATAAAAGCTAAAACTAATATAACACTAAGGAAATTACCGGAAAAATATGGATTGAGACAAAGATTAATGTTAATTAAGAAGGAATTACCAGAACTTCCTATAGAACCGTATCAACGTGCAATGACTTTTGCAATTGAACAATGCTTACTTCCTACCTTATGGCATTTAGAATTAGTACATTGTATGTACATGTCTATAGCACCATTTCTCAGAGGATTAATTATGAGTTATACTTTGCAAGATATAATAGGATCTGCAATGGTAACTATGAGTTATAAAGATGAAGTTTTTGCAATTGAAAATTGTCTCAATTCTGTCTCTATGATAAGTGATGATATAATATCAGCTCATTATAAACAAATTTGTCAAAATACTGCATCTTGTTTATCAACTCATCCCTTATCTAATGGCCCTTATTCTCGTTTTAAAGAAGAATTTTTAGCTAGGATAGATCAAGCTTATTCTGTACTCCCATCTTCTATAGGGGGTGTGAATTCTAAGACTTTGGCTAGATTATTACTTTTAATATCCTTAAATAGAATGAGTTTTAAGAGTAAAACTAGGAAAGTATACTATCCTGAGAAATTATTTGTTTCTGTAAGAGCAATGAATACTGCATTAGCTGTAATCTCAACTATACAATCATTGATGAAACTTACAAGTATTATTGATCAAGCAACTTATATTATAGATACAGTAATTGTTTCTTTGTCAAAGGTTGAAATCAAGGAAATTTTCATGACATGTAGAAGATATTTAACTGCTCTAGAAATTACAAATCTTGAGATGAATACCATGTTGAATCATATGATTTGTTTTGAGATGCTTTCTGTAGGTTTTATATATGAGAATTCAGTCCCCCCATTAACAGTTTCAATAGAGCATTTTAACAAATCAATAATGCCTATGAGAATGCTTTCTGAATTTTATCCAGACTTGATTCCTTCATATATACCAGGTAAATTAAGTGAGAATGAAGATATATGGTTAATATCTACTATAGGTTTTACAAATATTGAAGTAACTTCTGTTCCTCAGGGTTTTATTCCAGGTTTGAGGCCAACTATGAGAAATAGATCAAGATATAGAGCATATTCTAGAAAATCAAAGGAAGCAGTGAAATATGATCCTAGTTATTTAGAACCTATCGATACAAGGAAGAAAAGTACTGTTAGGAGTATTGTGACTAAAGTATTCTTAGATAAGATTCACAGAGCTGAAGACAGGTGGAGAACTATTTTCAAATCTAAGCGAGCTGGAATTTCAAGTATAAACAAAGGAAGTTCAGATAGTGAAGATGAAGTTAATAGAAAAACTACTATTTATAAACAAAATAAGATTCTTGCCGGGTTTATAGATAATGAGTCTTAATAACAATATTATAAAGTAACTATAAGGATATCATAGTACCTCAATAATTACAGGTATATCATAATATATTGTTAAATTATCTTATGTATGAATTACAGTAAATAATAATAAACAGACTAACCTTGCGAAGTAAAATATTGGTTTTAAGTTAGTTTGATAGTATATACAAGTTCATTTTTAGAATATATTTAAGAAGATAATTCCTAATATACAATTATGTTAAAGATATATATATCACTTTTCACTACGTACTCATTAGAATTTACTTTGAATTTCGAATTTATTTGTTATAATTTTTCAGAAATACTTTAAAGCAATATTTATTAGGAAAAAGTAAGTGATATATGAGCCTGATCACTTGGATAGAAGTGCACTTCTTCTAGTTACAAATTCCCACTCACTAGGATATATTTTAGAACATGCACGAACTAATTATGCAATTCAAATTAATGTTATATATGCCTTAAATATAGAATGTGTATTATCAATATTTTATTGTTCCACTACTAGTTAAAGTATACTTACCTTAAATATTATAACATGAAGCGGTTATTTTGAGACGAGACGGGGTACCGTTTTGTCTAATATAATTTATCTACTAGTAACAAGGTATCAGATATACATCTCGAGGACGAGTATATAAGATAAAGAGTAATACACTTTAAGGGAGAGGCTAGATATACGTTAGATATATTATTATAGTTATAGTCTAGTAATATTAATATATATTAATATATATTAATATCATATAGGTGTCCATTAAAAGAGGGAGAGGTTTTGGTATCTTGTAACTAGGCTAGATAGATAAGAGGGAAGACTCATTAATTTATTAAAGTTTTTAAGTACTTTTCTTAATTGAGGGTTAACTGGTATTTCAGTTTTATCCTTATATAGGCAATATTATCGATATTTTATCAAGTTCCTATCTGTGAAGACGGCTATATATTAAAGTGATCAGTATGATTGCAAATATATGTAAATTATTTGCTATCTTTGTAATTGCTGTATATGCAGATGGCCCATACAGTTCACCACGACAAGCTAGATTAGAAGCCATGAGTATAGGAGGATCGAGATCTCCTGAACCAAATGTATCTGGTGTGTTTCCTACTCCAAATATTCGTCCTTCTGAAGCTAGCTCATTTTTCAGTGACGTCTTGAATAAGAGTCGTCAAATACCCTTTACTGAATCTTCAGGTGGTCCTCCTCTAATTATGGAGTCAAGTTTGGGAGGCTCTATATCTATATTTAGCAAAAGTACTCCAGGTCTTCCGAGTGATGCCTTATTTTATTATCCTTTGATATCTTCTACAAAGTCTGGTATGGAGTCATTTTGTCAAGAAGAGAAAGTCCTTATTTACAATATAGAGCAAACACTAAATAATACTGTATATAATTTGGTCTCGAGACTTCCTGAAGGGAATTCAAAGGAAGTTTATAAACAAGTTCTCGAAGATATGATAAAGTTATGTAGTACTCAAAGAGAGAAAGTTGATGCTGTCTATAGAAATATATCAAGTGTTGAGGATGATAAACAGGTAGCTGCAAGTGATTTCTCATCTGCATTTGTTATTGCTAAAGAGGATGATACTCTTACATATGCCACTATGATGTTTGTAGGACATGTTACCCCACCTCCATCCCCTGTTGCAGCAAATTATGTACCTAACAATCTCTTTGATATGAAGAAATTCTTGGATAAGCAATTACAAGATATATCAGCATATTGTGACAATCTATATAATGTAGAGAGTAGAATTGAGGGTATCTCAGCAATATTCCAGAGACAAAAAATGAGAAGGATTCACAAACAATTGAAGGATAATTGTGGCAGTGAGAGATATCTAGTTACCCAGATGACTGATGACCTGAAGAATAAGGGTGAATTAGATGCCGAGTTTATCAATCTAGCACGCGAACAATCTAATAGTGTATCTTCTTTAGGTACTGATGTTGAGATGTTTTTATTCCAGTTGAATAAGTATTCTCCAGGTATACCCTTATGGAGTCGTGATGCAGGGAGGTCCCCCGAAATTATTAAGACTGATAAAGGCTATGGAATTGCTATGCGTAATCCTTCTGTAAAATATGAGGAGTTCCTTACTAATCTAATTGAGCTATCTGAAAATGGTGACTTAGATGCCGAGAATGCTCTACTAGTTCAACAAGCTTCAATACAAGCTACTGATATGCGTAATCGTGCAGTTTTATTCTCAGCTACTCAATTCTTTAATATTATGGAGGAACGTGCTAATAGAAATTTGAGATCTGGTGAGATTCATGACCATTCTCAAGTATATGATGATTCTGACTCTGATTCTGACTCTGATTCTGACTCTGATTCTGACTCTGAATTAGAAGCTACTGAGGTGACACCCGAGGTACTGGACTCTAGAGCAGATGGGGTATCAGATAAAGTGGGGGAAGTGAGAGAAGTAGAAGAAACAGAGGAAACAGGGGGTATAGAAGACTCAGAGGGTATAGAAGACTCAGAGGGTATAGAAGACTCAGAGGGTATAGAAGACTCAGAGGGTATAGAAGAAGCAGAAGATGTAGAAGAAGCAGAAGATGTAGAAGAAGCAGAAGATGAGGAAGTTATGGGGCAAGATGAAGATGATATGTCATCAAGGAAATTGGCAGAGGATATTTCTATGGAGGGTGATGATGATGATGTAGTTTCTGAAGATTCACTAGATGAAGAAGAAGAAGAGGTTGTGGCACTTTCAGATACTCCAGAAAGAATCTTGGAAGTTACATCAAGTGCTAGACCATATAAACCAGCTCGATATTCTGCTTTGACATGTACTAGACAACCATCTAAGACTTGCCGCCGTGTCGATGGATCTCCTATTAAGTGCCTAAAAGCAACTTGTGTTACAAAGGAATGTAAGCATTCTGCAGTTCATACTTTAAACTGCAAAGATGTAGCTTATGTTGGAAGTCAATGTAAAGTGGAAGGTAGTGTAGGTGATAAAAGTCGACGTGGTCGTTGTATGGGTGGAGCTTCACATGGTGGTAAGTGCACTTCTAGGAAATGGGTAGGTTGTACTACTGACCTTCCAGCTCTTGAAGGTCCTGGTGTAAAGCCAGCTCATTCTGTTGGGTCAAAATATAATTCTTCACATATTACTGGTGTCACTTGTCAACGTAAGAAGATCTTCCCAAATACCCATTGTAAAACCGGAGAATCTAAAAAAGGTCATAGTGTAGGTGGTCAATGTAAATCTCCAGAATCAAGGAAAGGTACATGTAAAGTAGGTACTTTCAAGGGTGGTGAATCTGCTCTCCCTCATTGTCAAAAAGGCCATTCTACTGTTGGTAATTATAGACCTGGTGAGTCCTATATGGGTCAGTCAAGAGTTAGATCTGTCAAACATCAATGCCAAGGTGGATATTCTATTCTTCCTAGGATACGGGATGGAACATATATTGGTGCTCAATGCAAAGCTGGAAAATCTACACCTGCTAAGTCTGTTCCACACTCAACAGGATTTAGATCCGTACCTCCTAAATCTGTTGGGGCCCAGAGCAAACCTGCGAAACTTGTAGGTGGAAAATCTGTGCCACCCAGATTAGAAAATTGCCAAGTTAAACCATTTAGATTGGTTGGTGGGAAGTCCGTCCCACCCAAAGTAACTGGAATGAAATGTACTCCCTCTCACAGTGTTGGTCCTAATAGAGAATCTAGTGCACCTAAGACACCAGTATCTAAAAGAACCCAATCAAATAAACCAAAGATCTCAGTTCCAGACGCTGAATTATCTGAATCTCGCCCGGGAAGTAGAGTGGGGAGCTCTACTAGGAGGAAACCTCACTCACAACATTCAAATCATAGAGATATTCAGTCAACTCCTAAGTCAAATCGAGATTCAGCCCAACATTCACATTCAAATAAGTTACATAGAACTCCAAATACATCCAATTTATCTGCTAAAAACTCAACTACAGATGGAAAACCTTCTACAAAGGGAACCCATTCTAGGGATAGAAGTTTCCTTAATAGTTCAAATGGAGGTATTCATGAGAAAGATATTTATGGAATAAGTGATCCTATACAAGCTGCAGCTCTAGCTGAGGAGTCATTTGATTAGTTAACATAAATATAAGGAAACTGATTTACAAGGACTTCAAAGTTCATTGTAAATAATGTTGCAGAACACTTTTCAAGGTTTTCTGAATATATACTGAATTTTAGAGATCAAGTTTGTTAATTACTGAAGTGACTTATCTTGTAGAATACTTCCAGTATATAGCAAAAGTGGCTGTTTGTAGGTCCCTTCATTTAACTTTAATTCCGTGGAAGTAAGATACATGATCTGTATTTGGCATTTATACCTTAACTTTTTTGGGGCTTAATATGTAACTCCTTTAAGTTTCTTCAAATTGTCTGTGAGTATATATATGCAATTCAGACGTTTAGCTATTTAGATACTTTGAGTCTTTGCTATAGGTACATATTAATTCTAGAGGTTTATTTGGTTCAACATAGATATTAACTATTCTCTAGCAAGTAAATTGTACCTTTTTCTAATTTTTAGGTTATCTTGTTATTAGTAGTATTAAGTTGCAGCGTGTTGGATATTTGGCTTTACAGATATCCTATAAATTTACTAAGTGATCATGGTGTACCAATGTGATATTCTTATTGTCCCGGAGATACGCGCCCTTGGGGTTATAATATGTATTTGCCTATTATGTATTTTTGGAGAAAATGATAATTCTAGGTAGAATTCTTAATTGTGCAATTTATTGTATATCTCCAAGATCTTGGCAATTATCTTGGAAAAGATTCGAAGGAAAAACTCTCAGTGATATTACAGACTTTATATTGTTGAAATTAGATAAAGAAATATATAAATTGAAGCCATCGTAAGTTTTTGCATTTAGTATAAGATATGGCTTATTTCCACTTTAGAAGATAAAAATCTAATATATATAGTGCGACTTTCATTAAAATTTTTATTATCTATAGATCATGTGTCGAATGGTGGAATAGCCCATTTAACTCTTTATTTACATTATATTTTGTATATAAAATGTTTCAACTTAGTGTCTTATCAACAAGACAAAGGAGAGCTGCAGAAATTGTTGCTGATGCATATGGACAAGGAGGACAGTGGCTTAACCCAATTCCAAAATAATGGTAAGTATAATAAAGATGTTAAGACAATGTATAAAGTGAGCTTTTCACAATATATATATTTCACTAATATAAAAAAATATCTTGATTATTAACCTTACTTAAAGGTGTAGAATAAGAGATATCTATAAATACTTTATCTATTGTACTTTTATTGTAATAATAAGTATTACATGCATTGAAATTATATATATTAATACTTATAGGACTGAATAACCAAGTTTATGCATGCTCACTTTCATCTTTTGCTTTCCACTTAGTAATATCAACGTAGTTACCTTGTTCACCATAAATATTAATACGACCAATCCTGGTCTGTTCAGCTCCATGATTTTCCGATACATATATTTGTAGAAATGATACATTTTGGAATTTGACAAATCTTAATTCAATTGGCTCTCCAGTTATTAATTGAGATTTTGAAATCTTTATTTCTTGTGTTGAATCTTCGGATTCAGCATCATGTAAACTATATGGTTCACAATTTACAAATAACTTAACTAGTTTCGGACCATACCCTTGTTTAACATCTTCTTCGCTAAGGCGAAATGAAATACTAGATAGTCTCATTGGTTGTGTAAAATAAAACCTTATAAATAATTCATGATCATCTAAAGATGAGCAGTATGTTTCTAAGTTTGATTGGAATAATGCATTGGAAATTGGGAATTTAGAATTTTCATTGAGGCATTCTACTGATTTCCTTTGTATATAGTCTATTATACTGTAATTATTAGTTAGTTTTAATACAATACAGACACTATTAAGCACATATCTTGACTTACCTTGTATGATTTTTCATTTTACACCTGTATAAGTATGAATAGAATTTTCTAAATGTAAGGTTTTGTCCTATAACTTTGAACTTAACAATTCTGTTTGGCGCCATTTATGTGAGGGGAAATTTTTTTCTCTGCATGCAACTAGAATTGCTATGGCACTATTATTTGTAGTATTGATTTTTTTTTATTTAAAATGAGCAAGCTTGACTACATATTACCTATATTAAAAACTTCAGATTATGTTAAGGATAAAGGTTTGTTAATTTCTAATTTAAAAAAGATTTCAATTACACTTTCCCAGTTAAATAAACAAGTTCAGCTACCTATACTGTCCCTTCTAATATCTACAAAAGAACTAGTTGGTAAAAACTGTGAAGTTAAAACTCTTATAGTTAATAGTATACTGGATTGTATAAGATTGGCTTTTCCTGAGTTTCCGAGATATTTTTGTACCTATGAATCTGAGATATCTAAAGTACAGAATTATAATAAAGCAACAATGAAAATAAAAGAGAATAAATTATATGAGCATGTAGTAATAGGGGTTATAGAGCAACTGGACTTCTTATATAAGTGTTTGGTGAATGAAATATCCTTGCATTCGAAAGATGACTTAGTTTTATCTAGATACAAGTATACATTAGATAGGATATATAATAATAATCAACTACTGTTTTTCCTATTTGATGGGCTAGTATCTAATGATGTTAAGAAGAAATTGATCATATTAATTTTTACGAAATGTATGGATTTAATAGGAACAATGAAAGATTCAAATGAAATAGCAATTATGGCAAAGTGGGTTGTAATTAGTATACTGCAATATAGTAATGATAGTACAGGTAAAAGAGAAATGATTTTATTGATCATGAAGGATTTATCTAGAAATATAATAGAGAAATTAAGTAATATGGATAATAGTGCAAGTGAAGATGCACTATCTATTATTAGTGATATACTGAATAATTTAGGACCTAGTAGTATTTCATTTTATACAAATAATATATTACAACAGGTAATAATATATATAAATACGGACAAATATAGAAATCAGAATATAAAGAAAAAATTAAGTAATAAAGATTCTATCTACTGGTGGAGAAGTGAAGAATATACTAAAATTCCGGAAATTATAAAGTATATTAAGGATTATAAAAGTGATGTTGATGTTAAACTTGTCGTGTATGAAATAATTTCAATACTACACAATATCGATACTGAATTCGTTCAAAGTATCTTTTCATTTATTATTAGTGATTTAGATAATATCAATAACAAAGAAAGACTGAATAATAGTAAATATATTGGTAAATTAATCCTTTCTTATTTAGTAAATAGTAACAATAGTGTACTTCGTAAAAGAGGGATTATTGATGAAAATTATAGTATATCAAAGTTATTGGATATTTGGCTAACATGTATTGATGATAAGTGTTTGGATATTAGTCAAAATATCTTTTCAATTATATATGAAGTCATGAAAGTATATTTTAATTCTCAAAGACTGGTCAGTGTCAGTTTGAATAAAGATATAATTTGTAAAATGGTCCAAGTTTGCATAGATAATGTTGGTAACCCACATATTATAATTAGGAAAATAATTATTGATATTTTTTCAAGTATATTAACGTGCTCCAATAATTATTGTATATTATCTAAAGCAAAAATCTGCGAAATTAAACATTATTGCCTACAAAGACTATGCGATAATGATAGGGATGTAAGATTTCAATGCATAAAATGCATGAAAATATACAAGGACGAACCTAATCTAATTAATAATTTATGGTATGCATGGTTAATTTCTGTCAAACAAGATGATTTTATATTGAGACAAATAATAGAAAATATACTTCTGACAAGTTCAGCAACACTACTTTTTATGGATAAATTTCTGTGTAACATAGAAGATTTAAATGAATGGAATTATAAAGATAATGAAATTAAAGATAATGAGAAAGATTCAAAGAGTGAAGTGGCTCATAAAATCGCAATATTTTTTTTTCAGCAGCGTTTCAAGGCTCTATCCTACTTTAGACAATATCTTATATTAAGATATGCAACAATTTATCATCAAAATTATTTACCTAAGAATATTTTGAACATTTTAGAAAATAATATCAGTATTATTTTAGAAAAATTTTCAATGTTTATTTTTCATTGCATGGAAATTCAGACACAAATAAAAAAAATTGATATTAAGCAAATGCTTCAAGATAAAGCTAGAGAATTAATTAAAAACCTTGATAAAGTTCTGAAAAATATAAATTTAGAAGATCAAAATAAAAATAATCACTATATATGGTACAAACTATCTATAATATCAGGTTTAAGTTCATGTATAGAAATACAAATATCTGAAGACCTATTATCATGCAAATCAGGGATGTTGAAAGTGGATTTTTTGCAAGATTACTATAATATGAGTACATTAGCCGATAAACAATTTGAAAGCGAAAGTTTATCAAGACTATTTATGTTTACATCTCCAATATACCCATACTTTAGTGATTATAAACTAAAATATGGTCTTTTTAAAGTATTTTGGTTACCTTCTCATTTTTCTCTGCTAGAAAATGTGGAATTTCATGATCTATTACAAGATAAATTTGAAGAAATGATAAGATATTTCAATACTATAGTAGTAATGGCTCAGCATTGCTACTTAATAAATGCAATTAGTTCTTTTATTAATAATAAAAAAAAGTGGGATACAATAGCTAATTTATCGGATGAATCTGCATCTCAAGAGGTAATGAAAATTATTGAAAGATTTACAAATATAAATACTATTGATATTTATAAAAAATACTTAGATAAAACCCAAAATATGGGCTTTGAATCGTTCTATAAATTAATCAAATATATTAAATCTGCATTTATTAGTATCAATTTAGATCATGAATTAGGATTAAATATAAAATACAAAATGGTATCAAATTGTTTTGGTGCTCAGACATTTCAATCTAATATCTGTATAATTGATATAATAATGAATAATGTATTTGATAATATTTCCATAAATTCTGATAAGAGTTTAGCATTATTTTGGATATATAATTTAATTTGTAGTGCTTTCCCATATTTAAATTTAAAACTCCAGAGCCCTGATAGAAGTAAAAATATACTCAAAATACTAAAAAGTTCAGAAGATATAAGAGATAAAAAAAAGAATAAAGGTAAAAAAGAAAAACTCATGGCAATGCTACAACTGTTATGTATCGAATCAATGAACTTAATTTATGAAGAATCCAGCACTACAAAAGATTCTCTTTATATAGATTTAGATAAAAGCCCTATGTCAAGTGATTTATGTAACCAAGATCAGGATTTAACTCATTTTAGTGGATTACAAATGCTTAAATATAAAAAAGAAATTTTTTTAACTTTGTTAAGATTCCTTGATCAGATAAAAGGGAAAGTTATAAAAAAGATAATATTTAAAAAAGATGAAATTGTCGAGATTTTCTTAACTATAAGTATTGCAAATATTATGCTTGGTAAGTACTTTTCTAAAGCTGATGATGATACAATAATGCAGCTTCTAGATATACTAACAATAATTTCGGAAAATATTATATATAGTGAAGAAAATACAAGTATATCTAAATCAAATGGAAATAAAAAGAACAATATAAAGTTTTTAGAACAAAATATTGTATCTTTTATTATAGAAACTCAATTTCCAACTATGCAAAGAGCTTCAATTTACACAGATGCAATGATTATGACTCTCTCATTTGGTCAATTTCTCAAATATTTATGCAGTAGTGAGAATGACACATGGCAAATATTTCAGAAAAAGGGGAATATTGAAAAATTACTTGGATTAGTATCACTTTTTTTTGAATATGGATCTAAAAATGAAAATAGCAAAAAAGGAATTACGAACAGGAATCCTTAATAAATGAGTTAATTAAAGTATTTTCATACTTACTTTTTCCTCCAAAGGGATCTGACAAATCTCATGGGAACTTCAGATCAATTCTCACAACTAAATTTGGTAGAACCCTAAGTATGCACTTAATCCCTATAATATGCATAGAATTTACAAAAAAAGTACATGAAAATGGTAAAAATACTATAACATTGGATATACAAAATATTCTTGAAAATATTATCAGTACTTATATTAAATCATCATGCAATAGTGAAAATATTGAAAATTTATACTTTATGATGGATTATATCCTATCAATTTTTGTCTATAGCATTTCTTCCAAAGTATTTGAAAATAATCAAATAAATAATCTTTCGAATTACTTTGCATACATATTATGGAAACAATTATATCGCATAGAGGGGCAGAGTTACTTCAAAAATTATTCAATAATAGATATTGTTAATCATTGTATTGCACTATTGGAAAATATTCGAAATTACTATGATACCAGAATAAACAATGATATTATAAATTCAAATGATACAACTGAAAAGATTTGTTCAGGTATTCAATATCACTTAGCCTATTTCTTTATAAATAGAAATAATCCGCTTCAATACAGAATGATTGAAGATCATGCACAGAGTATAACAAAACACTGGTACTATCTTCTTTATAATAATAAATTCAATATACCAAATAATTTGTTTGTCAAAAAAAGTTTTAAAAATAGTGAAAACTCAACTGAATATCAAATTGTTGCTAGATTCAATGAGAATACTGAGAATTTTACAAATCAGGTGTTACAACCTAATTCTATTGATAAAATGTGGAAAAAAACGACTTTTAGTTTAAGGTCAAATTTAAATAAATATACTAATTCTGACATTAAACAACATAAAAGAAAGATAAAAGTTCCATTTAAAGTTAAAAAATTAAAAAGGTCCAAACTAGACGCAAACAAAGAAAATAACTTCTACAATGATAGCTATAGTGAGGAATCTTTAGAATCAGATAATGAAGATGGTGACTGGAGAGGATCAAAGAATACTAGTAAATCTTCTAACTTAGTGGTTAATGAAAATCAAAAGTTAAGACGTTCAAGTCGTATATTTAATATTCAACAAGCAGGTTCCAATATTCCTATTGAATAGAGTTTTAAATGGCCTGTTAAACTTAAATAATGAACTTGTCCATAAAATTAGTACATTTTACTATTCTATTTAGTCAAACATTTAGAAACTACATTGTACAATCATATTATTTATATACTCACTTTCACTTTAAATACTTCAAGTTACATATTTTACTTTAAGGATATTTTCTATTATTTCATTGTTTGAAATTCATTATTTGGGAATTTACAAAATTACTTATTGGATACTTTTCAAAGTAACATTTAGTTATATAAAGTAGGTTTTGTACTTTTATTATATTTTTACGAATGAGAATATCTTATATCATTTAAGACCAGTGTAATCATAGATAGATTGTCAGTGAACAGATTCAATTCTTTAAATATTACATTTTTATTATTCAAGTGTAATGGATCAAATAAGTCGCATTTTATCAATAGCTTTATATCACATTAACTCTGTTAAATATTATAAGTTTGTTGGAACTGTGTAATATAAAATTAGATATTGAAGATTGTTTAAAGGTATGTTAAGAAGAGTATTAAATTTTTGATTATCATCATTTGTACTCCAAGAAACAACTCCAAAAAGGAAAACTTGCGGTAATAAATTTCGTCATCAATTGCTTGTGGAAAAAAAACACACACATTGCTTTTTGAAAATAAAGTTATAAACTCCTTACTATACATGAGTGGATATTCTGGTGTGTCATATGTAATAAGTGAAGGACAAAAGACTTTATTATCTCAAGCTAGTCCTGTAGAATTGGCTACTATAACTACAAGTTTAAGATATAAAGGTTATCACAATGCAAGCTGGAGTTTATATAAGTGTCAATCAGATTACTATTATTGGTATAATTATTATACTACTCAAGTGGAACAATTTGAAAAGCTTGAGCATTCTATAAGTATAAAGATATGCAATATTATGTCAGATAAAAGACTCAGGTTAGATAATGCAGCTCAAATTGTACTAAAGAATTATACAGATGAACAAATAGTGTTAGGCTATACAATACCAAGTATTATACCATCATCTGAACACCTTCTTTTTAAAGAATATGTTAGATATTTATCTACTAAAAGATATCTCGTTGAAATGAAAAAAAAAGTTTGGGAAAGCTTTAGGAATGTTGAGATTAAGAAAAAAGTTATTGAAGCATGGGAATATGATTACAATGAAGCTCTGAAAGAAAAGAACAATATTGAATACTTTAATAACGTGGTTAATTATAAAATAGAAAATCGGGAGAATGAATTATTTGGTAATATGCAAAAAATTAGAATTCAAGAACTACGAATTAAAAAGGAACAAGTAGTATTGAATATAACAGGTGAGAATAAAGCAGAAGGCAGTGATATAGAAGAGCAGGTTAAAGTCGATAACCAAAGAAGTATCTCAAGTACAAATAACGACAGAACTTGCTGTGATTTGTTTGGAGGCAAACGACGTGTAACTTTATATAGATCTAAATCATCGAGTCCTCCAAAAGCTCAATTTAAGGAAAATAAGGAGCTTCGTGAATTACCACCTAAACCGAACTCTCCTCCAATTCCATCCATAGATTTAGGAACTAAAAAGGTTACAACTAAGAACAAAGATGCAAATTATCCAAGCATAACTACAATTGGTATGAAGGCAACTTCAAGGTTAAGTGACCCAGTAATCCCTAATAAAACAAAACTTGGAGAACAATTTATAGGGCATTAGTACTTAATAGTGTCAAATTTAAGCTGTTAGCAAAGATTAAGTTAAGTCTTTGCTTGCAAAACTAGGAATAAGGTCTACAACAATAATACTCATTCATATTTCCATTATCTTAATGTGAGATATATTTGAATGTACCATATAAATATAATTGAATATCTAAATTAGTTAAGTAATCTTAAAATAGAAAAAGTTGACTAAGAGTTTAAAAAGTATCTAAAATTTACTTCTTCTTCGAAGTTCCTGATTGCTTCGAACTATTACTAGCAGACTTCTTAACTTTTAATTTCTCCTCTACACTTTTCTTTTGTTGCTCTTTCTCAGCAATAACACTCTTGACAACCTTCTGTTCTTCAAGTAAAAAGGCTCTCAATATCCTTTGACGTACACAGCTAGCACATCTTGAGCCACCATAAGCTCTAGATATTGTACGTTCACACCTCTTCAGATGTTTAAGTTCATAAGGAGAACAAGCCGGTAAGCCTGGTAATGGCCTCTTACAATCACCACACTTTGGCCTTGAATAGACTTTACCAATATTCTGCACAAGATTTCTACCTCCTGGAGTCTTTACAATACGAACTCTATTTGAGGTAGTATTGTATCTACAACGTCGGCGATAAGTGACTCTCTCGGCCATCTGTATATAATTATATAAACAAATTTATGTACCAAATTACTACCTTTTTTTTAACCAGTAGTTCCCGGCTAGTCTATACTATTAAAAACCGCTACTGTTATTTATATTACAGTTACTTGTAAACTCCTTTTATATTGTAGTCTAGTAGAATACTATCTAGTTGAGTTATATACTAAATATATTTATCTGTAAACAAGTGTATATACAGCTTATTACTGAATTTTATATAGGTAGAGAGGTATTACTATATTTATTAGATTGAGACGCCGTCCCAGTTATTACGTCTTGTAGTACTCTCAAGTACCGCCTAAATATGGATACTTTGCAGGTACCACACATTAAGCGGTCATTAAAGACCGCCTTGAACTATTAAGACAAGACATGTATGTATGATAAAGTAATAAAAATTCATGTATTTCATAATATAATAGTACTGATAACAAAATATCTAACAAGTCAAAGATAGATAAATATTGTATACCTAATAGTTGGATAAAGTATTATTTATTTTACGTTAAGACTAGACATATTTCTGCAGATTTATGGCTTTACTATTGAATAAGTAGACTGATAGATATTAGATACATAAGGGTACCAGAGTTTCATAACTTCTAGTACAGAAGGTATAGTACATGGCATTATATGATAGATGATAGAGCAGTATGGCCTTATGTACATCCACCAACTATTTTATGTGGCTGGTTTAAAATTTAGACAAAAGGTTGAACTTTCATTATTGTTACATGCAAGGGATTTTTTGCGTAAAATAATGATTGGAAGGCAGAAATTGAATCTATGGTATACCAAGTATTTAAAACTTGGTATATTATTGACAGGTGTTAGTGCAAATAGTCAGCATATCCCCATATCTACAGAACTAACTAGTATAGAATTAGATAGCAATCGAGGCATTAGGAACTATGGTATGGGAAGTATTTATCAACCTATTGCTAGAGAAAATGCACTAATTCAGTTAGTATATCACTATCCTGAAAAAACTACATGGTTTTTACATTATATGTTAAGAATAGGTGCCATATCATTCATGACACTTGGCACTTTGACCATTGCATTTCTAGTAATATATCAGTCTCAATGTATTAAAACAAGTAAATATCTTTCTATATGGCTATTAATTCATGCTATATTACAAATTATTCAGGCTATTTGTAGAATATACTACATAAAGGTTCTCGGTAAACAGCCAATTGGACCAAATACTAGAATTACATATATACTACAGTCTATCAAGAAATTAACTGACTCCGAAGCTTGGAAAAGAGGGAAAATATTATCTGTTATATATTATATTTGGTTTACAATAGGGTTTTATTGGATATTGAATGTTTCTAACTCTCAAACGCAGGTAAATGAAATATATGAAAGTGACTCCTTGATAATATCATGGTTACATCGTAGAACATATTCTTTATTATCCGATAGTGTTCAGAGAATATTTGCAAATTTATCCTCAGTAGATATTAAATCTACTATCTGGCCATTTTATTTATTAATCATGCTTTTTTGTACCTTAAGAATTATACTTTTACTAGCAACTTTTTACTTAACCTTCCCATTATCAACTTCACATCTTGAATATCCAGGCAATAAGACCAAATCCTTTACTCTTGACAAGCTTATGATGCTTCCTGTAAAGACTTATTCAGAGTGGATATATGAGAAAGAGCAGGAAGAAATTTTAAACAAAAAAACAAATGATCGAAATATACAGGACAGTTGTATTATTTGTTTAACTGACTTCAGTTGTTCAGATTTAATCCGATGTTTGCCATGTAACCATTCCTTTCATGAGTCATGTATAGATGTTTGGCTTTTAAGAAGTGCTGTCTGTCCGCTATGCCAACAGACTTTAGAATAGTTTATGGATATTTGCGATGCACTGATAGATTCATTTAGGGAACTAAATTATCTTAATATAACTTATATAAAGAAGTATGTTTGATTTCAATTTTAACTTGGATAGTGTGATAATCTTGAGTAAATTTACTTAGGAAAAAGTTTAATCGTCTATTAATATCGAATTTATACACCTGACTAGATCGTAATATGAAGTATTTATAAATTCATTTATTTACAAAGAATTAATGATGCGATACATCACTAAGTATTTCAAGTTTAACCCCTAATTAACAATACTTATTGGATATTTCATTATTACTGTCATTACAACACTTTTTTATACTCCTCATTGGAGTTAGTATTTCCTAATAATTTTTTAGATTTAGATGATATTTTAATAAACAATGGGTTACCAATTGTCAATGGTGTGCCTTGCTTCAAATTATTAAAATCTGTATCTAGTAGAGGAATAATTGTTAGAGGAGTTCCTAAACGTGAAGAAATTTGTTCACAAGCATTTGGTGTGAACGGAGCCATCAAGTGAGCTAGGTAATAGATACTTTCAAGTACTATACGAATAATTTCAATACGATCTTCATCTGTTAAATCATTTGATTTATTCCATGGAGCATTATCTGTAAGGAATTTGTTAACCTCTCTGCATGTATGCATAGATATCTGTGCACATTCCTCAAGTCTGTATTTATTCCAACTATAGCCATATCTTTCTAATACACCTTTGGGACAAAATGGTTTTGAAATTTTTGAACTACATAATTTAGCAGGAACAATGCCACCACAGAACTTGTGAGCTAAATTAGTAGTACGTGAAACAAGATTTCCAAATGAATCTGCCAATTCTCCATTATGATAATCAACTATAGATGTTGTATTAAATTTAAAATCATATCCAAATTTACCTTCTCTACAAATATAATATCTAAAAGTATCTGTCCCAACTAGTTCTATTTGTTCTAAAGGGTCTACAACATTTTCTAAACTTTTGCTCATCTTCTTACCATCTGAAGCTGTAACAAACCCATGTCCAAAAATTGTTTTGGGTAATGGAATATTAGCACTCATTAACATTGCAGGCCAGATAATACAATGAAACCAAGCAATATCCTTACCAACGATATGGATAGTATTTGACCAATAAGTCTTCCAAAGTTCATTATCTTCATTTGGCCAATTAAGACCTGTTATGTAATTGGTCAATGCATCAAACCACACATACATAACATGTTGAGGGTCATTTGGAACTGGTACACCCCAAGAGAAAGTGATTCTACTTATAGATAGATCTGCTGGATTTTGCATATTATCTAATCTAGAAAGAATATTGTCTCTTAATATTTCAGGTTGGATAAAGTTCGGATTTTCCAAAATATGAGCATGTACACTAGGTAAATATTTGGTTAAACGGAAAAAATAAGAAGGTTCATCCATCTTAACTAGTGGAGTACCTGTTATACTATCTAGGTAATTCGTCATTTTAGCCTCTAATTCAGTAACAAATGTTTCTTCTTTGATGCTATACCATCCTGTATAAATTCCTAAATAAATATCACCACTATCCATGCAACGTTTCCAAATTTCTTCACAAGCTTTGTAATGGTCCTTATCCGTAGTTCTTATAAATCTATCAGTTGAAATGTTTAGTTTCTTATTCATCTCTTTGAATTTAATTACATTTAAATCACATAATTCCTTAGGTGTCATATTATTATTAGATGCAACTGTTGCATTCTTCAGACCATGTTCATCTGTACCAGTCATGAATCTAGTATTGTATCCAAATATCCTGGCAATTCTGACAATAGCATCTGATACAATAATCTCGTATGCATGTCCTATATGTGGTACTCCATTAATATAATTTATGGCAGTGGTTAGATAGAAAGGTTTGTTCAGGCCACAATTATAATCAAAGTCTTGCCATTCTTTAACATTTGTATTGGAATTATCTGCAAATTTGCTTGATTCTCCCGTCATTTTATTCAGAAATTCAGTTGCTAAAGGTATTTAGAAACAATTTAGATGTCTTATCTACCTTTATGCTCTCAAAGTCAAAAGTAGATATACTCAGATTAAAGAATATTCCTCTGGGAAATTATATAAGTATTAATAAACTATATATATCCAATGAAATATTCTATCTCAATATAATGTATAACCTAGATTCCTCAAAAGCAAAAGTTCATTTACATTGATAACACACTACTTGTCTCTAGTTAATCCCACCGCGGGAAACACAACACGTCTTAGAGGAAATCAGCATTTAAGATCTTTAAGGCAAATGAAAATCTTAAAATCCTACTGACTTATACTAGAAACTTACATAAATAGAAAATTTATTAAAATCCTACTTAGCGTTTAGCTCCTACACGAAGTTTCCTAGATGCCAGTTGTCTCTTTGTTAACTTGATAACAGAATGCTGACCAATAGATTTAGGTTGTTCTACATCATCTTCTATCTCCTTAAAGATAAGTTGGATGTTGCATGGTTGACTCTTGAAAGGGGTAATACGACCATAGGCACGGAAAACTCTTCTTCTATTAAATGGGGCATGTGTAATTACAGCTGAGGTAAGCATTAATCTTTCAACATCTAAACCCTTCATATCACAGTTACTCTCAGCATTCTGTAACAAATCCAATAGTACTTTGCAGGACTTTTGAGGGAAACGACCTTGAGTTAATTTAAACTCACGAGCTTTTGCTGTCCTTCCAACACCACCATTGTATCTTCTAAATGGAACGCAACGTCGCTTGGCAATTACATCTTCTAAGTATCTTCTAGCCTCTAATAAGTACATTCCCTTTATTGTTGTAACTGTCTCATAGGTATTTTTATAGCTTACACGTAAATCTGTACCCTTACACATTACACACTTTGCAGGTGTATCAGGTTTTACAGCATATTTCACCATCTTCCCCGTGCAAAATTCCCTACTTTATAATAATATTCGAAGACCTGATGCAAAATAATAAAACTTCTCAATTCCAAAATAAAGCGCCTCAAGTATTCCCTAGTATACTATTTCTACGTAGACGTGAATTCTAAACTTCTGCAAGTGCACTAGGTTAAAGTTATTTTACTAGTGCTGTCTCACTTGAGACACCAGATGAAAATTATGACGGCAATAAGTCTATCAAAATATTTACCGCTAAAATGGTATACGCAGAAAGTATATTTCTTCAATTTCCCTTTGCTCTGGAATATCAAAGTACTTCTCAGATTACTTCGTATGACCTCTTTTCATCATGAATTATATACCCCTTTGGGAACAATGTGACTTGTAGTAAATATCATACTGTCCTTATAATATCCTTGATATTACTCTAATATTATTAATTTTCCTCAATGTCTTTTTTTTAGTATAGCATTAACAATTTATTAAGAAAACCCTTGTGATTATGTTTAATTTGACATCTAATATTTCATTTCTACTCAAATAAGATGCTTCCCTAATACTTACATAAATTTTCTATTGAGATCCTGATGTTTTGCTGTCGAAGACAAGACATCCCACTTAGACCTAAAGGATTGTGTATGTAAAAAATAAAGAATAGAAAATATTCATAAATATCTTCTATTTTTATGTTTATTACTATCTGCATTACTAATTCGGCAGTTTCTTAGAATTGACACTTCATTATTAGGACATAATAGTGGATTGAAAGTGCGTTAAATTTGTTATGAAATGTCTTCAAATTGGCAATACGATATAAATCGTTGTCAAGAAATTTTAAATGTACTTAAACAGGCAGAATCCCCAGATAGTACTATACAACTACAAGTGACAAATACATTGAATACTTTTATTACGACTGTGCCTGATGCCTCGTGCTACTTTGCATTGATATTTGCTTGCATGAATAATGAAAATGTCGAAGTTAGGCAAAGAGCAGGATTACTTCTAAAGAACTGCTTGTTGCAATTTGGTCTACCTATATCTTCACAATTTTTCGAGTATATTAAACAAAATGCCTTGTCAGCTCTAAATGATCCAAACAGATTGATTCGATCTACTGCTGGTACAATTGTCACAAACTTTATTAATTTAAATATAGGTCCAGCATTATTAACTGAATGTCTACACTACTTATCTCAACTACTAGATTTGGCAACACCAGACAGTATTGATGGAGCTTTAGACTGCCTAATAAAGATATGTGAAGATGAGATAGAGGCTGGATTGGGAGAGGGTTCTACAAATAAGTTAAGTTGTGTAAATAAATGTTCAACTTCGTGTCAAACTTCTAGAGAGGAGGATTTTAAACTATTTCTAGATGTTTCTAGGAAAATTATTTTACCTAAGCTCTTTCTCATTTGCGAGAGGAAGCATAGTATCTTGAGTGGTAATGAAGTTGCAGTGCATCTAAGTTTTAAATGTATTACTTTATATGCTCAGCATCACCTTTTTAGTACAGGCCAATTACTAAATGACATGTTTCCAACTTATTGGAATATAATAGGAATCCTGGCTACTGACAGTAATATGAAAATTAGGATCCTTGTAGTAATTGGTATCTTAAGAGTAATGGAGGATGACCCCAATGTAATTTTAGATGGAACAAGTAGAGATGTAATTATTAATTTTATTATAGGATGCTGTGTTGATGGAGGTGGAGATACATACAATCTAAGATTAGAAGCTTTAGAATTTTGGCCTATATATATAAGAAATAATAAGGGAATTGATGCTTTACGACCTTTTTTACCAAAACTGTTAAATTGCCTCCTTGTTAATGCAATATTTACCGATTTTGACTATTTAGAAATGGATCCTTCTCACTTTGAAGATGAAATAGAGGATGATCAGTATTCTGTAGGTCCTAGATTTCATTATAGTCGTGGAGGTGTTGCTGTTAACGATGAAGATGTTGATGAAGTTGAAACTGGAGCTTGGGGCAATCAATGGACAGTTCGTAAAGCAGCTGCATTAGCACTTGATCACATATCTTTAATTTATGGTGATGAGATTCTTCCAGAACTACTAGTAAAAATAGAACAAAAACTCCAAGATCCCAATTGGGAAGTACGTGAAAGTGCTGTTCTTGTTCTTGGTGCCATTGCACGTGGTTGTATCAAGGGGTTAGCACCTTATTTATCCAAGGTTATTACATTCTTATTGAAATTGTCTAATGATCCAAAACCTTTACTTAGAAGTATATCATGCTGGTGTATAGCTAGATTTACATTATGGCTTTCTCATCAGCAGGATCAGCCTATTCTTATAGAGACCATCCGTACCTTACTCACCAAAATGTTAGATCCAAATAAACGTGTAGAGGAAGCTGCATGCTCAGCAATGGCAACTTTTATAGAGGAGGCATCCCAGAATATGTCATTAATTCCATTTTTGGAGGATATTGTTAATACGTTAACAACAGCTTTAAACCTATACCAATATAGGAATTTGTTAATTTTATGTGATACCATTGCTACTCTATGTTTCTCTGTAGGTTCTCCAGTATATATCCCAAGCTTTGAGAATAATTTACTACCACTATTTATAAGCAAGTGGAAAAGTTTTAATATTGATCACCCTTGCTTGATATCATCTATGGACTGCTTAGCCAAAACTATGAGTGTTTTAAGATCCAAGGCAATTAAATATAGTGAAGTTATTATTGAACATTGTATAGTAAATCTTATGGTGAACTCTATTACTGTTTTAAAGTCTGGAACCTCATCTTCTTTGGAAGTGAGTGATACTATTGAATGTACTGTGGACCTTATTGGTTGCATGCTTGAGGCTACAGGTTCTCATTGTATTCAATATCTAATAAAGTATAAATTTGCAGATTTTCTATCATTTTGTTGTCAAAGTGACTCATATCCTGCTATACAGCAGAGTGCATTTGCTTGTGTTGGGGATATTGCTAGATATTCTAATGATAAACTGGAATTCCTAAAACCAATATTACCAAATATTTTTGGGGTACTTGCTAGAAATGTAAATCACAATTGCACTGGAACAGCTAACAATGCAATATGGGCAATTGGTGAATTAGTTATTAACTCAAATAATGATACAGTCAATATAATTACTCCTTACATAGATGGTATTCTTGAATCTTTAATTGTTATTCTTCTGCATCCAAAATCAAATACTTTTGGAGCTGATAACCTAGCAGTTAATTCTAGTATTACTGTAGGTCGTATTTCTCTAATATACACTAATAATGTAGCGATTCAATTACCAAGGTGTTTAGTTGCATTATGCCATGTTTTAACATCTGTCCAAAATGATATGGAAAAAGTTAATTCAGTTCAGGGTATATGCCTGGCCATACAACTTAACCCAAGTTCTGTTGATATTCACTCTATTGGAGTATTTTTTGATCTTATTGCTTCTTTGCAACCAATATTGATGCAAACTCGCCAATCTTCAATCTCACTGATTGATGTACTAAGTCAAACAATACGCATAATATATTCTAATACTAATCAAGATATTTCTAATCAAGCACTGCAACGTTGTGGATCTTTTGTAAAGACATTTATAGGTAATAGCCTAAATACCCAATATAGTTAATATATATATTTACATATACACAGATTTAGAATTCATTAATAAAACACCTTTTGGTTGGAGACTGTTGGAGAATCGATTAGAATTCATTTTTTACTACAAAATATGGTGGGATATATCATTCTAAGAGAATTATATCTGAACAAATAGAGATTCCTTAGAAACATCAATTTTACATCTTTTTTTCTACACATTCTAATATATAGTGTATATACTTGTGATCCTCTCAATATATAGTATCTCAAAAATATTGAATTCTTAACTTTTGTAGTATGTAGAGTCAATAGTATATATTACCTTAAAGTTCAATCTTGCATTGAGATCACATACTAATAAGCTCAAAATAAGTTCTGTACACACTATATCTAAGAACTATCAATAATAAAAGTGCTTTTTTTAGTATCATGGCCTATAAATATATTATCTCAAATGTGTAAACTGTCATAAGGATGAAGTAAACTATCAAAATATAAAGGTAGCATCAAAAAACTACCTTCCATTATATTCAGAACTTTATTTCTACTCAGATTCCTTAAGATATATAAGTAACCTTATTCAATTGTGTGTATTTAACGAATATATCACAGATTTCCAAAATTTTTCAGTTTAAAATACTCATAATTTCTCAAAATCATCCATTTTAGTCTTGAAATATTTCTAACTTGTTAAATCTTAACTAAATTTTGCAAATATAGTCTAAAATATATCAAATAAATGATTTATCTGGAACTATTTATTGAATATTAAGAAGATATTGATAAGAATTACAAACATCTTCCATTAATTGTAGAAATATTGATGGAAACTTCTGTTTTATCAGAAATATATTTTAGTTTTTATATCTCTATATGAGATTGGAGCTCTTCAAATGACTCTTTAATACAAGAAAGTAATAAATCTGGATTACTAATAGAATTTGTATCACATGATGCTGATATAGAAACTGTATTTTTATATGAAAATACGGATATAGCCAAGCCAATGTTATCAGTTAAAGGTAAAGCAAAGCTCATATCACGGATTTGTTTCTTGTGGAAATTGCATTGTTCAGTTGGTCCAGGAACAGAGCTATAATACAATGAACATGATTTTGAGTGGGGATACCATAAAGATAGTAGAACACAAGGTGAATATGAGAGTGTATATTGAACATATCGTATGAAAATAATTGGTAAAGGTGTCTTGCGATATTCCTGAAGAGATTCAAAAACACATTTAAGTCTTTCTGAGGGAGAGGCCATAGGGCATGTTGGTATTGGTAGTACAATGATTGAAAATTCATTGTCCAACTTTCTTGGGGGAGTAATTCTATTATTTGTAGTAACAACAACATTTAGGTTTGAATGAAAACTTTGATAAAGATCCTCATTTAATTGATTATTATGAATACTATGAGCTATTAAAGCATTTGATTCTTTTTCTTCAGTGGAATAGTAATAATTTCCTTTATTATCGTTATATAAAACACATGAATAAGGTGATAAATCGTCAAATTTAGTCGAGTATGCAGGCTTGCAATAAGATTTAATTGCAGATATCTCATCATTATTATGCCTGATTTGAAATCTTGAAATAGGACTAGATATAAATGTTGATGCAGGAGTAGAGCATAATGTAGAAGCCGGGCTATCACTACCTTGTCTATGAAGTTTCACATACTTTATATAACCACTAGCTATACATGATAAGATAATATCATTAAATGTGATGCGTTTAGAGAAACTCAACCGTGTCTGCTTTGAAATCTCATTTTTTTTGCTTTCAATAGTTCTACTTTTAGGATTATCTATAGAGTTCTTTGACCTCATATTTTCTTGAGTATTATCTCTATTCATACTGTTGTTAAGGAAATGTTTCACCTTATTAATATCTGTAAGTTCAATACATATTGGACCTGCTAAACAAATATTAGAGGATCTTTGAGGTCTAAATTCAGTAGGATATTCCCAAGATCTTTCTTTACGAGTCAATAAAGATGCCCTAAGGAGAATTACAGGACCTGCAATGGATGCCCATAAAAGACCACTAATCCACTTATGCCAAAACTGAGCAGATTTAGTGACATGAGCATTATGACTCATATTCGGACACTTCTCATCATTATCTAAAATTGTCTTTATGACAAATTGAGATAATGTTGATCCATCTCCAATGACATGATGGAACTGCCCAATTATCACACTGCTATTTCTATTTTTCCATAATACATTATCCAAAACTAAAATTCTCCATAACGGTTTCTTAGTTGTAAGCTGCTTTCCACCAGAGTTAGATAATAAACCATAAAATCTTCGCATTTCATCACTAGATAAAGGGCCTATATCTACATTACCATTTCTATTATAATAGGTACTTCTATTATTTAAAAGATGTACAACATCTATAAGAGATTCATTTTCTTTTTCGTTATCATTTATCATACTTGGATTATCTAAGATTAACCTTGCAACTTTTGGAGAGATATTCAAAATATGATCCTCAATTTTATATTTTTTATCTACATAAACGAACCAAAGCCTACCAAAAATCCTCTTTACAATGCAAAAAAAACGCGAATTATTCTTAATATGATTTTGGTTATCTAAGAAACCTCCAAACGCATCTTTATATCTAATTCTACTGCTTAAAACCTTTTGTATCTGTTTAAATGGTATCTTATCAATAACAAAGAAACATGTTATAAGAGGCTGACTATGCATAGAAGTTCTCCACATCAAGTAATCTAAATCATTAAGTGGTTCCAATAAAGTATCTCTATCCCCAATATATAAAAAGAAACTAATGATATACCATAATTTATCTAGAAACTTCACTATATAACTCAATATTATCACAAAATAAACAAATGGTAATAGTACTATACTTCCTGTTATGGATAATAAAATGGACATCCACCCACTACCTGAAGGAATAAGATATATTTTCCTTAAGATTGTGGTTAATATTCTGTACATTCTAGTCTACTTTATAATCTAATATTTAATTTCTGGAAAACTAGTATTAGATATTCTAAGTTTCCCGTGGGATTCAATAGACAGATTCCACGAAAATGCCATACAAATAAAGCGCTTTATCTCTTAAAGGCCAAAATAAAAAAGTATAACATTAAGATCAAAACTAAAAGCAAAAATAAGAAAAATGGCAAGCCATATGACATTAATAGCGGTATTCGATAACTACTTGAATTGTAGGCTTTTCGAAGTTCATTGATGGCTTGCTTAGTAGTATAAACTGTGTTATCTATGGAAGTCTCTAAATTTTGAATTGTATCTCCCTGTTCATTAACTATAGAGGCAATATTTCGGAAAATTTGACTAACCTCATACATTTGAGATTGTATATGACCAATCCCCATGGCTGTCTCTTGAGCTATTTGTGTATCTACATTTTTAAATTGATGCACATATGACGTTATACCATAGTTGTCAAGTTCTGTCTCTTTACCAATATCTAATATGTATGAAGTTGCATTATATGGTATATTACTATATTCACCTTCAAAATCATCCTCGAAATCATCATCTTGAACTAGATCCGCTGTACTGTTCGGATTTATAAAGTCCCCAGTTTTACATAATAATTCACTAGCTCTACGATGGATCTCATCTACTCCTGATATCTGTGCATTATATAAACGTTGATATTTATCATAAGTGCTTTTTGATAAATTATATTGCACTGGGTCTCCTGTTAATTCAATCTTCCAGTCTCGTAATAAGTTGTCAATATTATTACTAATCTCATATATCTGTTTCAAACCTTCTCTATACCCATTTACATCTTTTGTAGACAGTTTACGCTGTTCAGCAGTTCTTATTTCTTGTTCTAGATTTGCCATCATTCTCTGTAATGTTCCTAAGCTATTTTTCAGTTTGTTTTCAAAGCTAGACCTTGAATTAATGATGGAATCTGTCATATCTATTTCATATCCCATATTATTAAACAAACTAGAATTTATATCTAATAATCTTATTATTTATTTATATTAGATGTACAGGGAATATAATTATCATCTTGGATATTTAATTTAGAATAAAAACCTTACCTAAAATAATACTCAAGCTTAATATATGTGGCGCCAAAAAGTCCACTAGACATGTAATACTCTTAGCCCAAACGACTAACAAAAAAAGAAAAGTGCACTGTTGTAAAGTATATATGATTAGGGATGAACTAGAAATCTATGACTACAATCTCTCAAACTACATAATAATTTATTATCCTATATAATAAAGTAATGAAATCAGATACCTATATAGAAGAAGCACAATACAAACAGAGACAGATCAGAAGCTTTATTACTGCAATGAAGAAGCTAGAGGCTAAGAGATGGGAACCCTTCAACCTCCATAAATCTCCATTATCATCTTTAAATATCCATATAATACAAAACTATATGATAGATACAATGGAACATGCAAAGGTAACACATCAAACTATGTATGTAGGGACATATTTAATGAATATTGGAATTAAAAATTGGGACGATTTAATGAATAAAATGCCCTCAAACTATAAGAAAAAGGAGCTTGATTGGAAATTAATAGTATTTGTAGTAACATGTATAGCATTAGCAGCAAATTATGAAGAGATTGAACCTCCTTCTATAAGAGTTTTATTAGAACATGTACTTTCATTGAGACAGGTGTCTCATGAACCACCAGATGCACTTATAAAAACTAAGAAACACTTATCTTTAATGAAGAAGCATATAAATGATATGCAGGTATCTCTTTGGAGTTTATCAAATTTCCAGGTTGAAGTGCCATCTTCATTCTCATTCATAACACATTTAGTAGAGAGTGATGCTAATCTTCCTAGTAAATATTATAAAAAGTTATTGAGAAATTGCAATAAAACCGCTCTTAAAGCCTTGAAATTAAGCAAGTTTTTGAAATTAAGGCCTTCATTAGCTGCAACTGCAATATGTATATATGTAGCTAGATGTATAATCAAAGATCTTGAAGTTCAAAATGCCTTCATAACATGTATTCTCAGTATTATGAAATACTCAAGGAAAAGAGTAGAAATAATTATTCAACAACTCTCAGATAATTTTAGTTAGCTAATAAAAAATTAGATATATCTTATTTTGATATAAATCTTAATATTTGAATATACTTGCAAATTTAGAATCCACGCTTATAAAACATAAGGTAACAATAAAAAGTAATGAATGGTAGGAAATCCAAAATCTTATATTTAGTAAAAATAAACTTTATACATATAAATCCAAAGGAGACAATAGTTACATAGAGATATAATATGTATAATTACTAGAATCCATATATTAAATTCCACCTTTCTCAAATTAAATTTGTAATATATGTTGGCGCCTATTTGGATACTGTCTTGGAATGCACAATGTGTGAGGAGTAATATTTGGAGGCATTAGATACGTAATTATATTAGGCTCGCTATATAAAGACAAAGTTTAAATATCCGGCAAGAGTATTAGAGACATAAGTGCTACTTGGTGGGAGTGAGGCTTTTGGGAAGCTGGTATCCAGCGTATCATGTACATTTCTTGCTACCTTTTTTTCGTGACGCCAAAGAAACTTGGATACGAATAACCCCTCTTAAAGATACGGAAACTGACAAGTGCGTAGCCAATGAAATAAATTATTGTAATCATAATTTGGAGAACAGACGAAGAAACCATTACAGTGTTAAAGATCCATATATTTGTATGTGCCTTTGGAAAACTCCAAATATCATATTTAAATTGGAGGAAGCCTCCTCTAATTATTCAGTACTAAAATATGAATATTAATGATGTGTGTGAAGAAGTGAACAATTCTAAACCACAAAAAATCAACAGTTCCTTATCATCATGTCGTCGTTGGATGATTTCTGGGAGATTTCAAGATATTCTCCCAAAAGAATCTTTAACCATGAGTATTATGGATTGGGAAGACTTGTATAGACGTGAAAAGATGGCTCAAGTACATCACAGTGTATATACTTCATCAGGATGCTTTCTACAATTGGACCAAAGACAATTGGTAATGAGCTGGATAAGTGATGTGGCTCATCGTTTAGCTTGGGAAAAAAGTACTTTTCATTTGGCTACAGGCCTTATAGATCAGTATATGTTTTGCTTAGAAAAAGATCCATCTGCTAGAAAGAAATTAGATCGTAGTTCTTTAGCTGCGACATTTGCAGCAGCTGTAGTAACAGCTGCATCTTTAGGAGAATGCCTTGGAGAATGCCATGATAGACGTCATTGTCCAGGTTTACCCCCATTACATAGATTTGTTCAAAGCAGTGGAATTATTCGATCTAATCGAGATATTGTAGAAATGCAGATCCAATTACTCGTACAAACTTCTAAATATGGAGGCCCTTCCCTCCTTAATAAGACCCCAGCTCATATGACCTTACATTATTTGTCTCGTTTGAAGCATCTTGTGGATGCATTGTATGCTTCTTTCACATATATAAGTTCAAGTGGATGGAGTAGTACATACATTCAGATGATATCTGAATTTACTGAAACTCATCCTTGTTGCCGAAATGGTACATGCTGGATAAACAAAATAGGTCTTAATACAACTGTTGGACAGGCTGTTTTAGGAGTCAGAGACAGAATTGATTATGGGGCATTATTTGAAAAGATAATGTTTGCAAGTGAATTAGCTCTGTACTCTGGAATCAATCTACTTGTTCCAGGTAGTAGAATTGCTGCGAGTGTCCTTATTCATATTCTATTCAGCCTAGATCCTGTATTGCAGGTTCCGAACCATCAACAATTATTGTATACTAATCTATGCCTTTTGGATTATGACTCAGATATAAGACCTTATATGCCTTATCTAGATCCGCTAATTCGGCGAGTAATTTCTCTATCAATTGAGAATATTCATGCCTTGGAGAGTCATAACAGTAAATCTCCAATAGGAATTTCATATGATAAGGCATTTTCGGGAATGCTTTTGATACACAGACATCATACTATTCCTGAAAAACTTCTGAGTGGTATTCGTGTTTCCACATTAATAGCAATGCACTCAAGAATGAACCAACCAAGTGTAGTGAATCCATTCATATTGTCCTCTCCTAGTTCACTCCCTGTATCGCCATATTCATCCTTCAGTTCAAATACAAATTCGCCAGCACATTCATTCCATTGCTCACCTATATTCTATCCATTTAACTCACGTTATATGGATGAAAATAGTTTAGTACATAATATTAATAAGGCTGTATTGGTAAACACACAGATGAACTCTGTAGGAACACTCCAAGTATCAAACTCTCAGAATCATGATGTGTTAATGAAGGATGAAGCTAATAAACAAGTAGTAATGACCTTTGATCATGGGGACAATAACTTGACATTCTTACATAGGCAAAGTGGGTTGTTTTATCATAGTGACAATCTCTATACAACATGCTCTACAGCTACTAATTCTCCTATATTAGGGAATTCTTAAATGAGATATAGTGATACCGCTTCTTGATGTGCAAATACATAGTTGGGCGCTTAACCAAAGACTTAATTGTGCTTGTAAAGGTCGATGAATATATCCATTTTACTGTACTTTGGAATTTTTAGAGAAACAAGTACGAAACTTAACTATATAATTGTGATATGAAATTTACTTGATTTTAGTTTGATGGAGGTGGGGGCTTCTGAACAAGATATTGAACGGATGTGGTATGACTCCTTTGAGAATTCTGTAGGAGGTTTCCTACATAACCATATTTCACTAATAGAAGGTATTTCACAAGATTTTTCAGGACAGTCTGTAGGTTTTGGGAAGAATTTCAAAGGTAACTTGAGGAGGTATCAAGGTAATGTCGATAATCAAAGATGGGAACTTAATCGTTTGGGGCATTCTGGAGCTGTGGCTATAAATACCTTAATAGGAAAGTCTGATGAGTTTTTTGTATCAGATCTTGCAGATGATAACTATAAAAGAATCCACTTAATTGTAAATAGTGTAGTTCCTCCATTTTTACTAGGACATGAAACTCTCTTTCAACGTAATGATCTAGAGAATCCAATTTCAATAGTAAAGGACTTATCGAGTGATTTAGCTAAACAGGCTTCTCGTGGGAGTGCAACTTTAAGAAATTTAAAAGAACAGGAAGATAAGAATAATATGAAACATCGATTTTGGGAACTGTCTGGATCTAAAATGGGTACTCTTGTTGGCATTGATATTTATTCTAAAGATAAAGTATATAGTAGAATGAAGAATATACCTCATTCTATGGATAACTCAAAGATATCTAGAAATAATGGAAAAGGATATACTGAGGCTCTTAATATACAATCTAGTAATATAGATACCAACGAAATCCTTGATGTAGACTATAAAAAGCACCATGATAATCTTACAAATAAGGATAAGAATCAATATTCAAATAATAGTACTAAGTCTACTTTGTATAATTCAGACTCACATTATAAAAGTGTGAAGCAAACTAATACCTCTATATATAATTCTGAATATTATTACAATGCAGAAATTAATGATAATAATGAGTTATATAAAGCTTCATATAGAGACATGCAACAAGTGAGAAAAACACTCCCAGTATTTGCTATGAAAGAGGAACTCTTAAATCTTATTTATGAACATCCAATTGTAGTAGTTGTTGGAGAAACTGGGAGTGGGAAAACTACACAATTAACTCAATACCTTTATGAGGCAGGATATAGTAATTATGGAATAATAGCTTGTACTCAACCAAGGCGTGTAGCAGCTGTCAGCGTAGCTAAACGTGTATCAGAGGAAATGAATGTGAAATTGGGAACAAAAGTTGGATATACTATCCGTTTTGAAGATCTTACTAGCAAAGAAACTGTAATAAAATATATGACTGATGGTGTGCTAATGAGAGAAAGTTTGACTGATCCTGAATTGGAACGCTATAGTGTAGTAATAATGGATGAGGCACATGAAAGAAGTCTAAGTACTGATGTATTATTTGGTATTTTTAAAAGTATACTACGTAGACGTAGAGACTTTAGATTAATTGTAACTTCAGCTACAATGGATTCTGATAAATTTTCCAACTTTTTTGGAAGAGCTCCAATATTTGAAATACCTGGAAGAACATTTCCTGTTACTATCCAATATCTCCGTACTCAATCTGAAGATTACATTGAGTCTGTTGTTAGACAATGCTTACAGATTCATTGTTCAGATATGAGATGTAACTTGCAAAAAAGTGGTAATAGTGAAGAAATTTCTAATGGAGGTGATATTTTAATATTTATGACTGGACAAGAAGATATTGAAGCTACATGTTGGCTTATTGCAGAAAAAATGAGTTTTTTAGTAGAAGATGGAGTATCTCCTCTTTTAGTTCTACCTATATATTCACAACTACCATCTGATTTACAAATTAAAATTTTTCAACCGAGTATATACAGAAAGGTTATTGTAGCTACAAATATTGCTGAAACTTCCTTAACTCTACAAGGAATTCGTTTTGTCATTGACTGTGGTTTTTGTAAAGTAAAAGTTTATAATCCTAAAATAGGTATGGATAGTCTACAAGTAGTCCCAATAAGTCAAGCTAATGCACAACAAAGAAGTGGCAGAGCTGGAAGAACAGCTCCAGGTATATGTTATAGAATGTATACTGAAAAGGCATTTCTAGGTGAAATGTTAACATCAAATATACCTGAAATACAACGAACAAATTTAGCAAATGTTGTTCTTCTTTTAAAAACACTAGGTTTTAATGATATATTAAGTTTCCCATTTATGGATGCTCCCTCAGAATCTTCAATATTAACTTCTTTGTATCAATTATGGTCTTTAGGAGCTTTAGATGATGATGGAAATCTTACAAATATTGGAAATTTGATGGCTAAATTTCCTCTGGATCCACCATTAGCAAAAACCCTTATAACTGCTTCAGAATTAAATTGTATTTCTGAAATTATTGTTATTGTAGCTATTTTATCTGTTCCAACAATATTTTTTAGACCAAGAGGTAGGGAAGAAGAAAGTGATGCTACTAGAGAAAAATTTGTAGTACCAGAAAGTGACCATTTAACCCTTCTTAATGTATATTTACAATGGAAACGTCATAATTATAATCCTAAATGGTGTGAAAAACATTTCCTTCATCACAAAGCTCTAAAGAAGGCACAAGATGTTTTCTATCAAATTAAGGAATTATATTTAAATGTAATGAAAGATCCTTATTTAATTCAGAAAGGAATTTCAAATAAATATAATAATTTGATAATAGAATCTCATGAAATATCTACATCTTTAGAACCAACTCTAGATATTAAGAAGTGGGATAATGTACGTAAATCAATCTGTAGTGGTTGTTTTCATAATAGTGCTAAAATTAGAGGTATAGGTGAATATGTAAATCTAAGAACATCTATGCCTGCTTATTTACATCCATCTAGTTCATTATACAATTGTGGATATATACCTGACTATATAGTATATCATGAAGTTATTGTTACAGTTAAGGAATATATGAATACAGTTACATCTGTAGAACCCGAATGGTTGAATGAAGTTGCTCCCAAACTCTTTTCACTTAGTACTTCTAATCTTAATAATAATAGAAAAAGTGACTCAAAAACTTCTTCATATGAACTTAATCATATACAAGTCAAAGAATTTAAAGATATAGATAAGGAATCACTAAATAAAAACTCTAAGAGACAGAATGTTCATTTAGATACACAAGGTCTACAAGATAAAAAGTTAGAACTCAACTTTACTAAACGTCGGAATTCTCGTGTTAATCCTAGCTATCTATCATTTGATACAGAAAGTAACTTTCTTTAGTTAATACAGGATCTCAACTTTATAACATATGCTTTTTTTCTTTGTAATATCATATTGCACCTATTCACAATATTACTGTTTTCATAGATCTTGAGGTTGTATTGTAATGTTAGGATAACTATTCCTACGCGCTGATAATACTTAAATGTTTCCTATATTTGGAATCTCATTTCTTAATATTTGTATTCTATTATAGATAAGAAGAAAAGAGATTCCTATTTTATTCTGAATATATATGGTAAAGAAATATAAAAAAAGTAATGTTATAATTAATATAAAACCTTCAGATAAACAGTGTAAGCCAGTTAAAGAGGTATTTCCTGATACTATTGATAAAAGTGATAATATGTTATCAATAAATTATGAATTATTAGAATCAAAGTATGTTCATGATGTATATGAAACTATGGCAGAACACTTTTCACATACTAGAAGCATACCGTGGCCAAAAGTAAAAAATTTTCTTGCTTCATTTTCACCTGGTTCTATTATTTTAGATGTAGGATGTGGAAATGGAAGATATCTTGAATGTACAAAAAATTTAAATATATTTTTAATAGGTGTCGATAGATGTAAATCATTGATTGAAATCGCAAAAACAAAAAATTCTTCTTCAGCATTATTTATAGATGATTGTACTCAACTTAATATCAGATCTCATATTTTTGATGGAATTATATGTATTGCAGTAATTCATCACCTTTCTAATAGTGAAAGGAGAATTCAGGCTGTTTCTGAATTAATCAGATGTGCTAAAAAAAGTGGTGGAAAGATTCTTATATATGTATGGTCATGGAATCAAGTAGCTGATACTGTTGGTGTTAGAGCTGTTACATCAAAAGATAGTCTAGTACCATGGCACTTACAAAAAAAGTATTCAAAGTTGGGAAATGAGAAAAATAATGATTATGTAAGAAATGTAATTATAGATCAAGATAATAAAGAAATTACACATAAGTCTTTAACTACACCATATAAAACCTATAATTCATCTAATAATAAAAAACACATTATACACGTACATCCTGAGAGATATTTAATTCCACTTCAAAGATACTACCATTTCTTTGAAGAGTATGAAATAATAGATATATGTAATCATGGTATAAATCTTTATCATTCCCAAACAGAAGATAAGAGTATTATATCTATTAAGCAAATATATTTTGATTCAAATAACTGGGCTATTGAATTGGAAAAAATCTGAAATAACACATTTATAATACATTTATTTAAAAAAAAAAATTAAATATATTCTTAAGTACAATTTAATAAATCCAATATATCATTAATATTCTCAATCAATTGCTTTCAAAATATTTATAGTTGGCGTTTCAACATTATTATCTTGTAAATTATATTGTACAGTGGTTTGATTATACTCAAGAATTTTTGCAGACCAAAACGTATGCGAATCAAATTCATAATATCCACCATATTCTGTAGGAATATAATATTTATCTATAAAGTGAGATAAAGCATCAAATTCTGTTATTGAACCAGGTGATTCATATAACTTATTAATTATCTGAAACTTCCTTCTCAAATTTACATGAACTAAGAAAATAACCTTGAAAACCATTTTTACAATTCTATGTGGTCTAAATATTAGAATTTGTCCAAGTCTAATTGGAAAGTAATTAGATAATATCTTTGATAATCTTAGACATATATCAAGTTTGAATTCCCATTGTCTAGTTTTCCTAGAGTTAACTAATAAAATCATACCATTACTTTGTGCTGGTTTTGAAAAAGGGTTTTCCCTCATTATTATTTCTGTAATAAATAAAAATAGAGCAGTAATTTGGTCTACAGGACTTATATCATGTTTCTTATAATGTAAATTAATCATTATTACTACTCTTCCATGAAGATCTAATTTATCTAATATTGTAATTTTCCCACTCTTAAGTTGTGATACAATTATGGGATTACATACAGATAAATCAAAACTTTTTGTTATATTATATATATATCTAAGTGTAGTAAATGCTTTATAAGATTTACAAGCTTGCTCTACATCATTTCCATAACTTCTTAAACAAAATAATGCTATTTCTTCTCTACTCCAATTTGTTGATGAAATTTCTTTATCAGTTGTTGAATCTATCGGGGCATATTTATAAGAACTTTTTAATAACATATTATTCATTTCTTCAAGACATTTCTTTTCTGTCGTAGAAAATCTACTTTTATATGAATGTATATGTTTATCTGAACTATTCAAAGTTGAATCTTCGTTATTTAAAATCTTACTTCTATGTTCATTATCTTGCATGTTATTATCAAACTCTTGTACATCTAAATTAGTCATTGGTAAGATTATTCTCAGTGATCTTATGTATCTAACATGAATTAACTATTATATAACTTTTTTTTGTGAAATTGAAATTTCATTTAATAATTGGAGACCTTGATATTATTCCAATAGAAATATAAATATTACTGTAAATATAAAGTATAAGTATACTTTATATTCTAATTTATAATTCTTATGACTATTGGTATGTATCTTCTTAATATAATAAATCTTAAGAATAGAGAATTAGATATATCTCCTTAAATTAGAGATACCCCTTCTTTATGGCGGTTGATGCACTAGTAGTTGGCGCCATGGTGCAATTTTATATTTTTAGATTTTCTTTAATAAGATTTAGTTAAAATAGGAAATTTTCTTTAATTAATTTATTTTATAATAATTAATTTATCTTAAAAGGAATTAAATTCATTTAAATTATATTGTACTTGAAAATTATTAATAAGATTTAATTTACTATTTATAATAATCTGTAAATTATAATATATTGTCTAAATTTGAATAAAAGATAATATCTTTGTTTCTAATATAATAATCTATATAAATACTTTAAGATTTTAAATTACTATTGTTTTAAAAAGATAATTGATTTATTGTAATATATAAAAGATATTTAAATTATATTTTAAGTTTTTATAATTAATATTAATTTGAAGTAATAAGTTTGGGATATTAAGTATAAATATTTTAATAATTTATATATTCAGTATTTTAATATTAAGTATAAGTATTATAATTTTATATTGGTATTATAATCTTCAAACATTATTTTAATTTCTAATAAAAAAAATTGATTATATTTAACATATATAATTTAAGTTTCAAGATTTTAATATAATATTAATATTATAAAGTTTTAAACTAATTATTTAATAATCTTACAATGATTTAAAATATCATAGAATTATACTATTTTAATTACAATTTAATATAAAATATTTTATCAAAAGATATTCAATATTAATTAAAAGATACCCCTTATTTTTAATTATTCAAGATATTAATTATCAACTAGATCTAGTATCTTCAGAATTTAATACTAATTCTATACCTTCACGGACTCCAGAAAAACAGTCCTTTAGTAATGGAACAAGATTCAAAATTTCACCTAAAATAATTAAAATGAATTATTATTATAATCATTTGTATTTATTCTATATAAAAAAAAAAAAAAAAGGAACTAAATAGAATATACTTTTATTTACCTTCATAATTCAAATCTCCAAATAAACGAATAATTAATGGGTAAAAATTAACTTGTATAAGCACTTCAGAATCTATATGAGACTTAAACAATTTATATAGAAAATACAAAATTTGTTGATAATTTAATTAATAATGCAATGTTTATTTATTACAAACTTACTATAATGAAATTTGTCTTTCCTAATTGTCTTAATTTTTTTGATGATTCACAAAGGTTTGTAAAAATTCCTGATAAAAGAGGATTTAATATTAATTGAGACATATCTCTTTTATTTTCAGATATAGCTACAAAAAAAAAGTGTAAATAAATATTTATAGATACTTTATTAATATTAAAAAAAAAAAGTACCTTTTAGTATAATTACTCCATCAATATCTGTAATAATAATACCATACAAACCTATATTTCTAATATATATAATATTAATATTATATTTAATGTTAGATAATGATTAATAAAAAAGTAAACTTACTTATTTATTAATATATCCAAATATTTCTGTAAAGTTTCCAAAGTTATATATGTTACTTTTGAATAATTAATATCCATAGTTTTTATCCATTAATAAATCTTAAAAAAAAAGGTAAAGTTTATTTCTAATATATTGTGAATTATTAGATATCACGGATAACTTATTTATTTATTAGTAAAAACAGCGCTGATAATTAAATAATTGAATACTATTCAATCTTTAAAAGTATCTAAATATGACTTATATATAAACAATGAAATATAAATATAAAAAATTTAGTAATAAAATATATTGAATGATATAATTTTAGTTTATATCTGATAAATATTTGTCTACATAATATTAAGATTTATAACTCATAAAGTAATTATCAAGTACTTTTAATGTTTATTAAATATTTTACATTAAACTTTTATTATGATTATAAAGATTAGATACAATTTGTTGTTGTTTCTGACTATCAATATTTTGTAATAAACAATTAAAATCAATATTTGTAGTACCTTGAGATTGATTTAAATTCCATTTATCAATATTATTAGACTGTTGTATAAATGAAGATATAGGAATTTGATATTGATTAGTATTAATTACAGGAACAAATTGCCTTGTTTGTATAATCATATTCATATGATCATTATTAGAATTTGATATTTGACCTATATTTGTTGGAAAAATATTTAAACCTGAAATTGTATTAGAATTTCGTAATATGTTATTAGAAATTTGGTGATTAATTGGAATTTCATTTACTAATTTATTTGGTAATTTAATATCTTCAATTTGAGGTGAATACATATGCGTTACTTTATCTTGAATATTTTTATTATCTAATTGTTGATTATTTAAATCTTGTTTCAATTGTATATTTATTTTTTGTTCATTATATTTTTGTTTTTGTTCATCTTCATATTGATTTTCATTTTCTTGTTCTTCAAATCGTTCTTTTTTAGCATTTCTTAAAGCAAGACGATCACTTCTATCTATAGGATTCCTATTTGAATAACTATTTACTAAGTTTCCATTTGTTTCATCTTCATATTGACCTTTATATTTAGAAAATGAATAATCAATATTTAAAGTAGCTTTCCTTCTAGTTCTTCCGCCTGTAAGCATAGCTTCTGTCGGAGCACAATTACCCCATGAAGATTCAAGTTGATTCCTTATTGATTTCATTTGTCTAATTCTTCTAAGTTTAGCTTTTTCTGCTGATATTACTATTTGATATTTATTTTCTAAAATTTTACCAATTTCTTCTAATTGATTATCTTCTAAAAATGAACGATAGGTTGTACAGAGAGTATCTGAATTATCAGATAATAAAATTACATTACCATTTTGTGGGTCTTCACGGTATAATTTAAAAGTTGTATCATCATCCACAGATGTAATATACCAATAATGATAACCTAATTCATCATTACCTAAAAAAGAAGAAATTCCAAAAAAACAACATCCAGCTATTGGTTTTTGACACTTTTTGTTATAATTCTCCAGTGATTGTATAGCATTTCTAACTTGTTTACTTTCCTGAATACAACAATTAATCAAAATTCTAATAGTTCTAAGCCTTTCATATAACGCTACATCTTTATATTCTAAATTTCTATATGGATTATAATTTAATTTCATTGAATTTACATCATTTTCTTCTTTTTCTTCTTTTTCTTCTTTATAATTTAATTCTTTATTCATACTTTCAATTTTATCCCAAAACATAAATTCAATATCAATCACTCTTTCATCAATAAATTTTGTTAAATTTCTTTCTAATGTAACATTCGGAGGAAATCTTTTTCCAAGTAATCCTAATAACTTTAGATGTAAATTTTTACAATAATCTGTAGGTTCATTACTTTGAAAAGCTTCTTCAATATCTGTAAATGTCCATTTAATACTTAGATTAGTTTCATTAAGTAAACTTAAAAATCTTATTAATGCAAAGAAATGAGGATTTTCAGTTAATGGTATTTCTGGACCATCGTTATAATGTGGAACTTCTATCTTTACTTGTTCCATAATCTTGGCATTATCTAAAGTTTTATTTGTATTCTTCCTGGATTTCATATCCACTATTATAAAATTCTATGTATAACATATGATAAATACAGGAATTTGAACTTTTTTAATTTATTGGTAATAACCTGTTAAAATATTAGGCGGGTTGATCAGGGTTTTTTATTATTATATTTTAGTTTTTAGGGTTTTTGCATGTAAGAATAAATTACAGGAAAAAAAAATAATTTTATTTTTTTCTGTTTCTTTTATATTATAATATGATGAACTCTTCAAAAAGTTCTATTAATTATGGATTATATGGTACTAAAATTGTATGGGATGCTGGATGGATTCCAAGTAAGAGATTACCAGGTAAATCATATTATGGAGAATCATGGGAGCTTAAAAATAATGTTAATGATTCTCTAGAGGAATTAAAAGAACAATTGTAAGTATATAATGAATATATTTAGTAGTTTAGTTTATAATATATATATTGAGCTTTAAACAATGTTTTCTAATTATATCTTTTTTTTTTTTTTAACCCTGGATCTTATTAAATAATGATTAAAATATTAATTCAATCTTATTTATTATTTTATTAATTTTAATCTTGTAAAAATTAATCTTAGGAAGAAATTAGAAGATGATATTACTAAATGTGATAATCAAATGAAACAAATTCTACAAGAAATGACGACTTCAAAAACTAATAATATACATGATATAGATTTTAATGTAATAGATCCAAATGATATACAAGATCCAAATATATTTATAGAAAATGCACAAAATATAAAAAATCAACTTGAGGTACGACATAAATATTATTACAATTTTTTTATATTATAATTTCTTTTTAATAGGATCAAAAAAAAGAAATTCAACGTAGTATTTCACGTCTAAATAAGACTGAATTATTATTTAGATGGGATCAGAAATCTTTACCTCCATATTTACATCGTATAGATGCTCCTTGGATATATTTATTACAGAAGCAGATAAATAGAGATAAAGAATTTGAAAATTGGATTCAAAATCAATGGAATGAAACACGTAAAAAATTTTACATATCACAAGGTCTTAAACCACCTTCAATAAGTATTACAAGTAAAGAAGTTATATATGGAAATAAAAAAAAAGTTAAAAATAATAAAGATAAAAAAGATAAAAATAAAGATGTAGAAGATAAACCCCCACAAGTTGATACAAAAGATATGAAATTTTCTGCAAAATTAGTAAGTATATAATAAGTCAATATTAACAATAAAATTAATTAAATATTTATCTTTTTATCTTTTTTTTTTTTTAGATTCCTTCATCTATAACTATTTTAGATAATGGTAAAAGATTTTTTGTCACTCAAAGTTTAGAAAATAGGAGAATACTTACAACTTTAGCTACTCAATCTGAAAAAATAATGAGAGCTCAATGGAGATATATTTTATTATATTGTGGAGGGGATTTTCAAGAATCAGGAATATTACCATTAATAGCTACAATTGACACACCTTTAAACCATACAAAATATAAATCTCGTTATTCAATGGCCCTAATTAGCCCTTATTGTGAAAATGGAAATGTAGAAAATATTATTTCAAATATATCAGGTGCTAAACATCGATATTATTATACTTGTGGCTTATTACATTATAATTTATTATTAATAATTAGGGCTTTAGCATTTTTAGAAATGTTTGAAGTATATCATGGAAATATTAAACCATCAAATATATATGTTAGTACTACTGGTTTTGTATTATTATTAGGGGATTTTATGTTACCATGTAATATTAGAGAATGGTATATCGATATTGTACAGAATAAGGCAAATATACCTTATAATATATCTCCAGAACTCAATAAATTATTAAGTCATCCAAATTATAAAACATATACTGAATTAGAAGAACAAATAGATTTTTATAAGAATGATGTATTCTGTCTTGCTATGGTTTTTCTATCAATTTCTATATTATATAAACCTACTCAAACAGATCTAGTGAATATTGAAAAATATATAAAAGATGGACTTATGGAACTTGCAAAAGAATCTACTTGGACACCAGGTAAGTAATATTAAATAAGAAATATATTTAAAAAGAAAAAAAAAGTCAAAATTTAATTATATATTTAAATACTACCCATCTATTTTAATATTAGAATATGTTAGATTACTTAGTAGAATGTTAATTTTAAATCCTAAAGAACGTCCAAGATTCCAAGATCTTCTTACTGTTGAAGATTATGAAATATTTCTTGGGAAAGGCCAATTTGAAAAATTAAAAGATCTATTTAAGATAAATTTATTTAAAGAAGAAGATGATGAATTATCGCAACCAGAAGATGAAATTTTACACTTTTCTGATTTATCAGAAGGAATTAAACTACAGAGAAAACAAGGGAAAATAGAGATTTGTTCTTATATGTAAGTTATAATATATATTAATATTAATAATTTGAGAATAAAAGAGATAGAAAAAAAGAAAAAAAAGGCATATTTAATTACTAAATTGTCTTTTATTAAACAATAATAATAAAATTCTATTTACAAATTATTAAGGGAATCTATTTTAGCGGGAAATTTGGCGGTATTTTTCTTTTTTTATAAAATTATATAGTTTGTGTAATCCTTTATCTTCTAATATAAGTTAAATTTCTCTTTATGTATAAGTTTTAGTTATATTGATTAGTTATTTTATAATGGGGTTATCTAGTTCATTATTTAAAGGAAGTGATGATATAGGAATGGTTTATAAGGATAGGAATTGTGGTGAAATAATAAAAAATAAGAATTCTGGAATATCTAATGAGGAATTAATAAGTTTTTCTAATGATGTAAATGATTTAATAGATTTAGAATTTCACATAAGTCGTATGTCATATCAAGATAACTCTAATTCAATGAATATTTTAAGACGTGGCAAATCACATGAATTATATATGAACCTTTATTGTAAAGATGAAAATACAAATAATATAGAAAGAATGATACAAACAATGGATCGTGCTGAAACTTGTATATTTAAAAGAGAATCTGATATGAGAAATTTGGTTTTTTGTAATAATATATCTATAGATGAAAGGAAGTATAAGAATTATCTTATAAATAATATGATTATTGATTTATCTGGTATTAAAAAACAAAATAAACCATATGTTGGTAATAAGATTTTAAGGAGTGATGATCTGATAGATATTTCATTAAGATATATGTGTGATAGTAAAAAAGGTGATTCTTTACCATTATTTCCTTCTTCTATATATACAAATAATATTGTAACAAATCCTTGGTATTCTTTAAGTAGTATAATTTCTCAAAATTATATTTTTGAAGTTCCAGAAAATGTAGATATATTACCACTTATTGGTTATGAATTTTTTATTGACAATATATCTATTAGAAAATCACCAAATCTTCAGAATTTATCTTTTTTAGAATGTTTAAGATTATCATTAAGAAAGAATAGAAATGTTCATTTTAAGATTATTAAACCTCAAATTTGGATAAAACCAATAAGAGATGATAGAAATAATTTTGGTGTATCAACAATTGAATATGAAAAAATTGAAGAAAAACAAAATTATTTTTTTATTCATAGTTTAGTATATTGTACTGTAATTCAGGGAACTATAAATATTACTAATAGTAATAGTAATTCTAAGAAAGAAATATGGTGGAATTTTGAAATTGAAGATAATCCTGAGGGTTATGATACAATTCATTTACCCTTAGTAGATTCCCTAGGTAATGGACTATTAAAATTAGAAAAGTGGTTATTATTGGAAACAGTGAAATATCCAAAATCTTGGATACCTTTCATAATTCCTAAGAATTTATCAGAATATATTACATTGATGCCATTATCTGAAATAGATAGTCTTATGACAGATGCATATTTACTTTGGAAAAATAGATTTTTAGTAAAATCTTTAAACTATTATAATACATGTATTACCTTACTTATTGATGAGAAAAATTTTAATAATAAGAGTTTTTTAAGATTTTTAAATGAGGATCATATATCTAATTATATAATTTGTTTTTCAGAATTATTGAGTCAATTTGAAAGTTGGAGAAGGACTCATAATATTAATAGTAATTATTTTATAGAGATGATATCACTTATTTGTATTAATTCATTACTTATATCTGATTATCTTTTGGGAATATTAAATTTATTTTATAAAGATTCAAAATTACCAATTGCATTAATATATATGATTGATAATCAAGATAATGATATATTAGAATTTAATAAAAAATATTTTACACTTCTTATTATTTTGGCTAAGATTACAACATTAAGAAGTTTAAGTTTAAGATTCTTATTACAATATCCTTCAAAGGATTTCTTAATAAAATATTTAAATTCACGTATACAAAATATATCAAATAATAACCTATCTCTTATAAATATATTTGAAAATATATTAAATATTATAACTAATGATCAAGTGATTTCTAGTGCTATTGAGACTTTTGCATGTAATTTGGATATAATAAGGATTCTTAAAATGAATTGTCATATACCACAAGCAATAACTTTAGATATTTTAATATCTTCAATATTATTTTTTGCAGAAATAAAACAAGATATTTCAACCTCAATATTTATTGGTGAAATGTTTTGTGAAGAAGTAGGAAGTAATATAATAAATGATAAAGATATAAATAAAGATAATTTTGCTTGGAGTGATTATTTTAAAACTTCAGAATTTATTAATATTCAGGACTTTATAAAGAGTATGGATTTAATATTATTAGATGACGATTTTAATATACATATGGATTATTTAACAAATATCTATATTAATTCTAATAATATTGAATTATTAAAACAAAGATTAAAACGTGTATATGAATCATTAAGAATTAAAATATATAATTTAAAAATTACATTAAGTCCTGAATTTATTAAATTTCTTGTTCCAAAAGCTACTAAAAGTGTTAAAGAAGAAATGACATATTTAAGAGGAACTTTATTTACAAAAACAAATATATATAATATAATAAATCAAGAAGATGATCTATTTGGATGTTGTCAAAATCAAGATATTCAACAAGGATCTCCAAGAAATATATTTGTACAAAGTAATATATCATCCTTTCCTGAAGTGAATAAGTCACTTATACAGAACCAATATTTTATTAGTTCTAATTCTTTTACATCAATTGAAAATAATTGGAATAGTATAAATATTGGTAGGTCATCATTTAAAATTTTTTCATTTATCCGATCTTTAATTACAGGTCAAAATGGAGGTATTCAATGTTGTAATACTGATCATACTGATTTTAGAAATCTCTTAGATTTAGCAGATGTAGGTGAAACACATTCAGTGCTACCTACATGGAATGTTATAGAAAATTCAGAAGAAAATATACCAATTGAAAATGAGGTTTCTAATAAGATAGCTGAAGAATTAATATTAGATTGGATTAAACTTAGATGTTGGAATTTTGCAAGTACAGATTTACGTTGGATTGATGGATGTCGTTATATTGGAGAAGGTGTATATGAGACATGTTTAATGCAAATATCACCAAATATGTTAATTGAGGATATTGTAGATAAGATATTTCAAGAAGTATATCATTCTGAAGTACGTAAGAGTCTTAGAAATATTACATTTGAAGCACATAGTCCATTGATACTTGTTAGAAACTTTGTGATCCCATTTGGAGAATTATTAATACCAAATCCTAATATTGAATCCTTAATAGAAGTAATAAAACAAATTTCTTATATTTAAGTCCATATTAGTCAATTAATTATACTGAATATTAATTTATACTATTTGTTATTTGTTTATACAATATATATAAGATTATTATAATAAAAGTATAAAGACATTATTCACCGCCCTCTTTAATACTATACCCTTATCTCATATTGACATTTTTATTTTGGAATAAAAATTACTTTTTAGAGTTAAAAAAAAAAGAAAAAAAAGAAAAAAAAGACAAGTCGATTAATTATATTTATATAAAAGCTTTATTACAAGTATAATTTAACTATTTTAATATGAGAGAGAATAATATAGATGTAAATGTACAAACTACTAATGAAGATGACAATTTTGATTGGGAAGTAGATCCGGAAAGATTGAAACATTTAGTAGAGAAATATAAAGGGGAGGAATTTCCATTATTTATGGGTGAAGATGTACTTGATTCTAATAATGTACATATACAAGCTCTTCAATCCTTAATTTATGATGATGAAACACCAGAAAGTCTTGCAGAGCAATTTCGAATAGTAGGTAATGAATATTTTCAAGATGGTCCAAAACGTTATAAAGATGCAATTTTGTCATATACACGTGGTATAAGACAAAATAGTAATAATAAAAAGATAAATTCATTACTTTATTCAAATAGAGCTCATATTTACCTTTTAATGAAACGATATGTTGACTGTGTTAATGATTGTAGATATTCATTACAAGAGGATCCAACTAATATTAAAGCTGCATATCGTGGTGCAAAAGCTTCTTTAGAGATGCATCTTTTTCGTCAATCATTAAATTTTGTTAATCATGGATTAAAATATGATAATAATAATGAAGAACTTTTAAAATTATATCAATTATCTAGAGATAAATTAGAATGTATAGAAGAAAAAAGAAAGATATTAGATTTAAATAATGAAGATAGGTCTCAAAAAGATAAAGTACAATTAATTATTAAAGAAAGAAATTATCAGCTAAATGAAGCTATTTATGATGCTATATATACACATCATCATAATATAAACTTAAAAAATAATGAACTTATATTTCCCATAATGATTTTATTAGATGAGGTTATGCTTTGTGAATTTATATGTGAAGCTAATGAAAATTCTAAAATAAGCGATCATTTAAAAATCATGTTTCCAGGTGATAGGTTTCTTGAATGGGATTCTCAAAAAGTATATGTTTGGAATAAATTAAGTATATTTTATGAATCAGGGTATCCATATGAACATACTGTATGGGAGGTTTCTATTAATAAAACAATTAAAGAAATTTTAGATCAGATTAAGATCATTCCAAAATGTCCTACATTTCATATTATTGCTAGTAGTTCTCAATATATTCAAGAATTTACTAATACTATATACAAAGTAATTAAAGATCCATCTCTTATAAGTTAATATATATAAGAAATTTTTTGAATCTTGTGGAATTATTTAGTTAATGTATTTTGTTCTTTATATAATCTTTAGTAATACATTTAATCTAAAAAATCTGAATATTAGTTACAATATTAAGCGGTATATATAGACATAATTAGATATTAATTATTTATTATTAAAACTATCGATACCCCAATGAAATCCTGCAAAATTTGTTTTATATAGAATGAATCTAAATATGAATTTATATTTTTATATATTTAGTTAGAGACAAGAATTTATTTGAATATAAATGCAAAAGCTGTGTTGGCGGTATCACGCGTAAGATTATATTAAGACCTGGATAACCCCACAAATACAATAATAAAGCTTATAAGAAGATTTATATATAGAATGAAAGTAGAGACACCACAAATTATATGGCATTCTAAAGATAGCAAGTTTGCTGATAGAGTCTATTCATTAGATTTTCAACCTGGATCATCACGCTTAGCTACTGCAGGAGCAGATGAGTTTATTCATATATGGGAAATAATAAGAGATTCAGAATGGAAATTACGTATTTTATCACGTCTAATTGGTCATGAAAAAGAGGTTAATTGTGTAAGATTTAGTTCAAGTGGACATTTTTTAGCATCAGGTGGTCAGGATGATTCCTTATTTATATGGAAACCCACAAATGAGAAACCACAAATGTTATTTGGCCATAATATTGAGGATATTATAGGATTTCCTGAGTATTGGAAAAGAATTACTTTAATAAGATGTATGGCACCAGTTATTTCCTTAAGTTGGTCCCCAGATGAATGCAAAATTGCAGTTGGTACTGAGGATAATAGAGTTTCAATTTGGGATACCCATACTGGTAAAATTTTAAGACAATTAGATGGGCATAACCATATTGTAATGGGAATTAGCTGGGATCCAAAAGATCAATTTATAGCATCTCAAAGTTCTGACCAAACAGTAAGGTTATGGAAATGTAAAACTCCAAAATTAAAAAGAAAGTCTCAAAATCAAGTAGTTATACCCTATAATGAAGAATCTAAAGAGAATATAATAGAAAATAAGAATAAAGATATAGAATATAAAGACGAAATTTTAAATAATGATATTAATATGTCATCAAATTTACAATCTTCCAAACTTTCGAATATTAAAACATGGAAATTATTTCAAACAATAAAATATGAATTTTCTGAAGTATCTAAGGCAAAACAAGTAGATACTGAAGATAATGCTATAATTAGTGATGATATATCAATAGGCAATAATTCAAAAATAAGTTCATCAAATATCCGTCGTCGTTGCTTATTCTTAGCTGAATCAGCAACAACTACCTTCTTTAGAAGACTTGATTGGTCTCCCAATGGAGATTTATTAGCTGTTCCAACAGGGCAATATTCAATAAATGAAGCTTGTAATAATAATTCATTGTGTGTTCCAGTTTCATATATATTTATACGTAGTGAATATTCATATCCAGCTGTTGTATTACCATCTCCAGATGGACCAACAGCTGCTATTCGCTTCAATCCAGTTACATTTGCTCCTTTACCAGAATATCCTGGTGACATGGATGATAAAAAATTCCAATCTTGTTTTATTACTAAAAGAAAAACTGCCCCTGAAAATCCACAAAGTTGGTATATTTCAAATAACCAAAAATCATCAGATTTAATATCAATATCTAATAATCTAACTCCCCGATATATATTTGCTATTGTAACATTAGCAGGAACTATATATATATATGATACACAACATATTCATCCATTAATAGCAATTAGAGGTTTACATTTTCAAGGTATGAATGATATATCATGGAGTAGTGATGGCCATAGTCTTGCAGTAGCATCCTCTGATGGATATATTACAATTGTATTTTTTGAAGATGGTGAACTAGGTGAGGTCATTTTGCCTAGTAATATCCCAAACAATTCAAATATAGAGAAATCTATAATATATTTAGGATCTAAGTCTATTAATAAAAATAAAGAAGATAACTCTGAAGATTTACATTTTCAGAATAGATATACAAATGAATCTGTAAATGTTGATGATGGTATATATATGAAATCTAAACGTAGAATTGCACCTACTATTTTGGCCTCATATGATAATGAGACTACTGAATAGTTATAATTGAATATAAATAAATTAACTCATTAGTGTAATAATATGGTTGGATGTAATTTGTTATTATTGATTATCCTTTTTTTATAAATAGCTTTAATATATCTAAATATTTAAGAACTGTGCACATTGACCGCCATTTTTGGCGCCTTTTATATGTAACTATGATTTCTGTTTTATTATAGAAAATAGAGATACACAATAAGTATATGTTAAGATACAAAATTGTTTAAAATATAATATTATTCTATTTATGTAATTTCTTACCTTTAGGGATATTCAGGCTATTTTATTTTTTTATGAGACACAAAGATACGTTTTAATGAGACAAGAAGTGAAGGATTTGTTTACCACACATGAATATATTTCAGGCTCTATGTAATAATACTTGGATGTGTGTGTGTGTCTACATACATAGTGATGTATGTCCATATACACAAGCTAATAGATGAAAATCACAGCATTAATTATAACCAAACGAATAAATAGAAGAGGATTAAACCTAGAGGAAGGGCTAGAAGGAAATATATAAATATTATCTATATATCTATATATCTGGCTGTCTTTATTTTAGTGTACTAGATTTTGATATTTTATAAGTCTTGGCACATATCGACAATGAGCTGTAAAAATGCAGGCACTTTGATGGATATATTGCGTGAGAAATATGAAAATAGTGCGATAGTTACTCTGAGTAGCTTATTTGTATTTGTTACTTTATGCAATATGTTCATTATGTATCGTTTATTATTGGATGTAATACCATTCCCAATTGGAGTGACATTTTCTCAGTTATTAGTGGGAATGATGCTAGCTTATGTATTAGGTGGATTTGATTTTAATAAAGTAAAAGAAGAGACATTAAGTAAAGCAAGTGAGTATGCAGGTCCAGTTGGTATCTATTTATTAATGTTTACTATTGCAAATATTTTATTAAAGTCTACTCCAGTAATAGCAGTATATCCATGTATATTAGCATTAGCTGTAGTTCTACATCACATATTCCGCTACTTGTTCTGTGATCAAAGGAATCTTTTATCATTTAAAACAGTAGTAGTTACAGCATTGTCATATATTGTAGTGTGTATGGATACCAATTTAGTTCCTCCAACACTATTGGGTTTATCTATCCTTTATGCAATTTCTTCTGCTATTTTCCGTGCAGTGTGTTTGGAGAAGGCATTGCATATAACAGATCGCGATGCCAATAAGTTGTATAATGTCCAGGTATTCTGTGGCGTTTTTGCTCTATTTATTGCAACTATAATTTTTGAACCTGAGTTTTTCTTATCTGCTCAATCAAAGAGTATTTTGGAAATATTGTTATCATTAGGATGCTTGGTTACGGTAGGAACTATTCCATTTGTAAAGAATGTTATTGCAAATAAGCTAGTAACTTTGGGACAACAGGCTCCATGGAGATTTTCAGAAATTATTTCAGTTGCTTTATTCTTTGTATTTGGTGGATTATTCTTTGAATGTGATGTAACTGTTATCACAGTAGTATCCTTTTTATTAGTTATTACAGGTAGAACGATGTCTATGATTGATATTATCAATAATGATAAAGCAAGACAGAGTATGCATCATCGTGCTCAACATTCCTTGGCTTTTAATGAATTACATGATGATACATCTGCAGAGGTTGACCAACCAGTAAATATTGATGTTGGAGATGGAGTAGTTACAGATGTGTATGAACAACATGAAGGTACAGAACATGAGGATGAGGAAATAGATCAAGAAGCTGGATACATTGAACATAGTAGTGATGCCGAAGCTGAATAATTAATTATGAAACAAGTAATAGCAGATAGAGGTATTATCTGAGACAGAAGTCTATTAATGTAAAAGTAATATGCATTACAATCTAATAATAACTAGCTCAGTATTTAGATCTTCATTCAGATGTTTTCAAACTATTATAGTACTCGAAATTTCTGCATATTCTCGAAGAGAATAAAAAATCTTCAACTTTTAATATTAAATACTAGGAACGGTATTTCTAATTCATAGGATAATTAATACATCTTTGTGCATTGTTTTGCAAGCAATTTTTAAGAAATTTGTAAATATTTCAAAGTATATTTTTATTATTAAGGATATCTATTATTAATAAACCAGTAATTTCCAATTATTCATGTTTGATTTTTAAGACTTTGTTTTTTGATATTTCTAATTGTTTCCTATAAGCTAGATGTATCCATTCTCTAGTTAATAAAAGTAAGGATCCTTGTATAATTATACATATAGAGTACATGTAATTTGCATTTGCTCGATTTTCTACTAACCAGATATGTCTGATATTTGATATTAAAGATAAACCAACTATATTTAAAGATAATAAACCAGTTATAAAGCGAGAATAATGTGTTTCCTTATGACTTGAAAAATCAAATAATATTAAGTATAGACACAGAGTATAATTTATTAATGTTGGATGATTTTGAAAAAATAAAACCATTACTATTGTAGTTTCCATTATCTTGGTTGGTGTATTTCTAAATGCAAAAATTAGCGGAAAAATAATAAGTAATGAATAGACCCCAAATAACATTTGAAAGAGGAGTTTAAAACGGGAAAATATTACTGTCATTATATACCAATATATACTTAGGGAGGGAGTAAGAGTATCATGATTATTGAAAGTAATTATATGCCAAAAAAATCTATTGATATAATCTTCAATACTCATACTATCAATAATAAGTAGTGATAAAGTATGAAATATACATAGAGATATAGAAAATAACATGATAAATGTAAAGACACGACTCCATATTATACTATAAATATTATTCATTGATTTAAATATTTTAGGAATTATATTAATTATTAAATATGAAACTTTATTCTTTTTAGATTTTACATCAAGATATTCTGTAGAAAAATTGGAGTCATTTTGACTTATGTTATCAGATATACTATAACAATAAATCAAAGGTGCTAATAGGCATATAAAATTTATTGATGAAAAATATATCAGTATACTATAAGTAATTGGTAAAAAAAATCTTTTATTTCCACAATATTTCTTGTTTGAAAACCATAACAATAATACCAATAGAAGCTGGTTAATAATAGGTCCAAAAGATAACGAAATATTAGTGTAAATCCCAATAGGATTGAATAAATATCCTACAAATAATATAAAAGATATATATGAACGAACTGAATCAGATTTTGAAGTTGAAAATTCTTCATTAATATCCAAATTTTCATGGTAGTCTAATATTAACAGAGCTGTAGCTAGATCTAGTAATGTAAGGACTAAAAATAAACCTAGTTCTTTAGACTTAGTATAAGGGCACCAATCATTAAATAAAGCCAAAAATAATACTGGAAATCGGATATTATATGATACATAAGGGCTTATACCACTTTTAATTAATGTACAAGAGTCTTTGATATCTCTAAACGTGTATCCAGGTATCACGTTTAAAGGATCTGTATATATATTGGGATCACTTGCATAGTATTGAAGAGTTAATATGCGAATTATTACAAGTAATATGACTACTATCCACTTCTTGTTTATTGCTAACATGCAGTAATTCTGTTAACATTGAATCTCCTAAATATTGTAGGTAAAGTTATGCAGTACTACCGCTAAAATATTAATTCTTACCCCTAAAATTATTGTGAGTGAAATATTTTAAGTGTAATAGGTAACATTAGTCATTTTAAGATACCTCAATTATTTTAGACAATAAGTTAAATACTACACACTTTACTCATCTAAATTAATATTTGAGCCAAACTTAGCATATAGATCTGTTTTAAGTCGAGACATTTCTGTCTCAATATTAGAAAGCTTATCTGATAACTCCATAACTTTTGATATTGTTTCATCTTTGTATTCCTCAATTACTTTCATTACCTCATCTTCGGTAGCTAAAAAGAAAGATTCACCTATTTTTAACCTATAAAGAAGTAGTTAAATATTAGTGAAATTAATGTATATAATGTGAGAGACTTTCAATATCACTGAAACCAGTGAAAAGTACGTCAAAAATCTTTATATTTCAGATCCCTATATATTTCTTATTTTTTAACTTTAATTAATTAGATATAAGTCTTTATTGACAATATTATATTTTATGGATTTCATAATAGTGTAAACTTACAATAATTTATCAGAATCCATAGATAATGTGACCTCTTCTGTAGCATCCTGATATGTCTGTAACTTCTCCTACAAAATACATAAGATATTACTAATTTATGTAAGAATATTATTACCATACTAAACTTACTTTTAAATTATTATATTTTGTAGTTAGGGCCGTTTTATAATATAACAAAGAACTGAATTTATTTATCTGTTTTTGATCCTCATAATTAATTTCAATGCCAGTTCCAATTTCATTAGACCCCATTTATAATATTTCTAATATTAGATGTAGCTTTAATCACTTTTATAAAGTGTTTAAATACTTTAGAAATCTTTATATTGGAAGTATAAACATAGCTTCCAATATACTAACCCGCTAAATAAATGACTTCTAGTCCTACTCGGTTAGCATATACCTAAATATGACAGACTCAAGCAAACAAGAAGGTGATTTAGATGAAAGCAATGATCTTAGTCTTATGACAATATCTGAAGGAGCTCAAAAATTAATGGGAGACTCAAAGTATACTAAAAAACGTGATGCTATACCCGTGGAATTAGAAGACACTTCTTTTAACAAGACTGTAAGAAGAGATATTGATGAATTGAATTCAGATACCTCAGATGATGATTTTGGTCCTCTTCCACTTTTATATGCAACTAAGATTAATACCGAAGATGATAGCTCTGAAGCTGGACCTGGCACAATATCGAAGGCTAATTCACAACTAAATAATGAAGGTAAAACTAAAGATTCTAATTATATATATCCTATAAGCCTTCCATGTGGAGAATTATATGAGTATAGTTGTATGCATAGGAGTCAAATAAGTCATATTGTATGCAGTTCCAAAACTGGATTTGTAGTTACTGCAAGTATAGATGGTATAATAAAGTTTTGGAAAAATATTAACTTGAAGAAAAAACCAGATAATTGTAAGGACGATCGATTAGAATTTGTAAAATTATTTAAAGCTCATAAAGATATTATATCTGATTTATCAATATCTATCTGTGGAAATTTTTTAGTTAGTGTATCATGTAAAGAAACGAGTTACAATCTATTCAATGTTACAAGCTTTGATATGATATCTTCTATAAAGTTACCATTTAAACCTGGAAAATGTAGATTTATATTGGATAGCAGTAGAAATGCTTCAAATTATATTATATCTCCTCCAATAGCTATTTCTGATAGTGAAACACCAAGAGTATATATAATTCCTCCAAATGGTAACTGTATCCAATCTTTAGAAAAATTATCATTTTATAATTATCATAAAGCTATTATTAACTGCCTTTGCTATTGCCCATTTACAAATATTGTGATTTCTGGTGATATTAGTGGTGGTTTAGAAGTTTGGGATCCACAAACTTTGTCTTTACCTAAGAAAATGACAACTAAGGACTTTAAACTATCTTACAAAAACATAATTAAATATGAATATAAATCAGAAACTGATTTATTTGAATTGCAAAAAGCCAAAATATATCCTATATGTATTAATTGTTCTCCAAATGAAGAGACTTTTGCTTTGTTATGTTCTGATTCTTCTGTTAGAATATATCGTACAAGTACTGCTAAATGTATTAAAATATATGATGAAAGTATATCTATGTATAAATTGTCTCAAAATGATCCTAAAAATGAAATTCTACGAATAGATCCGTTAGAATTTGGTATACGAAGAAAAATAGAGCTTGAGTTGAATAAAAAGGATTCCTCTTTTTTTAATTTCCAAACCTTATATTTTGACGAAACGTCAAAATATATTCTTTATCCTTCAATTATTGGCATTAATATTGTAGATTTGACTAACAATAAAAAAGTAGTGATCTTGGGGAAACTAGAAAATGGCAAACGATTTTTGTCGTTTACATTACTACAACATTATCATGCTAACATAAGGAAAATAACTCTCAACACAGAAAAATATGATTTGGTGTCATCTGTGTTTAATCCAATAGTAATAGCTTCTGCTTATAAATCTAATCGCCTTTATGTATTTTCAAGAAAGCTACCAATATTAGAAAGTGGCCATTTTGACTTCAATAGAGATCTGTACAATGATAAGCCTACCAAAGATGAAATAGAGAAACTTAATAAACTTGAGTCATCAAGAATACCTAGGGAATTAAATAAAAATAAGAAGATAGCTAAAATTGTCATATTACACTCAAGCAAAGGGGATATTACCATTGAACTTTTTAGTGAACACTATTCTCCTAAAGCTGGTGAAAATTTTAGTACCCACTGTTTAAATGGATATTATAACAATTGTATATTTCATAGAGTTATAAGAAATTTTATGATTCAAACTGGAGACCCACACGGGGATGGAACAGGAGGGAAATCTATTTGGGGTGGCTTATTTGAAGATGAAACTAACAATAGTCTAATGCATGATAAACCTTTTATTGTTAGTATGGCTAATTCAGGTCCAAATACAAATGGTAGTCAATTCTTTATAACTACTGTACCTTGTCCTTGGTTAGATGGGAAACACACTATATTTGGTAAAGTTATTAATGGTTTTGATATTGTTAAAAGTATTGAGAACTCAAAAACTGATAAGAATGATAGACCTATAGAAGACATATATATCATTTCTACGAGTGTTATTTTCTAGTTATTACTAAAGTTATATTTAATATTAACAATCAATTTTCCTTCCATTTATGTTCACATTTCACACATGTATAGAAACTTGTCATAGGTTCATCAGCAGATCGTATTTGTAATTGGAAGAAATATGCCTCTGTATTTGAACACTTAGGACATACAGCTGAAAAAAAATAAAAAGTAATATTTTGTATTTATTCATAAAGGTTACTATAATGAAATATATACTAGCATGTAATTTGAACATACCCATAACTTTTGCACTAGCTATCTCATTCATATCTCCTTGTGCTTCTTCTGGTTTTTTAGGCGTTAATTCAGTCACTTTTACAATTTGTTTATTTAATTTCTGTATGAATGGACATGTCTGGCAAAAAAGTGCAGTTCTTTCATCTATTTCACGAATTAACAGTATATTATGGCAGTGAGGACAAAATTGGACCATTTCTGAACAAATTTTACCTCCTACTAAACTTTATAATCTCTAAGTTTAGTATGAGACGAAATATTTAGGGTTTATTATTGCAAAAATAGCTTCAGTACAGTTTATTATAATTTATTAAAGATTTCTTGTCAAACGTGGCACTTTTGTATAAGGCGCCAATATGCTACTTTACTACATCTGACTTTCTAACTTAGTTTTACTTTTAGCTTATGCACTACACGAAGGAAAAAGAAACTGACCCTGAAATAAGGAGACGAGAGTTAGTAGAGGGCCATGTTACTGCTATAGAAAAAGCAAATAAACTATCTTTGACATTTCAAAATTATCTTATAAATATATTACCAGACGAAATAACTAGTGATGTTATTCAAAATATTAGGATTTTCTTAAGGCCTGATGATTTAGAAGAAGTATCTGTGGAGAGAAGTAGTCTAGGTATATGTGGCTCTATTTTTTGCAATAAAAAGATATCTTTGAAGACTCACAATTTTAATTGTAACTGGAAACTCGACTCCAAACATGGAAATATAATAAAAACGTCGACTTTGACTATGTATTGCTCTACAATATGTTATTATCAAATATTAAACTTTAATCTAAAACTTTCAGACATATCTCCACATTTAAGATTTGATACTCTTAAGAAAATAGAAGAGTGGCTAGATCAAAAAGATTCTAACAATATTAATGTACATAATAAGAGTTATAATCATACAGAAACTATACAAAATATAAAAGAAAAGATTATAAGTAGTAAACAACAAGAGGAATCTAATATTAAACAGATTTCAATTAATGACGTAACTAAAGAGCAAGAGAATGAACACAAGGATATAGACAAAACCAAACAACTTGCTCATATATTAAAACAAGTAACTACCTCAAGAAAATATTATAAATGTGATGATGAGGATACTGAAAAAAATTTGAAGGTCTATGAATATCCTACAGAAGATATATATACTTTAAATAGTGATTTAAACAATGATTATTCCTCAAAGAATAATGAATATGATACAATATCTACAATTGAAATATTGGAAACAAATATGAAATTTCAAGATGAAGAAGATAATTATAATAGGTCCTATACTTTTGAAAATATGAACGAAATTTTATTATTTGAACAAAACACTATAAATTTGACCAAATTATCATCCAAATATTATTCATCCTTATCATCTCAAGCTATTGTTATTGATTTATTAACTTCACTTGTATCAAAAAAAACTTATGAAGTACTTTATTCGGTGCAAATAAGGGAATCCCTGAAATTTGAATATATAAAGAAATCACAAGAAAATAACAATGATGACTCTACATTGTGGGACATTCAAGAATTAAAAAGAAAGGAAATTCTGCAAAATCTGATTATCAACTATATTAAGAGTTTTAATTGGAATGATCTATCTGTAATACGTCCCCTATTTTTACTTATGAATACATTTAATTATTCACTTCGTGTTCCAAATCTAAATCAGAATACAGCTTATCTTTTAATTGCTATACTTTACAAAGTATTATTAGATAAAAAGATAAATAAAGGCCAATTATTTTGGGAGTATATAAATATATTGGATAAAGAAATTATATGTAAGTTGGAGTATTGGATTAGAACTCATCTAAATTGCTATGATTCCTCAGTAATTCAGAATATTGTGAATCTATTTATTCATCAAGATTTAAGTTAACTCTAAATACAAATTTGTAATGTATATTATATTAAAATAATTTTAAATTATTATTTAAGTCTCTTATATAAATAACTGTCTAAATTTACAAAAATAAAAAAAAATCTAATGTAATCTAAACATTATAAACCACATCCACGGCCACAGCAAGGAGTTTTAGATCTATAATAATTTGAATCAGTAATTATTCGATTTCTAGGTGTAGATTCCCTTCTTGATTGGAATAATGAGGAGAACCAGTTAAAGTTAAATATTCTCCTCATACTCAAACGAGTAGACCTTCTTTCCTCAACTGCAAGAGATACACTTCGTGTATTACTTTCTTGATACTTTAATGCTCTCTCAGCTCTAATTGAAGCTAACTCTTTCTCAAGTTGATCACTTTTACTTAATGTATCACCCTTATTTCTTCTACTCTTGACTTTCATATTCATATCCTGTTGAACAACCGTAAGACATCTCTTAACTCTACTCAAGTCTAAATTCCGACGAGATAAATATAGGGTATTTGTTTTATTTCCATTATTAGAAGTAAAACCAGCATTGTAGAGATAATTTTTAAATTGTTCAGTGCTAGATTCATCTAAATCCTCTGGAATATCTACAGTCACATCGTCCGTACTGTTATTATTTATAATAGCCTGCAAAATATCGCAAACACGAGCTAAAACATCCATTTTAACTTTTTGTCTTTTTAAGGAAAACAAAATAGACTAAAACTTTACACGCTCTCAACCCAGCCCCTACTCATGCGGCGAATCCCTAATATCTACTAAGAGGGTCTACTTTAGTCAAGAATAAGATAAAATGAAATTATTTTAAAAAAACTCTCCTAAAAGCCATATATATATGTTTAGTTACTACATACAATTTAGATCAACAAAACCTATCTTAACTAATTATTAGATCCTGTATATTTGAAATTAGTTAAGGGTATAATAGAAGGTTTAAAAAACAAAATTATATGCACACTTAATAGGAGGATTTACCTCATTCTAATATATCTATCATCTAAATTTTATTTATGTAGTTTATTCATAATATTAAAATCTTCCCTAAACCTTACAAAGTACAACTTCAAAGGCCCAACGAGACATGGATATTTACCGCCATGTACCTTTAGAGGGGCAGCTAAGAGAGGTGAGAAAACTCCATAATGGATTTCATATAGGCTATCAAATAGAAAGTAGAACTCTTTTCAATACTCCTTTAAAAATATCTCTCTTAATTTAAAGATCTCTCAAGTATTTATTCTATTTTAAATATGACCCAAAGAAGAAGGATTGCAGTTATTGGGTCTGGTCAGATAGGTGCAAATGTAGCTTACATTGCAATAAAGGATAATATTGCTGATGTCGTCTTATTTGACATAATAGAAGGGATTCCCCAAGGTAAAGCTTTAGATATTACTCATAGTGCAACTATCTTTGGATCTAGTTCAAAAGTAATTGGGACAAATAATTATGCTGATATTGAGGGCTGTGATGTTGTAGTTATTACGGCATCAGTTTCAGGTCGTCCTAAAGATGATAGATCTGAATTAATGTTTAATAATGCTCGCATACTTGATTCTGTTGCTGAAGGTGTCAAAACTTATTGTCCAAATGCATTTGTAATTTGTATAACTAATCCATTGGATGTAATGGTGGCCTATTTTCAAAAAGCTTCTGGTCTTCCACAAAATAGAGTGTGTGGAATGGCTGGTGTATTGGACACATCTCGCTTCAGAACTTTAATAGCTGAGTACTTTGGTGTAAATACATCTGATGTTAGTGCAAATGTTATTGGTGGTCATGGTGATACGATGGTACCTGTAATAAGTTCTATTTCAGTCGGTGGTGTACCAATTTCTTCCTTCATAAAACAGGGATTAATAGGTCAACCTCAGCTTGATGAGATTGTCAAAAAAACTAGAATTGCTTGGAAGGAGATTGCAGATCTATTAAGAAATGCTACAGCATTTTTTGCTCCTGCAGCTGCTGCAGTATCTATGGCAAGAGCCTATCTTAATGATGAGAAATCAATAATTCCTTGCTCTGCTTACTGCGAAGACAGTTATGGTGTAAAGGGAATTTACATGGGTGTTCCAACAGTCATTGGAAGAAATGGAATAGAGAGGATTATCGAGCTAGATTTAACACCAATTGAAAGGAAATGGTTAGTAGAATCTATTTCTTCAGTAAGCAACCTGTGTGACGTCTTGGAAAAGAGGTCTGCTATGGGCGCGTAATCCTAGATTTTTTAGTTACATTCTAGAGAACATTTACATGTTTAGACATTTAATTAATTTTTTGAACTATTCTATGTAACTTGCCTTTTTATTATATAGATATACACAATAACTTTTTTAAAAAAATATTGAAGTTATAATTTAATCTTTATTTAAATAGAAGATTGTTAACTATTTTATATTTGAATTATTTATCCTGTATCTACTAGAACTCCCCCATATCCCGTATCACCCGCCCTTAAGGTGCTTATATTTTTCCCTATCCACAGTTGTTAAAAAATTGGAACTGAGACAAATAATTAAAGATGACAACTAATAAAAAGAAAATATCTATAATCGGTGCAGGTCAAATAGGTTCAACTATTGCACTTTTATTAGGTCAAAAGAATCTTGGTGATATATTTCTCTTTGACATAATAGAAGGGATGCCTCAAGGTAAAGCATTGGACTTAATTCATTGCATGAGTGTAATTAATTCCCCTACATATATAACTGGTACTAATGAATATTCTGACTTACAAGATTCTGATGTGGTTATTATAACTGCAGGAGTTCCTAGAAAACCGAACATGACTCGCTCTGATTTATTATCTATCAACGCAAAGATCATTAGTTCCGTTGCTGAAAATATCAAGGAATTTTGCCCAAATTCATTTGTAATATGTATTACAAATCCTTTAGATGCAATGGTTTATTATTTTAAAGAAAAGAGTGGCTTTGCATCTAATATGGTATGTGGAATGGCTGGTGTACTGGACTCATCTAGATTTAAATGTCATTTGAGCCAAAAACTTGGCGTTAGACCTAATGATATATCAGCTATAGTTATTGGTGGTCATGGAGATCGAATGATTCCTATGAGAAGTTCTATTACAGTAGGAGGTCTTGCACTATCTAATTTTATTAGAGATGGTCAGATAACTAATGATGAATTGGACGCTATTATTAAACGTACAGCTTTTGCAGGAGGTGAAATCTTAGATCTATTGAAAACTAGTTCAGCCTTTTTTGCTCCAGCAGCTTCAGCTGTTGCGATGGTAGAAGCTTATATAAAAGATAGCAAAGCCTTATTAGTTTGTTCTGCTGAACCAAATGGTGAATATGGAGTAAAAGGTTTATTTGTTGGTGTTCCTGTTATTATTGGATCTAGGGGTGTGGAGAAAGTTGTGGAAGTTGAGATGTCTGGTTCAGAAGAACAATTATTTAAAGATTCCATTGAATCTATAAAGGAACTATTAGAAACTATGAAATCCCTAAATTTATAACTTTACATATGCTTTAGTATAAATTTTCTAATAAGCTATTGGAGACCTTCAATATATTCTATTTTAACTCCTGAATATAACTTATTTAGTTAGTAGTCTAATATCCTTATGTAATCAGCTATTAAAAAAGCTAGTGAAACTAATTAAATTTTTTTAGATATAAAGTAATTTTATGAGTTAGAAGGTCAAACTAGTTTAAAAATCTTCATATCTAATTAATATGTAGAATTGTAGATCACATTACAAGTTCACTATTTAGTAACCATTATTTAATTTTACATATGATCTAATATAATTATTTATCTGGAACTCAATTATAACGTAAAGATTCAATTGAAGATCTAATATTTCGTAATATCATAGTCTCATCTTTATATTTTTATAAGTTATTGTATTGAGGAGTATATTTATTCAAGAACAAGTTAAGATATTTATTACCACTAGATTATATTTAGTGGCAAATACAGTAAAACAATTAAAATTTTTTTCAAATATAACTTTATTTAATTTAGCGATATTGGATTATATATATAAAAGTAGTGATTTGAATATTTGGCTGGTAAATAGTTCCAAATATTTTCGAACATGTTTATTTTAATATAATATTAATACTCCAAAGTGTAATTTATATTTTGTCCAAATTAATATTGTTAAAGTTATCACAATTTAAAAATGGTTAATATTAAGATTAAGATCCATAATAATTGTCCACTTCTTAATTATATACAAATTGCGTTACTATTTCTTCAGAAATAAATACACTCGAATATTTTTTAGTACCTAAGATCAAAAATTTATTAGTTAAGAATATAAGTATGAATACTTTAAAGAAGTGTATTTTAATCAGACTTAAAAAAGTACAAACATTGCTCAAAAAAATCACATGAAAATTCCAGTAAATTTATTTTATATTCTATAGTCAATAATATCTTTAATATTTATATCATTAAATGTAATTTTACTAATATTGTAATACAACTAAGACTAAGACTTATAAAACAAATGATATTATTTGTAAAACATATAAACACTTATATTAATTCTGGTTCAATAAAAAACAAATTATTTTCATTTATTGATATCTATTTATGTGAAATGTAGAAATTCTGCGATTAAATTAAATTTAATACAATATGAGGAGGTATAAAGTAAATTTTAGAAGGTAGTAAATTATAGATAAGATTCCCAATCTGTATAGTTTATATTACTAATCTCTTTTTAAAGAAAGAAAAATGGTTACAAAGGAACATGATATTTAAGTAAATCAACCTTTTAGTATGGTTACATATGACTAAACTACTAACATTATATTTATGATTATTACGAGTTCTACATAAATCTTTAAATTATAAAATAATTAAAAAGTACTAAAATATTTCAGTTCTTAATATCAATTAATAGGTTTTCAAACTTTTATAATTATTTGTACATAAGGTCAGATTTCAATTTATTTTAAGATGCATGCAAACTTTAAAATAGATTATCCACTATATATACCAAATTATCTCAAAATCCCCAAAATTTATAACTTTATAATATAAAGTTGACTCTAATATAGTAACAAATATCTTTTCCTATTTAATAAATTAGTTTGATATATTATATATAGACTTCTAATTACATGATAGTTTTGCAAGTAATTCTTGATACAAAATATTGAGTATAAATTCAATTACAATTCATTTATACAAGGTAAAACCTATTATATAAGTTTTATACTAATTTAAAATGACTAGATTATCTTCTCTAGCCTAGTCTTATATCCCCTAGAGTTAAAGTAATAAGTTAATCCCATAAGAAAAGCAGTAACGGTAACCCAAAGTATGAATTCAAACTTCCATGATAAGGGAAATAAATTATATCCTGTTAGTGTATCAAATTTAAAAAAAGTTTCATTATATATATTACTAAATGAAAGATTATTAAGTATTTCATTGGTATAATTAACCTTAAACCAACAATTTATAGAATTTGCAGGAGGAAAAGTAAATCAAAGAAGCCCTAATTAAGCTATTGAGCAGTTGAATAAAAGACTTTTATTTTTATAAAATAGTTCTTTATGTTCTCCAAAGTCAAATACAAAAGATATATGAGAATGTAGAAGATACAACTATAACCATAGCATAGCTGGCTCAAATACATCTTGTATTAGTAATATCATATACAGAAATACCTAGATTTCTAGTATAACTTGATGTGAACCATGATTTACTAGAAGTTCTAAGCAAGATTAAACAATAAAAGATTATAAAAATGGAAAATATACTTCCTACTTTATATTAGGGAATTCAATGAAATAAAAGATATCTCAAGTTTATATGCTAATTTATTTTTAGTTTTGCAATATGTAAGACTCCATATACTGGGTAAATTTACAATTAAATTATAGTAAATGTATCCTATAATTGGGATATTAGCCTGAGCAAAGTATAAAAGAATATTTTTACAAGACATTACAGGGATACCACTGAGTAATATATATAATGAATAAGAAGTTATTTCACAGTTGTGATTTTCTATAATTAAACTAAGTATATCCAAGATTATTGGAAGTGATTGCAAATATTAAATAAAAATTGTAGAATGATCTGTTAAAGTTATTCTTAAATGAGATATGCATATAGCTACAGAATCATTTGAATCATCTCCAATCATACTTGTAATCTCTCCATATTTTATAAAATCTGAAACAACTTTGATTTCTATTCAGGACTTGATATCACAATAATCATAATTCTCAAATAAATTAAATCCTTCAGAGTAACAATCTTAAGTAAACTTTGCTCTCTATTATATCATCCTGGACTTCAAAAATTACTATATCTTTCATTGTATTGTATCAGCTGTAAGCTTGAACAAATACTTTAGTAGATTCTCTACAATTTCATTGTATAGGACAATTTCTATCTTCTTACTACGTAATGTAAGATTATCATCAATAAGTTTACTACTTAATATTTTACAATCTTCATTTTCTGCAGGAGCTATATGACAATTGTTAATTAAATTATCTTTAATTTTATTACAATTTAATAAATCAAATTTTTTTGCCACAATCAAAATAAATTCTAAATTATCACCAGTTAGAGTAACACAAAGAATATTTAAATCTTATATGTCTAATTGTATCAGTAGCTTTTTTGGGTACAGAATTTATAAATGATAAAATTCCCAAAGGAATCAATAGAAACCTCAAATAATGACTTGTATATTTTTCAAATTATGGAAAGCTAGAGTTTTAAAATCAGATAATATAACTAGAGGATCAGATATAATCAACATGGCTTCAAGTGCTCCTTTATTAAATAAGATTATTTGACCAATTCGTTTATATTTCACTATTACATTTATAAGATATTTAAAGTGATCAAAACCAAAATTCCTAATGATCTCAAAACCCTCATTACAGTTTAAAATATCAGTATTAATATTTAATTCTTTAGGAATTACAAAACGTCTAAATTTATTATTAGCTTTTATTATATGTATCCTATAATTAGTATAACCAAACAATAATCTCAATAGCACCTCCATGGAATAATTCATCACCAATTGATTTTGGATATGATGAATAGCATCTACATAAAGCAGAAAACAGTAAATTAATTTCAAATGAGCATTCCACTTCAAAAAATATTTATTAAATGGATGAAATTAATTTTAGATAATATTCTAGTTTAGTCAGTGCCTCTTTTCAAAAAAAAAAGTATTGTTATATGATTAGCAAATGGTATACGTTGAGGTATTGAAGTTAAAATATGGTGAAGCTTTTCAAGACGTTTAGATGAAGAATTTAATGATTTTGTTACACAAGCCGGAGCCCAAATTGGTAATAATTGCATAGAAGTTCCCATAGCAATGAAAAAACTACCTAAAGCCCAATTCATTATAATAAATTGATTTGTTATTAAAATAAAACTGATAATTAACAAAACTGTCCATAATAATGGTAAATTCCTATGGAAGTTTATTTCACTTGTATCTTCAATGAGTACACTATTGATTATCTCAAATCTATAAGTGAAAGCTCCAGTATTTAATGCAACACCTTCAGCCATTTCTTTTTGTTTAAATAATTCACCCTGATCATAAAATTTGATAACTTTAGTCCTAGTAAGTAAAATAGAATCTCGATATATTGGATTACAAAATTCTATTTTTGTATTTATGTTATTTGAACTTAGGTTAATTGTAATTGACTTCTTAAAAACTGGGATGCTCTCCCCAGTTAAACAAGATTCATCAACCAAAAGATAACCCTTAATAAGTATTAATCACATTGAATATTATCTCTCTTAGATAATAATACTACATCCATAGGTACAATATCTTGAAAGTTTATAAGAATTTTCTTATTTAACACCCAACATTAACATTTAAGGATTGTATATTATTTATCATTTTCTTAAGTTTATTCTGGATTCTTTTCTCATCAATAATTGTTCGAATAATACTATAAAAAATTAATATAATCCAAAATACTGAAAATAGGGGGTATCCGATAAATAATAAAACAAAAATAATCATATATTGAAGTAATACTGTCATTTTAAGGGAATTACGCTTAATTTATATAAAAAAAAGTCTAATTTTAGGCGAAATTTATTTGTAACATTAAGTACTCTTGTGTATAATAATTCAGAGTTATCCAAACCTCCGTTTTTCATGATATCCAATATATCCCCTACTTTAGTTTCTTTAGACAGTTTTTGAAAAGAAAATGAGTTAGTTTTCTCTGAATATATATATTTCTTCAAACCATTTGTAAAGTAACGTAATTCAACTTCATCTATATCTACCTTAATAATAAACTATGTATAACTTTTTCTATTATTCCTTAAAATACAACTTATATATTGAGACAAATTAAAGAACCAATTTGAGATTTTTGTTAAGAATACCCTTTTTTACCAACTAAACTTCTAGATTCAAATATAGATGTTTTCTGGATCCAACCTTAAATATTGTATACATTTAGAGAGATTATAACAAATCATAAATACTATTTGAAGACTTTCAGATAGATAGTAGCAAATTAATCTCATAGAAATAGATAACAATAATGAGGTTATAAAGGACTTACCCCTCTCACCCAATATTTTATCTTTGGATTATCTACGAATGTTTGCGTTAACTGGCAACAAACATTAAAATTAGTGGCAGGATAGTTGCAATGTTCAAAAATAAGGATATAATAATAGTAGATATTTTATACTCGTAAAAATAAAACGTGATATAAGTACCTTCAAAATAAGAACTCACTTTTTCTTAAAAGCCTCTTACATTTTAGATAAAAGGTCTAATCTTTCTCAGGAGAGCACTCAAATATTTAAAATCTAAATTATATCTCTTTAAGATATTTATTCAAGATAAATCTGTATTGAATAAAGTGATTGGTTAGTTAAAGAGTCTCCTTCTCATTACACAGTAAGATAGCAGTAGACTTGTTATCTTATATTACTGGAAATTCACCTTCAAAAAAATTCAAATATATTACAAATTCTGTCATCTAATATTACCTCTAAGATATTTGAAATCATATTAATTGTTTAAAGTAGTTTTATTCATGCTTTTGAAATTTTGAAGAACCATACTCTAAAAGTATATCTGGGATCTTATTTATGAAATTAGATAATGATCAACTTAAAATAGATAAAATATCTAAAAAATATATTTTATACAAAAATATATCAAATTGACAATTTTCTAGATAAGAGAATTTAAAGAATCGTATGATTCTTCGATATATTAATTATATGGTACCAGATTTAGATGGTAGTTTTGTAGTACTTATCAAGAAGAATAACTTGAGATTTCTGAAACAAGTATTTAAAAACATAGAATATTAACATTCTAATTAGTTCCTAATAATCAGATATACTATCAATGATATAATATCAAAGTATAGTACTCAATTTCTAATATATAGAGTCTTTTTTCAATTTAGGTAAGGAATCTAAGGGTAAATATCACAAGAACTGTAAAAGATTTAAACAAATTCTAACCCTGAAGTTAAAATCTCAATAATATTTAACGAATTGAAGCAAAGTTAGACTTTTCTAGATTATGTGGGACATTGAGTATAGTTAATGTTTCAAATCAATTAAAATAAGAAGCTAGTGACACTATATATCATTTAGACATACAAGTTTGCAGATACCGACTATTTACTATTCTATAGGGAATGACCAAATTTCATCATCAAATATACAACAATTTAAAGCACAACTCTCATTTACAAATTTTTGAGTACAAATTCAATTCAGGTTTAATTTAGGAAGGCAAAATTTAATGTAAGTTTATTTTCATATTAAATGGCTAGACTTTCTTTTTTAGCTTAAAGCCATTTTTCCTGATGTTAAAGTAATAGTATGATAGCCCCATAATAGAAGCAGCAACAACAGTCCAAAATATGAATTCAAATTTCCATGGTAAGGGAAATACATTATGTCCCTCTGATGCATTGAATTTAGTAAATTCTATCTTATATAGATCGAAAATTGAAAAGTAGTTAGGTATTTCATTAATACAATTAACCTTGAACCAGCAAGTTATAGGATTTGGAGGTGAAAAAATCAACCAAATAAGTCCTAATTGAGCTGCCGACCAAGTAAACAAGAGAATTTTATTTTTATAAAATGGTTCTCTATGATCTCCACCAAAAGCAAATATAATAGACATATGGGAATGTAGAAAACATAGCCATAACCATGTCATAGCTGATTCAAAACCATCTTGTCTAACTTCAAGATGTGCATCAATAGTAATATTTCTATTATAACTTGATATGAACCAAGATTGGTTAGAAGCTCTAAATAATATTACACAATAAAAGATTATAACAATTAAGAATATACTTCCTACTTTATATAGAGAATTCAATGAAATAAGAGAGGTTTCAGGTTTATATGATGCCAATTTATTTTTAGTTTTACAATGTATAAGACTCCACATACTGGGTAAATTTACAATCAAATCATAATAAAAATATCCCATCATTGGTATGTTGGCCTGAGCAAAATATAAAAGGATATTTTTACAAAATACCACAGGAATACCACTGAGTAACATATATAAATATAATGAGTGGGAAGTTACTGCACAATTATGACCTTCTGCAATTAAATTAGTTATATCTGAAAGATTATTGGAAGTAATTGCAAATGGAGCAACAACAGTTGTAGAATGATTTGTTAAAGTTACTCCTACATGAGATACACGCATAGCTGCAGAATCATTTGAACCATCTCCAATCATACCTGTAATTTCTCCATATTTTGTAAAATCTGAAACAACTTTACATTTATCTTCAGGACTTGATCTCGCAATAATCGCAATTCTTGAATAAATTAAATCCTTCATAGTAACAATCTTAAGTAAACTTTGTTTGTCATCTATTATATTACCCTCGACTCCAGAAACTACTATTACATCTTCCAATGCATTATAAGCCTCAGCTGTAAGTGCCAACAAATATTTCGATGGATTCTTTACAATTTCATTGCATGAAACAATTTCCATCTGCTCATTATGTAATGTGAGAGTATCATTAATAAGTTCACCACTTACTATTATATAGTCCTGATTTTCTATAGAAATTATATGACAGTTGTCTAGATTATCTTTATTTGTATTATCTTTTAATAAACCAATTCTTCTTGCTACACTTAAGGCGGACTGTAAATTATCACCAGTCAAAACAATACAACGAATATTTGAATTTTGTATAGCTTTAACTGTATCAGCAGCTTCTGTACGTATAGTATTTATAAACGATAAAATTCCCAAAGGAGTCATAGAGACCTCAAATATTGAGCGTTGGACATCCTCCAAATTATTTAAATCCGCATAAGTGACATCACGATATGCTACTGCAATAATATAACTACCATCAGCAGAATATTTTTCAGCTATACTTTTAAAATTGGATGGTATAGCTAAAGGATCAGATACACTCAATATGGCTTCAAATGCCCCTTTAGTAAATAAGAATATTCGACCAGTTTGTCTACACTTTACTATTATACTCATAAGACGTTTAAAGTGGTCAAAACCAAAATTCCAAATAATCTCAAAACCCTCATTACAGTTTAAAATATCAGTATTAATATTTAATTCTTTAGGAATTACAAAACGTCTAAATTTATTATTAGCTTTTATTATATGTATCCTGTAATTAGTATAACCAAACATAGCAATCTCCATAGCATCTCCATGAAATAATTCCCCATCGAATGCTTTAGGATATAATGAATGGCATGTGCATAAAGCAGAAAATAATAAAGAATTAATTTCAGTTGAACATTTCATTTCAGAAGAATGTTCATTGAATGGATGAATTAATTTTAAATTATATTCTAAAGTAGTAAGAGTACCTGTCTTATCAAAGAAAAGTGTCGTTATTTGACTAGCAAATGGTATACGTTGAGGTATTGAAGTTAAAATATGGTGAAGCTTTTCAAGACGTTTAGATGAAGAATTTAATGATTTTGTTACACAAGCCGGAGCCCAAATTGGTAATAATTGCATAGAAGTTCCCATAGCAATGAAAAAACTACCTAAAGCCCAATTCATTATAATAAATTGATTTGTTATTAAAATAAAACTGATAATTAACAAAACTGTCCATAATAATGGTAAATTCCTATGGAAGTTTATTTCACTTGTATCTTCAATGAGTACACTATTGATTATCTCAGATCTATAAGTGAAAGCTCCAGTATTTAATGCAACACCTTCAGCCATTTCTTTTTGTTTACATAATTCACCCTGATCATAAAATTTGATAACTTTAGTCCCTGCAAGTAAAATAGAATCTCGATATATTGGATTACAAAATTCTATTTTTTTATTCATATTATTTAAATTAGAATTAGCTGTAATAGGTTTTTTGAGGACTGGGATGCTCTCCCCAGTTAAACTAGATTCATCAACTAATAAATAACCTTTAACAAGTACTAAATCACATTGAATATTATCTCCTTCGGATAATAATATCATATCCATAGGTACAATATCTTGAGAGTCTATAGAGACTTTCTTATTCTCTCGTTTAACATAAACATTTAGGGATTGTATATTATTTATCATTTTTTGAAGCTTTCCTTGGTTTCTCCTCTCATCAATAATTGTTTGAGTAATACTATAAATAATCAAAATACTCCAAAATAAAGAAAATGAAGTACATCCTATAAAAAATGAGGCTAAAATCATCATATATTGAAGTAATACTATCATATTAAAAATATTACGCTTAATTGATGTAATAAAGGAATCTAATTTCAAAGGGAAGTTATTTGTTCCATAAAGTGCTCTTGTGTATAATATTTTAGAGTTATCCAAACCTCCGTTTTTCATGATATCCAATATATCCTCTACTTTAGTTTCTTTAGATTGTTTTTGAGGAAAAAATGAGTTAGTTTCCTCTGAATATATATATTTCTTCAAACCATTTGTAAAGTAACGTAATCCAGCTTCATCTACATTTACTTTACTAATAAACCATGTATAATTTTTTCTATTATTCCTTAAAATACAACTTAAATATTGAGACAAATTAAAGAACCAATTTGACACTTCCCCTAGAAAATCTCTCTTTTCATCTAATAAATTTCTAAATTCACATGGAGATACTTTCTGAACCCAACCTTGAATATGGGTACATTTAGAGAAGTCACAACGAGTCATAAATGCTGTTTCAAAGCGTTCAGATAAATAATAACGTATTAACCCAATAAAGAGTGACAATAAAAATAAGGTGACAAAAGACTTGGCCTTATCTATCCAGTACTCCATATCCAGATCATATATTACATACTTGTTAATTGAAACAACAAGCATTAGGATTGGTGGTGAAATAGTTACAATGTTTAAACATAAGAATATAATATTTGTAGTCATAGACAATTTGTAACCATGAAATGTAATGTATGTGCTTTCAAAACATGAATTCCCACTTTCTTTTAAAAGTTTTCTGCATATTAGATGATAAAGGAAACTAATAAACAAGAAACAAACCACAACTGCAACTATATATAAAGAAAACTTAAAAGGAACCCAATATATTTCAGAGAAGCATTCAATCATATCTGAACTCTATTAATATCTAATTAAATACTCGAACTTGACTATTATTCGTTAAAATAATAAACGAAGACAGACTTCTATTAGGTATGAACAGTTGTGGAGTCTCTTTGTATTCATACAAGGTAGTGGCGGGAATGTTGTATTAAAGTTTATCTTTAAATAAATTTAGATATATTACAAATTTTGTCTTCTAATAATATATTTAAGATATTTGGAACCAAATTTATATATTTGGGGTGACTTCATACATATTTTAGAATTTTGAAAAGTCTCGTTTCAAAGTATATTTAGGATTTTATTTATGAGACGAGACAATAATCAACCTAAGACAGGTAGGGCATCTAAAAAATTTGTCTTATACAAGCAGATGTTAAATGATTTAATTTGTTGTATAAGGAGATTTAAAAAGAGATGAAAATTAAATTAGATGGGTAAGATCCAAAAGAATCTATATAGATCTTTAATATACTTATTAAATATACAATGTCATATTTAGATAGTAGTTTTTCGATTCTGATAAAAGAACCTAATTAGAATGACTTAGAGATCTTGAACAAAATATTTTGAACACATAGAGACATGACAACTTTAACTAGTTTTCAATAATTAGATTTATTTCTAAAGTTACTATTGTAGAGGATTGGTTGTACTGAAGTCTTCAATATTTACAATTCTTTTGATTCAAAGGTAAGAAGATTAAAAAAAGATACCCTGGAAACCAGATTGAGCTATAAGTATCCCATATCCCCGAAACTATGAAGGATCCTAATAATAATATTTAAGAAAGCTAAATAGGGTTAAGCTTTTTTAGGTTATTTACTATATGAATAATCTTTTAGATTAGGTAAAATAGAAGGTTGAAGCACTAATAGACAGCCTATATTAACATTTCATAGGGATCAGATTTTGTTTATTTGATGAATATAACTATCAAACTTTACTCTTAAGAAAACAGAATCTTAAAATATATCATTAATCTGCAAATTATTTAGTATAAATTTGACCCAAGTTCATTTTGAGAAGCTAAAACCTATTATATAGACCTTAAACTAATTTAAATAGCTACACTCTTTACTTAAGTTTAACTTTATCTCACTTTAATCAAAGTAATAGTAGGATATTATTCATAAAAAGAGCACCAACAATAATCCAAAATATGGATTCTCTTTTTGTTTAAATAATTCACCCTGATCATAAAATTTGATAACTTTAGTCCCTGCAAGTAAAATAGAATCTCGATATATTGGATTACAAAATTCTATTTTTGTATTTATGTTATTTGAACTTAGATTAATTGTAATTGACTTCTTAAAAACTGGGATGCTCTCCCCAGTTAAACTAGATTCATCAACTAATAAATAACCTTTAACAAGTACTAAATCACATTGAATATTATCTCCTTCGGATAATAATATCATATCCATAGGTACAATATCTTGAGAGTCTATAGAGACTTTCTTATTCTCTCGTTTAACATAAACATTTAGGGATTGTATATTATTTATCATTTTTTGAAGCTTTCCTTGGTTTCTCCTCTCATCAATAATTGTTTGAGTAATACTATAAATAATCAAAATACTCCAAAATAAAGAAAATGAAGTACATCCTATAAAAAATGAGGCTAAAATCATCATATATTGAAGTAATACTATCATATTAAAAATATTACGCTTAATTGATGTAATAAAGGAATCTAATTTCAAAGGGAAGTTATTTGTTCCATAAAGTGCTCTTGTGTATAATATTTTAGAGTTATCCAAACCTCCGTTTTTCATGATATCCAATATATCCTCTACTTTAGTTTCTTTAGATTGTTTTTGAGGAAAAAATGAGTTAGTTTCCTCTGAATATATATATTTCTTCAAACCATTTGTAAAGTAACGTAATCCAGCTTCATCTACATTTACTTTACTAATAAACCATGTATAATTTTTTCTATTATTCCTTAAAATACAACTTAAATATTGAGACAAATTAAAGAACCAATTTGACACTTCCCCTAGAAAATCTCTCTTTTCATCTAATAAATTTCTAAATTCACATGGAGATACTTTCTGAACCCAACCTTGAATATGGGTACATTTAGAGAAGTCACAACAAATCATACTGTCTGAAGACGCTCAGATAAATAATGAAATAATCCTACAAAAGGTGACAACAAACATAATATGAAGAAAAGACTGAACCTTGTTTCTCCAATAGTTCATACTAGTATCATCTATGAGTATTTGGTTAAGTAAAATAGTGGAAATTGAGATTGGTGGGAGGATATTGCAATATTTAAAGATAAAAATATAAGATTAGTAGATGTTTAATTGTAACCATGAAATATGAGATATATTCAAAACATAAAGTCTCACTTCCTTTAAAATCCTCTTACAATTTAAGTGATAAATAATTGTGAATAAAAAACAAGTACATTCGGGGTGTATACAAAGAACAGTAGGTGCACAATATATTTCAGGCGAGAGGACAATTAAAGATATTTAGATCTTATTAAATACTATACTGTTAGATCTAATTAACTCCTGCTTAAATATTTAAAATTTGGATTGTATCTTTTGGAGTAAGTGTTTTGAACAATTGTTTATTAGAATAAACACTTAGTTGAGATCTCCTTATTTCTCTTATAGAGCAATAGGTGGGGAATGGTATTAATCAATTCAATGCATTAAAGAAAAGAAGAAATAGAAAAAGATGTAGATTAAACTGAATAAGTAGAATTAAAAGAATTTATATGAGCTTCCAGTATACTGATTAAACGTATAATATCAGGTTTAGATAATAGTTTTGCTGCACTGATAATAAAATCTAAAGAGAATGACTTAGGATTTTTGAACAAAAATGCTCGAATGTATAAAAAGGTAAACACTCCAGCTAGTACTTGACAATCAAATCTATCTGTAATTCCACCATGTCCAGGTATAGTTGTACCAAAATCTTTAATATGTAGAGCCCTTTTGAACCCAGAAGCAAAAAAACCACCGAAAGGTGCCACAAAGGCTGTAAATATTCCAATGAAGATAGCATGCACTTGTGCTTTAGAGATATATATTATGGACTTACCAGTTATAGGTTGTAGTGACAAAGGTACTTCATAGGGTTGGGATATATATACTAAATTGGGTTCACAAGTAAGATTACTCCACATTGAGAATGGAGCTTCTAAAAGATTATTTTGAGGACAAATAAAAATTTGATATTTAGAAAGAAAGTTCCCCAAGAAAATAGCAATTAGAATTGTTATAATTGAGGCCCCAATAAATCCTTCCATAGTTTTTCTGGGTGATAATTTAAATAGTGGGGTTTTACCGAATAATTTTCCACATATATAAGCTGATATATCATTACAGATAACTAAAATAGTAGGTAATATAAACCACATTAATCCACGATATATATTAGCAATCATAAATACTGATTGAGTTACAACTAACAATAAAGTGAGAATCATGATACCAAACTGAGAAAATTGATACTTCAAAGTATATCTTCTAAGAGATAAAATAAAGGCTATTAAGCCTAAAAGAGCAGCACTATAACTTATTATAGAATGATAAGATAGTACAATATTAAATAAAGTACAGGAATCTCTATAAATTACAATTAATGGTATCCACCATAATTTTCCTGTGGCAAATAAAGTTACTCCAAACCAATACCATCTAAGAGTGTAAAATAGTGGTAAATGTTTATCTTCTTCATTACTCCGTTTGAGTGATATAACTTCCTGATAAACTGCAGAAGTTAGAATAAGTACCAGTATTGAGCTATATGTATGTCCTGCTGCCAAAATTACGAAGAACGTTGATAATAATATTATAGTCCATAATGTACGAGTCATCAAGTTTGTTCCTTGACTCATTTTTTGATTTGCAGTGTATACTGAGTATCGAAGATTTTTTGATGAATTTCCTGAGTTTAATTTTCCCTTTTTATTAGCTCTACATGTTTCAGACTCTGTTTCAAGCTCAGTATCATCAAATATTCCAATACCTTTTTTCATATCACCATTATTATTGCGGAACTTCATATATATAAATTCCACTACAAATACATATTTAGAACTAATTCTGCAAAAAAGTGTAAAATTGCAGATTTAAAAGTGTGTTCAGCGAAGGTAGGTAAAGTTAAACTTGCCTAGACTATGCGGAGAATAATAGCCTATTGCCTAGATCAAGTAAAGTAAGAATTTTTTTAAGCGTCTATATACCGCTTAAATGTTGTATACCGTTGTATAGGTGCCGGATTGTTATTTTTAAAAAGGGAATTGTCAAATCTGACTTCATTATTATGTTATTTGGACTATTTCTGTATAAAATAAATAGGAGATAATTTTAGTACATTCTAAGAAAAAACTAAGCTTATAATTAAGATAATCTTTGGTCTATGAAATTAGACGTTACTAATTTACGTTTTATAAATAAGGATGAGTGGAGAATATTAACAGCTGTAGAAATGGGTATGAAGAATCATGAATTGGTACCAGTTCAACTTATTGAATCTATAGGTAATTTGCGACATACAGGATCGTATGGACTTCTTCAGAATTTACTTAGAAATAAGCTGGTATCACGGGATAGCAAAATATACGAAGGTTATAAATTGACATACTTAGGTTATGATTTTCTGGCATTAAGAGCTTTATCTAAACGAGGGATTTTATCTTCAGTTGGTCGTAGAATAGGTGTAGGTAAAGAAAGTGATATTCATATTGCTAGTAATGAGGAAGGAAGATTACTTTGCTTGAAATTGCATAGACTAGGTAGAATATCTTTTCGAAATGTGAAGAATACTAGAGATTATTTAAGAAATAGAAGTGCATCCTCCTGGTTATATCTTTCTAGATTAGCAGCTTTAAAAGAATATAGTTGCATGCGTGCTTTATATGAAAATGGTTTTGATGAAGGGGATATATCTGTTCCCGAACCTATAGACTGCAATAGACATGCTGTTGTAATGGAATTTATTAATGGAGTACCACTTAGTACAGTTAGAGAGCTTAAGAGTCCTCATGAAGTTTTGGAGCGTCTTATCAAAATGATTGTGCGACTAGCAGATTGTGGTCTTATTCATTGCGACTTTAATGAATTCAATCTATTAATTGATGAAGATGAAAATATTACATTAATTGACTTTCCTCAAATAGTAAATACGACTCATATTAACGCTGATATGTACTTTAATAGAGATATTAGATGTATTAAGGATTTATTCCGAAAGAAATTCGGTATTGAAGTTATAGATGCTCCAACTTTCAATGAAGTTATGCAGTACCAAGATTTTACTAATAAAATTTTTATAGAAGATAATGTAAGTATTAATAGTCCTTCATCAAATCTATCTGAAAATGAAATAGATGACAATTTAAATATAAAGGAATATAGGAAATATGAGATAAAGTCTGAAGATTTTAACCAAAGTGATCCAGAATCTAATTCTCAAGAAAGTGATATTGAAACACATACAGATGAGGGTGAAATAGATAATCAGATAACTAAAAATGATGTGAATACCAAAATTATGCAATATTGGTTACCACAAAAGAAAAGGACGGATAAAGCAAAGATTAGGAGCGCAACCATTAATCATAATAAAAAGCATCATAGCTCTAAAGGCAATTATGGATCAAAGAAAAGCAGAGAATATCGCAAAACAAAGGCTATGATTGCAAATATTTCAAATGATTTTTGAAGATTATATACAAAAATACTTATATAGAAAGAAATAGTATTTATTATATTTGAAATTTAAACTAATTATTTAAGATTCGCGCAAGTACATAAGAGGTAATTCGGAAGGATCACAAGGTAAAGGAAAATTATTAAAGTATTCATGATTTAAAGTATCTTTTGCACTTATCCTTTCCAATGGGTTCAATTTCAGTAGTGATCTTAACAAGTCAATAGCTGAATCTGAAGCATTTGGGAAGATATCTTTAAGTTGTTGGGGCATTCGAGGAGTAAATTCACAATATAAAGGAAGATTTCTTGACTGAGGCCAATTTGTATCTGATGGTGTTCCAAGTAACTCATAAATCCTCCCTAATTGTCTTAATTCATCTTCTCCAGGTAATAAAGGCTTTCCACCTGACAATAATTCAGCAAATATACATCCTATACTCCACATATCAACTGCATCACTATATTTAGTTGCTCCTAATAATAATTCTGGACTTCTATACCATAAAGTAACTACTTCAGGTGTATATTCACGCCTTGGTTGACCAAAGCTTCTAGCTAGACCAAAATCACCTACTTTTGCAATACCTTTGGAATTAATGAATATATTTGCAGGTGCTAAATCTCTATGAAGAATATACCATTTGTGTAGTTCTGCTACTCCCTGGACAATTTGGCGCAAAATACACTTGATTTGAGCTTCTGAAAAGCGTATACGATCTTCAAATACACGTCTTAAATCACTCTCCATATAGTCCATGACCACATTTATAAACTCTCCTTGTACAAACACGTCTCGTAGTTCCATTGTATTAGGATGATGAATTTCATTCATTATTTTTAGTTCACGTAGGACTGTGAAGTGAATCCCACACTGCCCAATTTTTTGTCTTGAACTTTTTATGTCAGTTGCAATATCTGTTAGTTTGACCTTCTTAATTGCTACTATTGAATCATCTAAGGTATCTCTTGCCTTTTCAATTTTACCATATGTACCTTGTCCTATATGAGCATTTAATTGAACATATCTCTTGCTCATCTTTAAGTACTTATGGCTGTACCTCAGTATTATATAACTTTTAAAAAATTTAGATCTAGGACAACGTCCCAAAACTAAGTGATTAAGAAGTTATAACAAAATCACGTTTTACTATTAGGCGGGATTTACGTGGTTTGACCAATGGTATGCTTGTATTATACCATATTTTGTAAAGGATTAGAGGATATGGAAATATTTTAGAGTCTTAAAACTACCAGATAGCTTTGAAGTACATTAAAAATTCCTAATCATATATATTGGATAAATGGTTAGAAAGAAGGCTATTGCAAAAAAGTATAAAATAGAAAACACAGTTGATAATACAGAAAATAAGATTACAGACTCTAAGAAAAAGGTTGAATATATAATACATAAGCATATATTGGTTAATATTGAAGATTTACTATGTCTAATTAAGGTTTGGAATAGAGTAAGGCTTATATGGGACAAACAAGACCAAGATACAGAAGATTTATTACATGACTTTCGAATAAACAAAAAATCATTAAAAGTAGAATATGCAGAATCAAATTTGAGTAGTTCTAGAGCTTTCATTACATTATCTAATTTTGTTTTGGAATCTAAGAATTGTAGAACTGTAAATTGTGATAAGATAAACGTGATAGCTTATGGAAATATACTACACTCTTCTTTACACCCTCATTCTCCTCCAATTCAAGTGAGAAAAGCTTTAATACTATTACAACAATCGGGTTTATTAACTTTTACAGCTACTATTGAGAGTATAAAGCGATCTAGGGAAAATAGTTTATGTAAAGAGTTAATCTGCTCTGGAGATATAACTGAAATGAATAGCTCTCCTCTATCAAATACTAATACATCCTATATATTTGTGAATATTAGGATATTTTTACACGTACTTTGTTTAGATAATAAGTATATTATGAGAATTTCTGGTTCTCGTAAGGCACTGAAAACAATTTTAGCATGGATAGATCCAGATAAATTCAAAATTCCAATCTTAACTGCTAAACAAATGGATAAAGCAATAAAACTTGAGCCAAATGATATATATTCAAGGTTAATCCAAGTTGATATCATAAATAAAGTATTTGTGGGAGATTGGAAACAACCAGAAAATTTGGTTACTAAACCTCGTACATATCAGAAAGATGCTATTTATTTTGCAGCATGTGTAGAACAAGGTATATGCATGAAATTTGATTATGAACCTTATTGGTACCTAGTGAAACTCCCAGATGCTTATGAACCTTTGTGCAGTAGAAAAAAATTATTTGGAAATATTATAACTGGCGATATATGTATAGATATACCTCCAGGAGGTGGTAATTATATTGTTCGTGGAGGTTTTATTTGTGATGAAATGGGTCTTGGGAAAAGTTTAGAAATTATTGGATTAATATTATTAAATAGGCGAATTGAGTCTAAAGATATATACACAAAATTTGAATTGTCTAATACTACTTCTAAAGTAATCTTGAATAGACAAAAAAACTTTGATATATCTATATTTAACTTAGATAATGAAATATCTTTAAATAATGAAGGTAATTTAATTGTTGAGTGTCCCTGTGGTACTTTAAATAATTCGTTGAGAATTAAAGCTTGTAATGTTTGTCATACTTATGTTCACGAGATATGCTGCACTAGTGGCATTGCTCCTATAAATCAATTATTGAATAATGATAAATTTATGTGTCCTGTATGTGATAACTTGAGGGCTAAGAGTATATCAGCTAAGACCACTCTTATAATAGCTCCAGGTAGTATTATAGATCAATGGGAAGATGAAATTCTTAAACATACATATGCTGGAAGTTTATCTGTGGCAAAGTATCAGGGTGTAAGAACAATACAAATGTATCTTAAAAAATTAGCTTCAGAAAATGAACTATTTAATTCTACTATAGAAGGAAAAAAAATAATTCAAGATAACTCATCGAAAAATAAACCTTGGGAATTTATAAAAACCCGTTATGACCTTGCAACTTTTGATATAGTGCTAGTATCTTATGAAACTTTGCGTGAAGATATATACCATGCTATTGATGAAGAACAATTTAATAATAGAAAGTCTTTACGTCATAAAAAAGCATATCCAATATTTCCATCACTCTTGACAAATATAGAGTGGTGGCGTATTGTTTTAGATGAAGCTCAAATGGCAGAGGGATACTCTCTTGCTTCTAAGATGACAAGTAGACTTTACTGTATCCATAAATGGTGTGTTACTGGAACTCCTATTGTAAGATCAATAAGTAATGACTTATCAGGTTTGTTGACAACCTTATCTTCAGTAGGTCTACCATTTGTAGGAGAGTCAATGTTTAAAAAATTTCTTGATTATTTAAATTTAGCATGGGATGAAGTACACACAAATAATGATAATTTTCCTAAAATATGTGATCAAATATTAGAAACTAAAAATGAGGATTTAGAAGCTAATATTAATATAAATTGCACAGAAAAGAAGTATTACTCAATTACTTCTAAGAACCTAAATACGGAAGAAATTGAAAATAATCCTAATATTAATGAGCTTGGTATATTTCCCAAAAAAGGTGTTATTATTCAAGTTCTAGAGTTATTAGATAAACTTATTGGTCCATTATTTCTTAGGAGACTAATGAAAAATGTAGAAACTGATTTGAGTATTCCAAAACCCTTTTATGGTAATACAATTCTTGCTTTATCCTGTATTGAAAAATTCTTTTATTTAAAACAATATGAAGCAGCACGTAAAGTCGTTGAAACTATTTTAAGTAAAACAAATGAAACTAAAGTTTGTGATTATTTATTTAACAAAAATTCTAAGGAAGTAGATATTATTATTTTAATGTTACGATTGGCTTGTATACACCCACAATTAGGATCAATGGGATTACGGAATACAAATCACAAAATAAAATATAAAAAACACTTCAAGGATATCCATATTGAAGGGAATACATTAAATTCATCTTTTTCAAATGGAATAAATATTATGACTATGGAACAGGTTTTAGATCGTCTTCTAAATAAATGTAGAATAGAAATTGAGGATTCAGTTCGTAAATATGTAATGAACACTCTAGGTTTGGCAGGAATATGCATTATAGAAAATAATTTAGATGAAGCATTAAATTATTATGTTCAGGTATTAAATATTAGAAATGATGATAGGGTAGACATTCCCCAACAAATACATACTTTATGGAACCTTCATGAAACACTAACTAGAGTAGTAAATTCAGAGACAGAAATTAAAATTCAAGGTAATATACTTGACTCTAAAAAACTTTTGGATGAATGTAATCAACTTGAAAAACGCTATATAAATAGATTTAATGAAGATTATTTAGAAAAACGTGAAGTTTTCTACAAATCCATTGAGAAATCAAATAGTTTTAAGAATGGAAATTCTATAGAGAATTGGTGGTGCATATTTAATAGCCTAAAAAGTAGAGAAGATGAAGAAAATTTATTATATAGAGTTAGAGATTGTATTTATGAGTATAGAAGTTCGAAAGATTCTGATACAAAATATCAACTACCTTTCTTCCGTTCTATTAATGGGTTGATTACTTTACTTACCTCAAGGATTCAAACTTTAGAAGATTCTCGTGAAAATTTACATAATGCCATTAAATATTTGGAATTTGATGAATGTAAGCCATCTGATGACTTATTAGCAAAAGTATCATCTTGCATTATTTGTTTCAGAAAAAATATTGATGAAAATACATTGAGTGATTTTAAAAAGGAGGGTCTTTATAAAGAAATAAATGATATTTCGAATAAAAATATTATATGCCCATTTTGTGCCTTACAAAGATATTTTGAAGTTTATGAAAATTGTATATATACTATAAAGCGAAAGGCAGAATCACGTAGTACTAGTCATACTATAGACCATGAAATAATTAATGAAAGTGGATTTTTTGTTACAAATCTGATTTCAGATACAACATATTTACGGGATTCAGAGACTATATATGTGCTTAAAATACTGCAAAAAGAATTAAAGCGATATTTTAGGATGAATGAGATTCTAAAGATACAAGAATTATGTAATTCTCATATTAGATATTTGGAAACCTTAAGACTTGAATTAACTAATACAAAAGCCTATACATCATCTCAAAGACAGCTTGTAAACTCTTATCTGGAATTGTTTGATTGTAAACAACGAATTAAAATTTTAGATACCAAATCCGAATATTCAAATCATATCAATATTATTCATCCTAGTGAAATTCCCTTACTTAAAAAGAAATTTGAAAGTGAGAGAAATCTAATTATTAATTTCAGAAGATTATTAAAATCTCAACAAAGATTTCTGTTGGCACTAAGACAAAAACAATCTAGATATTCCAATCAAAATGAAAATTTATCAGAGGAACATATATGTAAACTAAATAATAATAATAATAATAATAAAAGTGATCATATACAAGATTCTTCAGAAAATGAAACTAAATTAAATGATTATCAAGCTAAAAATTTGGAAAGTAAAGACATTATCTTATCAATGAATTCCAACTCTATAGAATTTGATATATGCCCAATATGTTTAGGTAATATTGAGTTCCAATCTCAAGTTTTACTTCCTTGTGCTCATCCTCTTTGTATAGATTGCTACAAAATTATTAAAAAAAACACCAAGGTTAAAAGAAAGTGCCCAACATGTAGAACAAAATTTTCAGATGTAAATGTAGTACTAATTATTCCAGATGATACCCAATTATCAAATCCTTCAAACACACTACAACAAGATTCATATAGTTATATAGACACTAATTTTGATAATTTTCATCAAATTCATTCCATAAAATTAATAGGTACATTTGGAACAAAAATTGAAGCTATTGTAAAACATGTAAAGTGGATACTTAAAGGTGAATATTGTGATGGTTTTATCAGGATAAATGAAGATGATAAAATTATTCTTTTTTCAGATTTTATGGAGGCTTTAGATCTTTTATGTGCTGCATTATCTATAAATAATGTTTCATTCAAGAAATACAATGGAGGCAAAAATGATTATCATATACTTCGTGATTTTATAAAATTTCCTAATAATAGAGTATTAATTTGCAATACTTTAAATGTTGGAAAAGGTGTTACGATGTCTGTAGCTAATCACATAATATTTGTAGATCCATTATTACATGAAGCTGATGAGTTACAGGCAATTGGAAGAATTGTTCGTATGGGACAAGTAAAAACACCGCATATTTGGCGTTTTATAATAAAAGATTCTATAGAACAGGTTTTAATTGAGTGTAACAAAAAATCTTTAGAGACTAATATTTCTGAGATACATCTTCAATCTACATCAGCAAAGATAATTAAGTATTTGTTAAATATGGATTACTAAGCCAATATTTTAAGATTCTTAATTTTCTATGTATATTTCAAATTTCCTGTTCTAACTGAATAATTTCTACAAATTTAGCTTTGTATAGTTAATTTAGTTATAAAATATTTAAATTTGTTTATCTTCAATTTTTATTATTAATTTTCGTCATAAGTCATTACATATACCAATTAAAAGATATAAGTGGGGGTACCCAAAGCATTGTATACCCGCTAAATGATGTATTCCGTGATCTCGTGTTTTATAAATTTATTGGTTAGAAAAGGGAAAGAAGTTTTTTTAAACAAGTTAAGTAATTTATTGGAATTAAGGGTTAATTGCAGGTTGGTATTTTATGCTGGATTAATTCTCTAATTACTCTGGAGACTCAAACTCTTATTACTTAACTATATAATTGATGAATACCGACAATAATCAATGAATTGGAAATATAGGACTATACCAAAATTCACTAAAATATTTATGTACCAATCTTCTTTATTTTTAACTATTATATCTCTCATTCTAATATTATTCCATGGTTTCCCATCAATTGTAACTGAATTTAATAAACATTATTATTACGTAAATTTTAAAACAAATTATATAAGCAAAGATATTCGTCTAATACGCTATTTGGAAACTCTAGATGAGAGAAGTCAGAACAGTTCTATATATTTTGAGCAAAATTTAATAAATAGTAGAGTTTTAAATACCAGATCATCTAATATAATATCATGTCACTTATTCCTATTAGACAGTCAAATTTCACAAGTGAAGATGAATTGTGTTTCTGGAAATAATTTGTGTGGCTGTACTGTTGAAGTTTTAGATAGCTCATATGGCTTAGAAATAGCAAATATTAGCTTGATTCCAGATTTAGATAGAATTTCGGTTTTAAATATTATCAAGTTTAGGAGACTATATTATGGATTAAATATATTAATAAAATATATTCAAAATAATTTTAAGAATAAAATATCTGAATTTTCTCAAGATTCTTTTGATAATATAAGAAATATAGGATTGGTCTATGATGGTATAGTATTAACATCATTGTACGAAGAATTAAGTAGATATATTGAACAGATTATGAATTTAGAAAACAAAGTTCAATATAGTAATACCAACAACTCAAGGGTATATAAAACTAGTTTTATATTATCACATACATATACTAATAATATATTAAGGCGTAATTTAAGTATGGCCCCAATTGATGTAAAAGTTATAAATGTACTTATAACAAATAATGACTCAGTAAATTTTATATTAAAGATTTTAAGGGAATTTTCAAAAGTAATTGGTATAAGAATTAAACAGTTTACTAGTAAAATAGATATATTGAATAATTCAATATTTTCCAATGATGTAAGTTTGGATATTGAGAATCAAGAAGATAATTTTAGTTTTCAACTGAATAATAATTTAAATGATAAAAACTTTTCATCTGTTTATAGCTTGTTTAGTAAAGATAGTTCAGCTAATACAGAACTATGGTGGACTATTTTGTCATATGACTATTTAGATATCCTTTATTGGAATAAAGTTTATCTTTTAAATCTTGATGATATAATGAGAAATAATACTTATAATGAAGTACTGGTAAATATGAAATATTTAAGACAAGATATTAATGAAACTAATGGAGAATCTGGCATGTTGATGAAAATAAATAGAGCTATTTTATTATCTCCAGGTTATAGAAAGAAAATAATAAGATATAGATATGAGATGAATTATCGTAGGATTTGTATTATTCAAGGGCATGGAAATCCAAGAGAGATATCTCGTTCTAGTTTATCTCGTGCAACTATAGCAGAATATGCTAGATATCAAGGATACGGATATATGATGTTTGATGATAACTTTTTTTCAAAAGCTTCACTAGATTTGAATGTAGGTTTGGACATTCCTAGATTTTATTTAAAATTTTTTGCTACTATAAAAACTTTATTTGGGGATTTACATAATTTTAAAAAAATGTTTAGAAGGGAAAGTAATTCATCTAAAATGTTTGATAACCAAATATTTAGATATTGGGATTATGAAAATATATTTGACTCTATATTTAATAATATTGATAAATCAAAATTAGAATGGGATTTAAATCATGACTTCTTATATCGTGATATTCCAAGTTCTAGGGTTTCCAGTATTAAATATAATGGAATTATTCAATACACCCCAAGAAATACAAATATTGGGGTGTGTGATTACACAGTTTGGTTTGATTCAGATATAATTATAACTAATAGATTTGTATCTATTGAAAGATTATTATATAATTATGAAGCTTATAACATATCTAGCTTTATTACAAACAAGACAAGTAATTTAGTTGATTTGGAATATAAAGATTACTCAAAAAAACATCGTTTAGTATACTTATTAGGTAAGGATCAATCATGGGAAGAGAGACATTCTCTAGTAAATTCAGGCTTTTATATTATTTATAGATCACCTTCTGCGATGAAAGTCCTTTTTCATTCTATATATACAGATCCAAAAATCACAGATAATTATATTTTATGGGGTCATAAATGGCCAGAGCAATCTACAATTAATGATGCTATATTTGAATATTTTGGTCACTCTCTTAGTAGTCCATCAAAAACTATTGATATTCATTTAATGAGCAAAGATGAAATTAATAAACAAATATTTATTTACTTTAATAATGGATCTCCTATAGCCTTTTCTTCCAAATTTGGAGATACTTGTGTTGCCACAAGTTCACATATTTTGAATTCTGTTTGGTTCGATAATTCTAACTATATTGGTGAGGGAAGATGGAGACCTGGATATTTTTTTATACATGCATCAAATACAAATTCTGTACTTAGATCTAATATTTTAGCAGGTCTTTTATATATTATATATATTGATGGAATTAGTGAAAAATTTATTTACACATTTAATAAGACTTGTACTATACCTCTGGATCAAATAAATCAGGGATTAGATTATTTAATTGAATACTTACACAATAGAGACAAGGAAAAAAATTTATTAACAGATAAAAGTAAGTCATCTTCTCAGGTATCCCTGGAAATAATTTTGGAATTGAATTTATTAAGTATTAATTATCAAACAAATTTCAAACAAGAGAACTTTATTGATAGTTCAGGTATTATATGCAAGGAAGTAAATTATTTTTTACAAGCTTTTATAGAAACAGCTCTTCTTGCTTGTGTTGCAATATTGGGCATGTTATTATCGTATTCAATGTATTTATCAAATAAGAGACAACAGTATAGTATTAAGAACTATAGTAGAAATTTATATTTGACTTCTAATAAATTAGAAGTTTCTTATTAGTGAATAAGATTAAGTACTAGTAATCTTATTAACTATTATTATATTAAAATAATATCCTTTCCCAATAATAAACTAATATATACATTTGTATTAATTTCTAAAGTATATAATGTAGTATTGCACCTATCTAATTTTTAATGTGATGACAATTTAAAGGTATAAAGAGGAGGAATACCAAAAGTTTTGTATTTTGTGCGTTTATCTGAATTTAGCGCCAATGTGTTATCATGCCCCAACTGAGAATTGCATGCAGATTTCACTAATACTACGTCTCTCTTTAATTATTATTATTATTATTATTTTAAAGAACAAAAAAGTATAAAAATTAAATTCGTTATGTAATTTTTGTTAATTACAGTGTTCCATCAAGATTATTGTCTGGAAATGGCTTAACTAGAAAGGTATAATAAAGAAATAAAGTTGAGATTTAGGGATTTAAAATATTTTTCACTTTTATATGATAAGGAGATGGATTTTCAATATTTGAATCAAATATCTAATAGATTATTATTATATAATAATGAATATGGGCTTGATGATAATAATATAGATAAGGAATTAGAAATATTAAAATATACAAAATTGAACAAAACACCAATAAATAAGGAATATTTTGATTCAGATAATGCAAATGTCAACAGAGTACTTTCTGAAAAATTAGGTAATATTAATGTTAAATGCTTTAATAAGATCTATAACAATAAACAGGAAATGCAATCTTTTTTTAATAATTCTAAATTAAATGGGACTTTACAGCAAATAAGAGATGCACTAAATTCTCTATATATTGATCAAACTCGTCCTCATATACAAGAACTATTAAGACGTATACAAGAGAGAAGTACTGAAAGTTTTAGAAATATGAAATTTGGTACAAAAGAATTACTTAATGAGTTATATATTCATAAGGATGAATTTTTCGTTTCTGAGAGTGGTGAAGTATATTTCACTAATAATAAAGTTGAGGAATCCCATTGGATTGATCCTAAGAATCCTGAAGATCCTTATTCACCTAGTATTTGGAAGGCTTTTATGCAGTATATACACAATCTAATAAGAATTGGAAATTTTAATCCCCATTTTTCTAATTCATCTCATATTGAAAGTGATAAATATCAACTAAATAATAATTCAGGATTTAGTTACGACTATCTTAATTATAAGAATAATCAGGTAACTCCAATTTTAATGAGATATCAATTCAAAGGTGGGCGTTATGGAGTAGCTATTGAGATTCACAAAGCAAATATTCCAGAATTGAAAGATTTATCTGTAGGTCAAATATGTCATCTAGTTCAGTTAGCAATAAGTAAGGGCATACTTCAATATGAAAATAATGTTTTACAACCAAGGTGCACATGTTTGAAGATTGCAGCAGCTGTTTTAGCCTTAGATATTGAGAAAGATAATGGAAAGTTTGATAAAGGAATACTTAATAAAAGCTTTGTTTTTAATGATAGAAAAAATTCCTCATCTTCTATAACTACTACAGATACTGAAGATAATAGTTCAATTAATACAAGTCCATATAGAAAATCATTAGCTGCTGACATTATAACTCTGAGAAAGCAAATACAAAGAATATTAAGAGATTATCCTGAAGGTATTCTTCTGAGCTTATTAAAAAAGTATTTTGTTTCATGTTGGAATACAAAGCTATGTCCAACAGTTTATGGGTATACCAGGATATCAGCTTTACTATTGTCCGATAATTTAAAAGATATTTGTAGATTATATGTTGATTCTAAAAATCATGTATTAGTACAGTCTACAAATTATCAGATTCCAGAAAATGTGAGGTTTCTTGAGGAAGAAAAAAGTAATAAGAACACTGCATCTATAGATTTAGAGCTTTTACAACCTAATCAAGCTATGTATAATATTACATTCGAGTATATGAAGGCACTTAGATTTTTTAATAATACAATAATTTACGATCAATCACATAATAATAGTGTTAATAAATCATTTTTTAATAGTCAAGATATTATTTAGAAATATTCTTTTGTAAATATATCTAAACAATTTTAATTCCAACCAATAATAAATCCTGACTATTAGAGGAACTTCAACTTTTTTGTTTTGTGGTTATGAATATATTCTAGACAAAGAATTCTGTAAAATTGCCCATCATCACTATATTGAGATCTATGTATATATATTATTTAGAATCCTTTCTACTTCATTCAGTTACTAGGAATTAGTGATAAATTAATGTTAAAAATAGTAGTTCCGCTAGAATTTACTATTTATTAGTTAGATATATAGTTACTATCCAATAAGCTGAAATAAATTGTTATTCTTTTTTTTTTTTTTTCAAGATATTTTTGGGTAATTCATATAGTTGTATATTTAATAAAGTTTCCTTTGCTTCTAGACTAATATATAAATAGATTTACATTATACGAAATAGAGTAATGCTCATTAGATACCAATAAGTTCAGTTAGTAGTTAAAGGATTCCAAACATGTTCACTTACTATTTGAGATTCTTCGTAAATTCATTATTTGTATTAGAACTTGTTCAATATATATAATTGGTTTTAAATAATCTCTTTGAAAACTTCAAATTTAATTTATTTTAAATACTATTTAATTGTTAAATAATAGACTAATAGTATAGAAATACTTAAGTCAATATCTCTAGAGTTTGAATAAAACCTATTCAACTATTTAGCTATTATCCTTATTAAAAGTATTTTAAAGTATCCCACTCGTATTCAATATATAAAGCCTCATCTTTAAATTCTACTTTCTTAATAATAGTATATGCAAAGTTTATATATGTTAATAGATCAGAACTATCCCAAGAAACTCTAGAATTTATTTTCTCAATATAATATTTCTTCTTGTATGAACATCTTGCTTATTTTATTATTCTTTCTGTCTTCATTTACTTTAAATTTACTCTTTTCCATCCTAGCTATCTCCATGATTTATTGAATTATTGCATTGGAGGAATAAGGTGCAGGTTTTTTCAAAGCACCAGCAAAGTAGACAAAGTCATCTGGAGCTACTCGTCGAATTTCTTCTGAGGAGCATAACTTGAATATGTTAGCTTTTATACAGGAACATTTATCTTGATCTAATATAGATGTAGCTAACCAAGATTGGAAAGAAAGCCTTCTACAATCTTCATCACAAGCATCATTATTTACAACTGGGATATTTCTTGGGATAAACCAACCGTTTTTTAGTGCTGCATTGTACATCTTTTCCATTCTCATGGAGCTTTCTTCATTAAGTGAAAATGTTACAGGATAAGCTGCTTGTGAAATAAAATCTGCTATAAATCCAAGAGCTCGATCTATAGGTTTCTCTAGGTCTTCAGGACAATTTTTTTGATGAGGCCCATTACGAATAATATTTTTAGCTTGTTCAACAAGTAAAAACATTACACATGAATATTCTTCAGGTAAACCTTTAGATGGGTCTAGAAGTTTATCAATTCTATCCTCTCCACCTGACACAACAACCATCATGGCATTTGCATTTCTAATGGTTTCCAAAATTGTATTCTGAGTTGCATCAACAAGTCCATCTTGATCATTATCTAAAACACTTGCTAATAACTCAGCCAAATAGGTAACTTTATCATCGGGAACATCTTTATCAGCTAATATTCTAATTCCAAATACAGATGTATATTTTCCCAATCCTGCCTTGGTAAATCCAGATTCAGGTAAAGCTAATGGTTTCAAATATACAGCGTTATCATCATCTTGTTCCTTAAATGTCTCTGCTGGGAATACTACATGAGAACAAGAATCTTCTGTGGGTACTATTGGATTACTTATAGTTGTTGAATTGGAATCAGTAGTATTTGAAGGAATTCGGATATTTGTACTTGGAACTGCCTTAACAGTCAGAATTAATCCAAGTAAAACCAGAATATAATATAGCAAAAGTTTCATCATGACAACAAAGTACCAACAGTTATTATGTCTGAATTCTTAAGTAACCCAATAAATGCCTAACTGGTAATATGTTATTGCATATCGTAACAGACTACATAATTTTCAATGGGGATACGAGGACCAAATTAATAAGTCCCCATATCGTTATAAAATTATTTAAAAACACCACATAATTTCACTATATTTTTGCATGCCTAGAAGGTTTTTTTTAAGTCTCTATAGCTTGATATATTTCAAAAGAAAGGTAGTCCAATTTACAATTAAATTAACAAAAACCCTACCGCAAAATTAATATTTGCATTAGCCGCTAAAAAAATTCTAATATTTAAAACGCTTGTAATTTCTTAATGTGTAAAAATATCAGAGATTGGTGTATTTTAGGGATATATTCTAGAAATTTATATGATATATGGTACCAAAAGAATATTGCACCCTGTATTGAACTAGAATGGGTACTAAATAAGATACTAAATAAGCCTGCATTAGAAGATCATGATTTAAAGATTATATATATTCCAAGAGAGACAGTATGCAAATTATTTGGATTAGTAGGATTATGCGATTATGATCTAGAAGAGTGCATAAATGCTTTAGATGATCTATTTTGTCATTATCGTTATATTCAAGTTTTTACTGAAACACAAATATACTATGATGCCGAATATCTTCCAGAATTTATTTGGTTTTTTATAAGAAAATATAGTTTGATATTTTCTACTAGAGATTCTTCGATAAATATGGATGTATCTTTTAGAATTTTAGTTATATATTTATGCCACTTATATTGTCCAAATGAGATAAGACCTTGTATAATATTAGTTGCTGGAACATCGGGAAGTGGGAAAAGTACTATTAGCTCATTTTTAGCTTCATACTTGAATACTGAATGTATTTTATCAACAGATACAATTAGGCATATATTAAGGTTCACAGATGATTATAAGGATGATGCAACTCTTCACTGCTCCACATATGAAGTATACAAAAATGTTAATACTCAAAATAAAAGTAGTGAACAAATAGAAATTTCAACTAGTAAATATAGTAGAAAATCCCAAGATGTTATATTAGGATACTTAATGCAATCTAGTTTAATTGAAGATTATATTTATGAAATGGTGAAAACAACTATACAGAAGCATCGGAGTATTATTGTTGAAGGAGTACATATAACACCTGATCTTATCAGAAAAATTCATAATTTAGCATATACAGCTAGATCAAATCTTGTAACTTTTCTTGTATATATAGAGGATAAGGAAGAACATTTAAAACGTCTTCAGGAGAGAAGTAGAGGAATTCTGCAATCAAAATATTCTCATAATATAAATGAGATACACACTATTCAAGAATACCTTTTAAGTGAGGCTAAGTTAAATGAAATGACAATTTGTATAAATAATACATCAAGTGATATTTATTCCATTGTAAAGAAGGTAATTCTAAAACAAATCCGAGTAATCTTTTCTAAGTACTTTTAGTATTGAGCTTACACAAACTTCTCTTTTGGGGGCTATATGTAAATTAAAGGCAAAAGTGAGATATGATTTATACAGCTTTAATTATTTGTAGTTATATATAATTAGATAGGTTTTCCACTATTTAGAAGTATTTTAAGTAATAACATATCTAGATTCTCGTAAATTAGGTTATGTGGAACATAATTAGAATATAACTTTGTATTATATTTTAAAATAGTAATTTTTAATCTTTGTTTCCCTGAGTTTAGTGAGAGATTTATCTTTAGAATTTATCAATATTATAAATATCTTTAGGAACCTATAAGCTTGTATTAGAGTTTTGTTTTCAATTAATCTGATTTATTATCTAAATATTACTAAAGTTATATAAATGTCTTCCAGATAAACCACTGAATCAACATTATTTTACAAAGGAAATAAGATTACATATTCACAATATCACTTAATAACTAAAGTTATTTTAAGTTCCAAGATTATATTTGTGAATTGAAGAATATTGTTCATGATTAACCTTATCTTTAAAATTCTTGAATATTCGACAACAAACAAAACAAATTCTATCTATTTCACTTTCTAGAGTATCATCAGTACATTTCTCATTCTGTTTTATTTTAGATGATGAATTATCTGATATGTTCAATTTATTATCTATATTATTTATATTATCTTTTATAGCTTCTTCTTTATAATCTTCATCTATAGAAAAAAAATCTTTAATACCTTTATTAATAGATTCAGATTTACTTTTATTGTGTTGTATCTTAACCGAATTAGAATGTAACTGGGATTGAGTATTTGCTAAGACAGAAGCAATAAGTTCTCTATTATCTTTAAAAATAAGTTCTATTTTAGGAGCAAGAGTATCTACACCAATATCCTTTTCATCTTCACTTTTTTCATTATATATTGTAAATGGTTGAGTTTGATTTAATATTAGAATTAAAGCACCATATTCAGAATCATATTCATAACAAGTTCGATTAGTGATATCTATAAAGATTCGACTTTTCCAATTCCATGAAATACTTTTATTAATATAAATAAGATTAAAATCTTCACAAAATATAATGGAAGACAAATCTTTCCAAATTTCAATAACCTCACTTGTTCTTATCTGATTATATTCAGAACTTGAATTTACAGATAAATATGAATTATATGTTTTCGTCCAAAATTTCATATAATTGGACCAGATTTCTCGTTTTAAATCACTTATTTTTGTATTATCACTATTAACAATATTCCATAGTGAGTTTACAGATTTTGGTTCAAATGATTCAAGTTCTTTAGTAATTTCCAATAATACATATATTTGACTTGTACCTATAAAAAATGGGAAGGAATTATTTTTATTATCTGTAATATTATTTAAATTAGAATGTTTTTTAAGCCATCTAAGTGCTCTTAGAGATGTCAGAGGTGATGAAAACTGAACAAAACAAAAACCTTTAGTTTTTTTTGATTCATCCTTTATATAATGAATTCTCCTTAAATAAGATCCATATCTATTTTTCCTGAGAATTTGCCAAAGATGTTCTTCTTCAATAGAATGAGATATTCCACGAATAAGCCAATATTGAGTTGCCATATTCATAGATACGAGTGATTGAAATGGCTTTATCATTATAGAAGGTTCACATGTAACATATAAGTCCGCAAGACAAGAAGGTATAATAGATAAATTATTTGGATTTTTGTCTAGTATTAAGTAGCCTGAATTATTGCAACCCTTCTTAAGAAAATATCTTGTAGAGCTTCTTGATGGAAAGGTAATAATAGCTATTCTTACATTTCCATTTACTATACACAACTCATATTCGAAAATCACACTACTAGGTAAAGAAAATTCTAAAGAGACACTTAAATTAGATAGTATATGTTCCAGAGTAGATTCATATTCCTTTGGAATACCACGTAATATCACATTCCATTTCATCACATTACATTTTCTCAATATATAACTTCCACAGCTACCCTCTGAGCTATATTCATCTTGTCTCATTACTTCATACACATTTGGAATATGATCTTTAGTGTAACAAAATGAGTAAATCAGGTTTTGCCGCCATAAATGACGTAATACATGTGTACCTATAAATAAAACTGATTATATCGAGGAATATTTCATTAAATGTTTTGTATCTGATTTAATACGATTTATAATGGGTACCCTGTAATTTATGTTGAATGTTTGATTATTTATTAATGGAGAACTTGGCATTGTGATTTTATCAACCCTGTAGCTTGGAGGTGTTTGGTATAATTTCCTTGCATGTATTGAATGATTATAAATATCCATAGGATCTTCTTGTGTCAAAATTGTTGTAGAAGATTCCTTACGCTCTGCGTTAGCATTAATAGTTTCATATGTACTACTACGGGAGTAGCAAGTATCACTTTCATATGAAGATGTCTCATTGCTTAAAGGAATGATATGATCTATATATTTATCTACATCTGGTGGTCTCATATGGATTTTAGTCTTTCTTTCAGGGCTTTTATGATTAATATTATTGTCAGTATCCTGTATTTTGTTTTTAAGTGGGTTATTTAGCTGTTTGTTTACATCTTGTCTAATATATTGTTGAATAGCCATAAAAGCTTGGTTAGAAAATTCTTTGGGACCTCTAGGAATCATTTCCAAAACGAATGGAGGTGAAGTTAGACCTTTTATATCAACATTTATAAATAATCTAAGAGATTCAATAGCTTTAGGTATTTTTTCACAATTAAAAATTTTATAGAAAAAAATTACAATTGAAGCTTTTACAAATTTCGGTCTTTCTGAGTTGTGATTCCCTGGAATAATCATCAGCATTTTATCTCCACCATAACTATCATGTAAAGTTTTGGAATGGCTAGGAGCTATGAAGTTGTCATTAGTTCCAGCTATAAATAAACTTGGAACCTTACTTTGTTTAACATATTTTATTGGGGCCATATCATCAATATTAGCTTTTGCTTTTTCCATAATGGTTGTTTGAATAAAGGATAGAGCTGAGTCTACTAAGAAATTTGGAAGTAGAGGAACATATAGGTGGACAAGTTCGTGACATAATTGTCGTAGACTACTAAAGCTTGAATCAACAACAATACCTTTTAAAAAGTCAGATTTCTCAGTACTTCCATACATCAAGGCAGTAGCAGCTCCCATAGATCTACCCCAAATTCCAACACCGCTACAACGATTAGATTTCCAGAGATAGTCTATAAGTGTAGCTAAATCATCCTTTTCATAATATCCTAAGCTTATGTATTCTCCTTCTGATAAGCCTGATCCACTTAAATCTACTGTCAATACAGTAATAGATAAAGGTAATATCAAAGGAATATATGGTATTGCCTCTCGTCGTGAACTACAATTACCATGTAAATAAATTACACAAGGGAGTTTGATCATAGCTCTTTCACTTTCTATAGGTTCAAAATGGCTACAGTGGAGAAGCTGGTGCCTATTATTTCTTAAAGTAAAATCTGTACGTTTAAATTTAGATCTTCCTATTGCAAATCTAATTGGCCCAAGATCTCGTATATTATATTTATCCCTAGGGGGACGTATAATTGCTTTCCATAATTCATTATATTGTGATGATACGCTGCAGAGAAGAGAGGCCATACTTCTAGTGTTAGTTTGAGAAATTAGTATTAGGCTTGAGTTACCCCCAAAACTAAATATCTTATATATATGGGGCCTTAACTAGCCCAATTAATTCTAAAACAGTCTCAATTCCCCAGTTCTTTACTGCTACAATAGCAGAAAATTAAGTTTCTCTATTTAGGTGAAGGTCCTCACACCCCTTTATGCACCGCAGCAGGCGGGCCGTAGCGTCTCACACACAAGACCCGGGTAGAACATACTACTGGCTACTATTAGCCAGCCTCTAGTAAAAAACAAAGAATAGAAATTTTGTGAGATAGAAAATAAAAGATGTAGATACATCTCTAACACAAAGCATACTAAACAACCTTAAGTGAATTGACTAGATGTCTATATTTAAATGTTGACTAACCAAATAGATCAGATCAGTTCCACACACTTGGAGACATAAAGCCTGCAAAAGTATTCCTGTCTACTAAGAAGTCAACTACACTTAAATATTTACCCTCTTGAAGCTCAGATACTAGAACTGGTAGTTCTTAAATTTATATTATTGATGTATGTATCCAATTAGATTACTTAGAAATTCATAAAAGAAGATACTAAACAAGTATCCAGACATCTTTAAAGTTCATCATGTCCAGTGTATTCATCACCTTCTGGAGATCCAGGTCCAGCTTTTCCATAGACAGTAGCAATAATTGGATTGCAAATACCTTCCACTTCCTTCAACTTATCTTTGTAATCCTGTGCATCAGCCTCAGGGTTACTATTAAGGAATTCCTCAGCATCCTTAAGAGCTTCCTTTATCTTTTCTTTGTCATCTTCCTCTAATTTTTGAGCCAATTTATCCTTATCATCAATACTAGTTCTCATAGAATGTATATATCCCTCTAAAGCATTCTTAGCATCAACTCTTTCACGTATTAATCTGTCCTCCTCAGCAAATTGCTCAGCTTCTTTAATCATACGTTCAATATCCTCTTGAGATAGACGACCTTTATCATTAGTGATAGTAATCTTCTCAGATTTCCCAGTACCCTTATCTTCAGCACTGACTTGAAGAATACCATCAGTATCAATCTCAAAAGTAACTTCTATCTGAGGGACACCTCTAGGAGCTGGGGGAATTCCAGTTAATTCAAATTTCCCAAGTAAATTATTATCTTTTGTCATGGAGCGTTCACCTTCAAAAACTTGTATTAAGACTGCGGGTTGATTATCTTGAGAAGTACTGAAAATTTGACCCTTTTTAGTAGGAACAACTGTATTTCTAGGAATAAGTTTTGTCATAACTCCTCCAACTGTCTCAATACCTAAGGTTAAAGGAGTTACATCTAACAACAATAAGTCCTTACCACCTTCACCAGCAAGAATACCAGCTTGAACAGCAGCACCATAAGCTACAGCCTCATCAGGATTAATTCCTCTATTTGGTTCCTTCCCATCAAAGAAATCCTTAATTAAAGATTGGATTTTAGGAATACGAGTAGAACCACCAACTAAGACAATCTCATGTACATCAGATTTCTTCATATCTGCATCTTTCAAAACCTTCTTAACAGGTTCCATAGTTTGTCTAAATAAGTCTGCATTTAATTCCTCAAACTTAGCACGAGTTAATGTTTCAGATAAATCTACACCATCCATCAAACCCTCAATTTCAACCTTAACCTGTGGTGCTGAAGATAAAGCTCTTTTAGATCTCTCAACTTCTCTTCGAAGTTTCTGTAAAGCTCTCTTATCTGTCTTAATATCCTTATTTGTTTTACTCCTGATTATCTTAATAAAGTGATCCATTACACGTTGATCAAAATCTTCACCTCCTAAATGAGTATCACCACTAGTTGCAACAACTTCAAATACTCCATTATCAATAGTTAAGAGAGAAACATCAAATGTACCACCACCCAAATCATAAACCAAAATAGTCTTCTCACTCTTCTTATCTAAACCAAAAGCTATAGCTGCAGCTGTAGGCTCATTAATTATACGGATAACATTTAGACCTGCAATAGCTCCTGCATCTTTTGTAGCTTGTCTCTGAGCATCATTAAAGTATGCTGGAACAGTAACAACAGCATGTTTAACTTCCTTTCCAAGATAAGCTTCAGCAATCTCCTTCATTTTAGTTAATACCATAGCAGAAACCTCTTCAGGAGCAAGTTGTTTCGTCTCATTCTTAACAGTAACTTTAATGTAAGGTTTGCCATTCTTATTAATAATATCATAAGGTAAAAGAACTTTGTCCTTTTGAATAGAGTCGTCTGTAAAACGACGTCCAATAAGTCTCTTTACATCAAATAGAGTCTGAGATGGATTAATTGTAGCTTGATTTTTAGCAGCTTCTCCAATAAGTCTTTCATCTTCTGTAAATGAGACGTATGATGGAGTTATCCTATTACCTTGATCATTTGGTATTATTTCGACTCTTCCATTTTTATAGATAGCAACACATGAATAAGTAGTACCAAGATCAATACCAATAACTGGGCCTTCAAATTTCTTTTGATCAGACTTGTTGTCGGCAAGGCATACTAAAGCTAAACATGGAAGTAATACCAGAATTATTCTTAAGAAACTCTTCATTAGTACACAATTCACTAACAAAAAATAAAACCTTTGTCTTAATATTTCTAATACTATTCACTATTAGATTTTTGCAGTTAAACTTCCATTCCTTTAATTATACTTTTGAGGGGAAGAGAGGGGGGGGGTTCAAAGTTTTGAATATAAATTGAAATAACACATATTCATATAGTATCTATATATAGTGCAGTACACAATACATTACATTAGTAATATCCACTAGAACTTTGCACTCTATGATAATAGACATAGGTACTACGTTTATATGTTTTTATATCCCCACGATACCACACTTCAATTATAATTCCACTATAGCGCTTATACGGAGACAGTATATCTCCGTTTTAAATATATTTCCTAGAATTTAAGAATCAATTTTAATATTGCTAGGAGTAGAAAGTGGATAACTACTAGATTATTACAGGAAATTCCGCAGTTTCTTTCATTTTTTAAAATATTTATAATTACACAATAACCCTATTACTTAACATATTTGGCACACAGAACTTTAATAGACTTTGTATGGAAGGGAAAGAAAAGTAGATATTTAAAGAACTTAGTTAATTCTTCAAATTGTGGAACTTGTGGATTAGATTATTATTATTGTGATATTTTACTTCTTTGGAATCTTGTCTGTATAGTTATTCTGTTTATTCAGACTTTCTATCTGTTGTTGCAGTTGATAGATAGTTTTATGCATATTTTGAATTTTTGATTCCTTCTCATTTACTAATTCAGTAAGTTTCTTGATTTTTATTCTTAGTGACTCTATTGAATCATCTGATTCTGTTTTATTTTTGTAAGATTCGATCAATTTATCTTGTAGTTCAGAGAGCTTTACCTGAAGACTATGAAGATTATGGTTTCTTTTCCCATTCACTTCCAAATATATTTTTTTATCAACTAAATTACTTTTAAATATATTTAATAGTTCCAGATCTAATATTTTTAATAAGCAACAATATTTTAATAGTATTAAAATGACTTCTAAGAGTTACAACTACAATCCCTCAAAGGATTACTTAAATATGAACTTACAGGAGTCATAAAGAGCAAGAATATCTGGTCTTTGGAGCTGATTTCTATAATCTATTAATTTGCTAATTTCTTCTCTCCAGTTTTCCATTCAAGCTTGTATATAAGAAAGTAGGGATAAGGGGTTTTTTAGGGTTCTGCATGACTTTTTTAGGCGGGTATTTTTGCACATTTTTTTTTAGTTTGTAATATTAAATAGAATTAGTAAAAAAGGACTTAAATTAACATTTTGGGTAATATTTAATATCTAATTTATTAAATTATTACATACAAATTTACTTATGATTATAATTACTAAGATAAGGGGATAGTCACTTATTATATTTAAGGATTTTAGGCAAGGATGGCTCCAAATTTATCTAGTATACGGCCAATCTCCGAGTCTAATGAATCTGAACATATGAATTCGACTAGTATAAATAAAATACTAGCAAATGTTCAGGGTTATTATAGTGGTGATTATGATTGGAATGATTTTTATGGTGAAGATGATGAATTTTCACTTGATGGAGCTGGGGATGATGATAACAATTTTGACTCAAGTACTATTTTACATTCAAATTATGTAACATTAGATAGTACACTGCAAGATCGTTTGAAGCATTTTCAAACTCAGAGTTATGCAAATAATGAGTCAAATGTAGGTGATATTAGATTTAGACAGAGAATAAGACGCAGAAGATTAAGAGATAAAAGTAATGAAGATAATATTCCTGATACTCTCCATGATGAGATTGTTGAACAGATAAATCGTGATGTAAATGGACCATTAATTAGTCAGGAAGAAATAGCTGAAATTAGAGATAGTATCTCTAAACCTAGAGGAGAATATATACCTGATGATATACTTATGGGATATCATACAGCTTGGGATATTGGGAAAAGGGGTTGTGTGGCTGTTAAATTAGTAGGTAATTGGGATTCACATATTTCACCAAATAAAGTTCGTTTTTTTATTATGGATGGTACTGATCCAATAGCATTTTTGACTTATTATACAAAAAGTGATTTGAAAGTTAGCCGTGGTGAGAAATCAGAAAAGAAAGGGATAATTTTTGCAAAGGATTTAAAAAATGGCTATTGGGATTATGGAAAGGCTAAAATAGTATTTAGAAGAAGTAATAAAGGTGGACAAACGACAATACTTGAAAATATACCTAGTCTTTTCTTAGATGCAATGTTAGTTTGTTTAAGAGAAATTGAAGTGCATAAGAGAATTGAGAAATTAAAGAAACAGAGAAGAAATAAGAAGAATGGGAATGACAAAATAATTAGTAGGAGATCAATTGATCAAAATATATTAAGTTTAAATTCAGAACTAATTAATAGTGATATATCAAGTAATTCAAATAAAGAAAGTGCCGTACCTATGGGTAACATTTTATCAGGTCATAGACAATCTATTACAAGATTAGTAGCACCTAATTTACATTGGAATACAAATACAGATATAAAAAAGTTGCCTTAGCCGCTTTAAGTATTGTATCATGCATTATTGATATAACCCCCCTTATTCTCATTGTATATTCTTTTATAACACTTTGTATTTTAGTTAATATTTTTGATGGGAAGCTCAAATTCTAGATCATTTGGTGGATTTCGAATATGTAATATAAATAAAGTTGGAATAGGTCAGATAATTGGATTGGAATTATATTTCGATTATATTGTTGGAATTAATAGAATTCCTTTAATAGATTATTCTGATGCCTCACATGATTACTTTATTAGGAGACTGCATGCTTTAGGTAAAGTTCCTATTGAATTAAATGTATATAATGTGTTATCTGCCCAGGTACGTACAATTTTAATTAGTCCTAATAATGGGAATTGTGAAGATGATAAACTAGATACTGTAGAAGTGCCGCCTACTACTCTGGCGCCACTTATTGAAAATACATGCATGCATGTTAAAAAGTTTGAATTTCTACAAGATACAAAGGATAAAACAAATAGTTTAGGGATTAGTGTTCATTGGGAAGAGGTGATATGTAGAGGGATTCGTGTATTAGATGTTCATGAATCATCTCCCGCTAGTATATCAGGTTTACAACCTAACTGTGACTATATTGTTGGCAGTTCAGATATACGCCGTCCTTTTTATTCTATTGATGACTTTTTAGCGTTTATTAAGTCAAATATTCATTCTGAGGTGCATTTGCATGTATATAATTCAGATATTGAGAAAATAAGGGATATAAAGGTATGCCCTAATTCTGACTGGGGTGGTATTGGTGTCTTAGGATGTAGTGTAGTGTCTGGATTTCTCTGTAATATCCCTTTAAGGAAAATGGAAATATCAAATAAAGTGGATTTGAAAATATTAAGAAGTGAAGTTGAGTATATTGAAGCTTATGAGATTGAAGGTGGTTTTGGATATCGTATAGCTGAGGATATCTATAATAATAATAATAATAACCTAGGAGTATTTGAGGAGAAATCATTAGATGAACTTAAAGAAAAAGAAATTTCATTAAGTAATATAAAGTCTAAACGTGAAGTAATTGAAGATATTATATTAGAGGAACATACTAGTGGAGAGTGTATAAATAGTTTTGAGACAGATAATGATGTAAACATTCAATCAGATAATACAATACACCTTTTAGAAAAAAATACTGATCCCAGAAATGAGGATATATATAGGAAATTTAATCGAGATATTATAATAGGAGTTGATGAAGATGGTGCTGATAGTAATTATAAAAAAAGTAATTCTGCAGAATTTGAAAGTACATTTTTATCTCAAGATTTAGTATCTAAACAATTGCCAGATATCCTACATAATTGTGAAGTTATACCATCTAATACAGTTAGCATAGAAGAAAATTCTATATCTCGAGAATTAGAGTCAAGCCAGATAACCAGAATTGAATCTATTGAATTAGAAGATGGAAAGAATGAAGATTCATTTAATGAAGCTCAAACATTATATACTCAGAAAACTTACAATAATTTATCTGGATATTCAAATATTAAACAGGATAAATTTATAAATGATCTCAATTCAAATGAAGCTATAAAAGATATTAGTAAAGATTTTAATAATAATTTTTTTATAAATTCAAATATTTCTAATAAATTAGATATGATAACAAATTCTCTTAATCCTAAATTTCTAGAAGACATATCAGCTAATACTGATATTGAAAATAATCATATAGAAGAACAAGACACCTCTAAAACGTGCATGAAGGTAGATATAAGCCCTGATAATAAGTCATTTGAGCAAAGTCCAATAAAGGGTGCAGTTGAGAAATCATTAATTGAGGATATCAATTGTAACATTAAAGATATACCCACTATAAATGATGCGGTTGAAATAGTTACAGATAGAGTTTATCAAGAGACTCCTGCTTCTACAAATCTAAAGAATGAATCTATATATTTATGTAATAATCAAGAAACTGAAGAATTGTCTCAAAAAAATATAAATGAGCATGACTCTCTTGATAAATCTAGTAGTTCACAGGAAGACATGAAACCAAAGAGAACCGCACTCCAGATAATTGAGAAGTATCCACCACAACTTTCCTATATACCCCCAGGATATATTAAAAAAAATCAAATTTAGATTATTCAGACCTATCTAGACATATTTGTTTTGAGATTTTTAAATTAAGTAGTTTCAATCTAACTAAAAACACTTATTTTTGAAGTTCCAACTAGTAATTTGCACCACTTATAAAGATTCCTAAAGTTCACTAAATAATTATATATATAAGAGATTTCAAAAGGATATTTCGTCAAAACTTTGTTTAGTCAGACTTTATTCGTTTATAGATGTTATATATGAATAAATAGGATGATATAAAGGTGATACTTGCAGTGCAAAGAGCTAGAGTAAAGGTAGTCATGAGGCTTGATAGGATAAACAAGTGAAATTGTACAGACCCAAATATTTTGTTTGCATAATCCAAATAATAATATAAGCATAAAAATAGAAAATATAAACAAGGAGAAGCTCCAGAAAAATAAGAAAACCACCACCATTTGTAATTTTCTAAATTGAGGTGCATATATAAAGAAATAAGTGATGATATAGTTCCCACAGCTAATAATAAGACAATGCTTATATATAAGAGGCTAGTATTGTAATAATGAAATGGTGTATAATGCCAAAAAGCTGTAAATATATAATGTAACTCAATGTATATAGCAGAAAAGGGGATAACTCCAGAGACAAGTATATGAAATTTTGAAGAATTCCACCACTTTTGTTTAGGAATTTGTCTGGGTAGTCTGTTAGTTTTACAAGGAAATTTAAATGATTTCTGGGCCTTGTTCTTACCAAAAGATGCTCCAATTAAACATAAAGGAAATGATATGAATACAGTTGAAAATATAAATGTTTTGAGAATTGCAAAGATAAAAGAGATTTCTTGTAAAGTAATTATATTTATCATCCAATAAGTAGTGAATAATGGGATTGGATATATTAAAGTGGTCAAAATCATATTTAATTTCCATTTCTTCCCCTCCATAGAGGAGTATATAAAAGATGATACATAACCAGATATGAACGAGCAAATTGAGTATAAATATACAAATGTTTTAAAAGTTGGAGAATACTTCCTATTGTAACTTAATAATGACAAATTTTTCGTAATACCAACAACTAAAATTACTACTAAAATCTGGATCCCAGACCCAATACAAGATGATAATACCATCCTATATTTAGGTGGTCTAAATATATCTCCATGTAACAATTTCCAACCCTTCATTTCAATTGGGTCATCATCTAAAGAAATATTCATATCATCATCTCCTATAGGAAAATAACGCGAAAAGTCAGATTTTAAAACTTGCATAAATATTAATATTAGCATGGTTAGAATTAGAATAACCAAAATCATACTATTAAATATACCCAACCACCTAACATTTGATATACTCATAGTCTTCTGAATCTTATTATAATCTAAATTATTGTTATATTCACTGTTCATACTCACATCAATCCATTGAATGCTATAATACATATTTAAAGGTATTGGATTAATATTTGGAGATCCTAGGATCTCATCTAGATCTAAAGTGTGGATCTTCTTAGTTGACATATCAATTGATACAATTGAATTACCTTTATATCCTAACTTTATATCATATCCATTAATTAATATTGAATGGTTATTGTTAGGATCTTGAATTCCTAAAGGCTTAGCTACTGCCATGTCATCTATAATCATTTCAAATATAACACGATCAGAAATAGCACTTTTTAAACGGATTACATCATCATATGCAATATATCGCGTACAAATTGTCTGATCTGTTTGATTTTGTAAGAAATATATTGGAATATCTATTAGTTCATCTCCTCTTAGTATTTGACTAAGAGATAAGGAAAATAAATCCTTATTGCTACTGCATAAAGGTAGTTTATTATAAAACGAAAAAATAGGGCCCACTACATTATTATAAGTCCAAATACGGTTCATATTCAAAGTTACCAAATCTCCAGCTTGATAAGCTTGGGTAACATAGAGTAATAGAAAGTATATTACTATCCAATTCAAAAGACTCCTGCCTAAAATAATTTTCATACTTCTATTTATGTTTTTTATATCTGTTCTAATTTACTATAGGAATTCTTAATTCTTATTGGATGTTTTATATTGTCCTTACTTTTCTTTTTATAGTGGGGTTCCTATTAATATAGAATAATATTGCGCCATAAATTATTATATGGCGCTTGTATTAGTAATACTATAACACTACAGCACTACAGAATTACAGTACTATACTACTGCAGTACTGCAGTACTGCTTTATAATTTAAAAGATTCTCACCATTTTATAAATCAGTCTAAATTTAATAATTCCTTTAAAAATAAACGAATAAATCTTATAAGTTTATAAATAGTGTTAAAATACATGGATTTTATTTTATTAATAAGTACTTAGATGGTCTTGATACCTATAATATATTATAGGTAACTGGTACAATTATTGTAACTATATACTAATTCTAAAAGCATAGATTCAGATATAAATTTACATTATTTAGTGGTTCCAAGTACTAGAAAAAATTAAATTATTTGTTAATATTATATAATTTATAATAATTTACCCAAAAAATAGCTAACAACAATAAATATAGTCTAATTGATCTTAGTAAGGTTTAATGAGTAACTCATTAAGTCTATATAGAAATATATCTGACTAAATACCTCAAATAATATAATAAAAGTACTAAAAAATTTTGATTTTCTCCAAAATTTACTATTTAAAAAAAAAAAGTTGACGTAATCCTTTACATGCAATGTTATTAAAAAGAAACTTTGGTCTCTAATTTAGCGTTAATTAGGCGCTCAATAATATTAATATTGAGACGAGACAAGTATATATATATTATTATATTAGTGGGAATATCTTGGTTATACTATAATATTATTTATAGTCTGCTTATAGCAATAGTAAGACACGACAGTATTTGTTTTTATGAAAAAAGCTAAGTATTTACAAGACAAGGAGAGGGAATAACAAAATTACAGAATTTTCTACTTATATATTAATTTTGTATTTCTGAAGAGATAGAAGATGACTGTAGTAGATCCATCATTACAAATGAAAATTAATCAATATATGGTTGTTGGACGTGGGAGACCAACCGAACTAAATCCACATCCTCAAGTATATCGTCTATGTATTTTTGCTCCAAATGAAGTAGTAGCTAAGAGTAGATTTTTTCATTTTATGTCAAAGCTCAATAAAGTAAAGAAGTCTAATGGCGAAATATTATCTGTAACTCAGATCTTTGAGAAACGACCAACTTATGCTAAGAATTTTGCTATTTTGCTACAATATAGAAGCCGTACGAATATTGTATATATGTATAAGGAATACAGAGATGTCAGTAAGATTGGAGCTGTTAGTCAGATGTATGAGGAGTTAGCTGGTTCTCATCGTGCAAGACGTAGTAATATTCAAATTATTCGTGTTTGTCAGATTGAAGGCAAATTAGCTAAGAGACCAAAGACAACTCAATTCCTTAATTCTAAACTCAAGTTCCCAGCTATTAGAAGACTTCCCATTGCTCCGAAGTCTCTACGTTCAGTATTTGCTGCTTCCAGACCTACTACATTTCAACAATAGGCTAGATATTAGAACTACTATTTTTGAATTACTTCTATTAGTATGACTGCAAATATCTCTTCATATTTCTAGAACTTTAAGTTTATTTATTTTTTTACATCTTCAGAATTATTTTCCTTTTTTACTTTATAGTTTACTAATAAGAAATAAGATTTGGTTTCATACTTTTAGTTAAATGTTTTATATTGCAAATCTTGATGTAATCTTACTACAGAGTTGTGCGACTTATTTTCTTGATACTTTGGAAATATCTAATTACTTAAAATTAGTGATCAAAATATATATCTTATTTTTTTTTTTGTATATCATTACCTGAATTAGAATATATTTTTCATTTTTAATTTTTTTTCCTTACAAGTTGTTTCTATATTAGCACAAAGTACTAAATTTATTTATTATTATTCACAAATAGATCAATAAATTCCTGTATGGAATATGAAGATATTTTTGTATCTTAATATATAATATATATAATTCATAACTATGTGATTTTTCTGGTGTATTACTAGAAGTTAAATCTCTAGTATCTTAAAAATATATACACATTTGAACTTTTTTTTATATTTCATAATATTTACCTTCATATTATTAGGAAAATATTAAATTATATTTATATTTATTAAATTAATTTAGAAATATAATGTAATATTGATTTAAGTTTTAAGTATGAATGGAACAAATCTAAAAATGAGATCCGGTACCTTAATGCATAAAATATTGGTATATGAATGCATATAAGGTATATTGAATTTCCATGGAGAGTTATTTAAGACATAATATTATGACAAGGATATTTTAGTATTTAGTACTTTTGGTAAATTATAATATAAATGCTTGTAATAAATGATAGAAAATAGGTACAATTTATACTTTTTATCCTAAGGACGTTCAAATATTTGTACATAATTAAGTAATGAGATCTAGTTTTCGGTGTAAAAAGTAGTATTGAGTTATTAAAATAGTACTTATAGTTACTATTACTTACATTTTAAAGTAAATTATACTGTATATCAAGATATATGTCAAACTTTAAATTATAAAAGTCTTTAATAGAATGTTACTAGTTATAAGTGATAAACTAATATTACTGTCTAATATTAGGTATTCAAATATTACTTATAATCATTTAATATATCGTAATTCAGTAATATTTATTTAATGACTTTATAAAGAAAAGTATGAACTAAAGTTCAATGTAGTATGTGATGTTTATATTAGCTATTAAACACATTACCAAGTCTTTGAGATATCTTCAATTAATAGTAAAGTAATAATTATTCATTTAAAGAAGACAAATTATATAAATACATATAATAAATCTATTTAGCAAGTTCTAGTGTGAAGTATTATATTAGATCTAAAAGTTATTAGTATCAGGTATAAAGGTAATTTGGTATATATTATTGTCTCAATAAAATATAAAGGTGCAAATATTTAAAATTTTTAAATGATAGTACAATTCCTGTCTCCAGTATAATAGCTTTAGTTTAAAATAGTTTTTGTGTAATTATTAGCAGTATTCTAAATGTATTTGAAAAAATCAATAGTGTTAAAAATACATGTTACATCATACCGCACGCGGTAAATGTGAATTTTATTAGAGAATTTTGTGATTTTACTCTTCTTTAAAGGAAAAATTAAGAACTTAGGGAATTATGTAATCACTACTTTCTATTATTTTATAGTAATATATTGGAATCCAGAGATCTATGGATATAGATAAACTTGGTGATAAACTATCCTATACTCTTACAAATTGGGAAGTTCATAATGGGGATTGCCTAAGCAAAACTCCTAATAGGAAAGGAAATAAAGTTATAAATAACTTTAAAATTAATATAGATACCCGAAGTGTAGAAGATAAACTGTCATCTTTAATTAATAAGCATTTAAATGATGCACAAAAAGCTCTTGAAAATATAAGGATACAGCATGAGAATGAATTAAGGAAGCAGGAAGAACTAAGGATTTCTCAAGAAAAAAAACTTCTAGAAGACGAAAAGAGACGTATTGAAGAAGAAGAAATACGTATCAAGAATGAAAAAAAGTTTTTTGAAGATATGAAAAGAAATGAAGCACAGAAGCAAATAGAGAAGACTACTGAGAATAATATAGTAACAAATACTCAGGATACATTAAATATTGAAGACCCTAAGAATAAATGTATAGTTAATCAAACTGAGGAGAGGAGGTTTGTGGAGATGTTAGAGAATTATGAGAAATCAAAGGAATATTTAGAAATCATGAATAGTACTGATAAAGATATTAAAAACACAAGAATAAATATAAAAAAGACAATTCAGTTATCTATAAATCAAATTTCCTCAACTCAGAAACAAGTTTTGCTCTCTTCTAACAGAATTATTGAGCTATTATCTAGCTTAAAAAATATGAAGCAGTCATATGATTATGCATTATATATGATAGCAAATTCCCTTATTAGTCAATGTTCTGGTCAAATCACAGCACATCCAGATTCTGTATGGAGTTATTCATATACTTACCTTAATATTTTAAAAATTCATAATAAAATAGATATGATGATGAATGGAATAATATATAGGAGTTGTCCAATATTACTATCTGGTGAATTAAAAGAGATGCAAAATGTGAATGAAACTGAGGAGGCACTTCTTCAAAGGATTAACTCTATTGTAAGGCTCTATCTCGCTATAAATATACAATGCAAAAATTATCATGTAATATGGCTATGGCTAGTTAAAATTTTAAATAAGAACCCATCTAAAGAAATACCGTCTATTTTAGTTACAGCATTGCAAATTATACCATTTTTCTTTATGCCAGTGTTTGGTATACAGTTTCGGAAATTACTTGATTATATACACAATTTCATTATTCCAAATATTAACCTTCTAATAGAAAATAATCCATATCCTATTAAGAGTTATTCACAGCAACTGGAGATGATCTTAAATGAACTGAGAGGGACTACTTCTATCCATGAACCACCAAGTGGATATATTTTGAAGGATAAAAATATTGATATTGAGTGTTAATTTAGTGACTTTTTTTTGATATTAATGACAGATTATTGAAAGGGATTAAAATGATCATAAATTCCAGAAGTTAAGCTAGCGGAATTTTTTTCTATTATTAAGTCAAGTTATTGTAAATATGTCAGAAATTTTACATTACTTTTATATAGTGAATTATATAGTGAATTTATTAATAAGAATGTGACTTCGATAATTTTAATACTTTAGCTGCCTGTATATTATTTTTCTTTAAAGTTGCACTGGGATATTCTTATAATCTAGTAGTATACATTGTAGGTAGCATTCAGCAAGCGAAGTTTCGTCAACCTCACTTTCTAATGGCTGTGTATTACAACACATGTAACACAAATCAACAAAGCATACAAATTGATTGGTCCATGTCTGTTGAGCTTCTATATTTGCTGCTGGAACCCTTTGACATTTTTCTGTATACAAATTAATTGATTCTTCACTATGACAAGTATCCAATGTTTTTAATATCGCTTTACTTTGTTCATATTCTGTATCTTGTTTGTGACAATCTTGTTTGCAACGTAATAATTCTGTGTAAGTTCTTTCCATACTATTTTCACAACAATATGAGCAGTAGTTAGCTTCACATTGATCATCTCCAAGTAGGCGTTCACAATCTTCTTTACGATCACGAGCATGAATTGCTGTGCAATTAGGTGATTTAGTATTTGATGAAAAGTCTATATTAGTTATACTTGAGTCTGATTGAGTTATATTCGTATTTTGGGCTTCTTCTAAAAATAGACCTGCAATAGCTGTCCCTATTGTCAGTGGTCTCAACTGAATAGACTGGAATGCTACACCAGGACATTTATATGTTGATAGACCTACGGAACCATCGTATAAACCTAGTGGGGACCCTGTATATAATAACTGAGTTTTACCATAATTGTTTGTACTAGCTAAAATGCTGGTTCCAAGAGTACCGAATTGTATTTCTATATTGTTCCATGTTCCTAACTGATAGCCAACAAGCATATTCATTGCCAATGTTCTAATGATACCATTTCCAATGACCCTTATTCTTGAATAATGTGATCCCATTTCGAAGATCATATAAGATGATGATGATTTATAGTGAATAATTCCACCAATGATACCATCAGGGCATTGTGGGAAGAATGAATATTCATATATGCCAGTATTACATTGGCGATTTCCACCTAAAATCGCATGAGTACCTATTTTATCACTACTAATACTATGTATATTACTTGTTTGTACCAAAGATCTAGTTTGCAAACCTCCAATATTTGATCGGAATTCCCAGTTTGAAGGACCATCATATGAATATTCTGGATCTATAAACATAAACTCATTATGAACCCCACCAAATGAGCCTGACTTATAATTGCTACAGACAGGTGCTGCTGGTGGATGTGAAGATAGTAATGAACCTAAGCTAGATGATTTTGTACATGGTTTTGCTTGTACATGGATATTGTCAAAATAAACTCCACCCTTAATTCCACTAGAAAAGAATCCAATAGATCCTGATAATATCCAATTATCATAAATATCGAAAACTTTGACTGGAGAGCTATACTTCTTTTCTTCATCAATTTGTGAGATTTCGGTACTGACCCAAATTTGTATTCTTGGTCCACTCAATAAAATCCTTACATGATGCCATGAACCAGAAATATATCCACCATCATACTTAGTTCCCAACAACTTTTTTTCACCATCTATAACTCTAATCAATCTTTTAAATCCACCGGATTTCTGTTGGCTAAACTCTAACAGATAGTACCTCTCAAAATTAATCATTCTGAAAGTAAGACCAATACTACCCTCATAGCTATCGATATAAATATCAGTGTTATAGTCAATGTCATAAAATTTCTTATATTTTAATCTTGCAAATGTACCAATAGCCAATTGCTTTGAAGAAGTTGGAGGACCAACAGGGCTTGTTTGTCCCAATAATCCACTTCTACCTCCCCCACCTATTGGTTCATATAAAATTCTCCAGTTTCCAACTCCTTCAGTAACCCCTGGGCTATCCCATTCTTCAAATAACTCTCCAAAGTGTATAAAGTTACTAATTGGCATATCGAAACTATTAAATCCAGTTTGTGTCGCTTTCAATTCCATCACTTCTTTAAGAAGATTTTCATGTTCTACTATAGTTTCTAATAGATTTTCCATATGATAATATAATATATTTGAGACTGTATGTAATTTTAGTAATATATTATCTGCAGCTAGTCTAGTATGATAGTCCACTATTTGAGTGGGTTTCAGTTTACTCCTTACTCTGGATACTAGTACTTGGCTTCTTCCAATTGTTTCCTTCATTGCAGAAGTATATGATATTCCTCCAATAATATTCATATATCTTTTTATTCTATTTATTGCCTCAAATGTATCTACAGCAGTTCCAAGCCCTAGTGGTAATATCATACTATCTGAATATGTCATATTTGTTGGGGGATCATTTTCTTGTTTTGACTCCAACTGAATGAATGATAGTAGCATTGATAAACTACTATTATATGGGCATAGACTTTCATATTTTGAAGTAACAAAGCTTTTTGACCACTTTTTTCCTAAATATGATATACTTGATACACCAAATCGTTTTGTTGCACCATACGAGTCTAATCCTTCAATTGGTGTTATCTGGAGTAAACCGGTGTTTCTATTTAAAGTATTAGCATGCATAGCAGAGATACATACGCTACTATCGTCCCTATATACATCTGTACCAATTACGACGCCATCAGATTCTGGATTACAAGTAGTTGGACATTTTACCAGTATTGAAGCCAGTAATGGTGCTTTGTTTAGAGCTAATATATCTGCAAAGCGACTATTACACTCTAAACTAATTGCATCATTTGCATATTGAAAATTGGTATTTGGGCTACACAAAACAATTTCTGGTTTGTTAGACTCAGAAACTGAGATAAACGACTGTATATGGGAATCAAGTTGCAAAAATTGTACTGCACAAGTTTCACCATGGTCACAACCATAGTCATGTGTAAGAGGAATAACTCTTCTATCTTTGTTAACTCCCATCATTTTTAGCATCAATTTAATACCTTTAATAGATTTTTTTTTATCTCTTAGCAATAAAGGTTTTAATCCAACTTGCGAGCAAACAGACATTACAGACCTCGCTGAATTTACATGTGTCTCTACAGGGTAAATAGTATTTCCTGTATCCATATCACAAAATACTCTTATTGGTTTAGTTGTACAAAATGGTTTGACATAGAAAAACCCACTTAAAACATAACCTTTCCTATCATTCTTTATTGCAACACAATCTTCAGCTGGAAATAGATAAGAATTACCAATTAATGGTTTGGTAAATTTATACTCCAGTGAATAATCATATATAAGTTTTTCAAGTTGTTCAGATAAAAGTCCTAATTTATTTACTTGCGTCTTTAATGTGACCTCTCTTCCACTAGCAGTACTTTTACATGTTTCTAGTTTCGGAAGCAATGTTGATATATGTCCTGAGAGTCCTTGTACTTCAATCAATCTTTTTTTGATAATTTCTCCCTGAGATTTAAGAGATAAACCAGGTGCATAATTTTCACCAACAACCGGTTGGGGGAATACCTTATCTCTACCATCCTGATGTTCCTTTGCAATATTGCAATCTTCTACAATACTTCTCATTGTGGTACTGAATATTCTGACTTGCTTAATCCCATATACACTTTTTTTATTAATTGAATTCCCTAGACTCAAAAGAGCAATCTTTACATATCTTGCTTTTCTTCCTTCAAGAGAATAACCAGTACTGCTTAATCCATTATTAGATATACTTATAACAGGAGTATAAGTAATATTATCACTACTGAGATCTATTGAAAACGCAGAAGCTGGGTACTTCCAGTCAATATAAATATCTTGTAGTTTTAAAACAACTCCCAGATCTAGTTTAAAGTAAACTTCTGATGATGAATTTTCTAGAATATCCTCTGAAAGCCAAAATGTTGAATCTTTGTTATCTACAGCCATTGAAGGACTATACTCTGGTTCTGTTTTTCTTATACTACTGGCACTAGCAGCTGCATTTAAAGCAACATTAATAATTCCCGTCTTATCACCTGGACTTGATAAACATAAATTTCCACCTCTCATCAGTCTTAATTGGTTATTTGGAAGCAGTTCAAATAGGCCTCTACCATCCATAGTATATGAGCACTCATCTAGTACTAGTGTACCTCCTGTTCCCACATTGTTATCCTTGAGTTGAATACACAACTTACTTATTGGATTAAATATTTGCCCTTTACTATTAAATCCAAAAATCTCTCTGCTATCACCAGATGCAATTGCTTCTATACAACTTCCTAGAACTAATTCGGCTCCTACTTTATGGATATTTCCATCCTCTATTTGCAGGCAATATTCTTCTGTCATAGTTGTTATACCACTTGTAAATTGAACAATCGGAGAACCGATTACTAGTAGCCCAGCAAAATTAATGCCAAAAAAATTAAAAATAGGTATTCTCATCCCTATTCTTACCTTTTGTATTTTTATTGGGTGCTCCTTGAAGTAAAGTTTTTGCTCCATTTCTTTAGATGCAAGCCTATTTTTAGTCCACCCAACAGCTTCTTGAAAGTTTGAACCATCTTTTGATACATCAATGCGTACTTCACCTGGAGTAGAAGCCCAATTAATTAAAATACCTGATACTAATGTTGGTTCTAGTAGAATACCAGTGAAATGAACAATATCATTCTTTATAGCATTACCATCCGATAGCCAATGTGTAACACCACGTTTAATACCATTTTCAGGTAAAAATATCTCAACACCATCACTACCCAATCTATGATAGTAATTATCAGCAATTGCATTATTGAGTGGTATAATAAATAATTCTCCTGACTTTAGTGGATTGTAAGCTTTGGATATTTTTGATGTAGATGCTGGGATTTTATTATTCAAATTACCCCCATTTGTTACATCAGCCTCAAATACTTTAACTTCATGTATCTTGGTCTCATTACTTAACTGTGAGTCAATTGTACTTGGTGAAGATTCTTCGTTATTTGGTACGAAATTTGTATTTGCTATAGTTGTATCTATATTTTGCTTTATAGATCCTACTCCACTAGAGTATAACCCAAACACCAATAATACGATTATAAATCCTTCAATTCCTACTTTCCACATTTTCAATATAATATTAAAATAGAAGGATAAAATTATTTGGAATTAGAAGACGTGGAGCCCGCAGTCCACATGCATACATACATGCATGTGACATGCAAGTACCGGTATACCGGTACTGAAAGGGTTTTATCATAGCTGGGTTTGATTCAAAAGCTTAAGATAATCTTCTTATATAATTAAAATAAAGATAAAATGAAAAGATTTAAGATATGAACTATAATTCTACTATCAGTATAATTTTGGGGTCAAAATGGTTATCTAAAATGTGTAAATAACCAATATAGCTCAATATAAATCTATTTACTTGGAAATATCAATATTTCACCATATGGAATATCTTGTTTGATATCTATAAATGACTTAGATTTTAGATGTAATAATTCAACGAAAATTGGAGCCACTACAGAAGCTGGTTTATTACCTACTAGTTCATGTAAGCTTAAGGTACTAGACTCACTAAATTTAGTATTTAAAAAGTGCATTGTTTTAGCTGCTCTAGAAGACAAGAGATTTACTTCCTCCTGTCCACTCTTGTTAAATAACGGAGATACATCATAGTACCCCCTTCCTTGACTGCCATATTTAGTCCATGGAGTATAAATTAATTCAAAGTCATCATTTTGGTATTTAGATCTAACTGGAGTCAGAGGAATTGCCTGAAACTCAGCATCATTCTCTTTTTCAATTTCAGAGTATTCAGCCTTATCAGTAGACTTAAGAAAACAAGAATTATATCCATTTTGTTCAAAAGTATCATCTTCTACACTTTTTGCATAAGATCTTTCATAATTCCAAGTATTTGTGTCAGAATCAACTGAATTAACTTGTATAGATTTTCTCTTTCTACTACTTCCAGAAAGAAAAGTTAAGAGTGGTAGTGTCTGCAAATTGTTTATTTGATTAGTAAACAGTAAGCTACTACTTGTTCCTTTGTAAAAGTTTTTAATTTTTTCAACTGATGAAATATAAGAAATATCAACTTTTAGCTCTTTATTAGATAACTGTAAATCCTTATCTAGAGGTAAATCCAATATCTTCCTCCTACGCTTTAGTGAAAAAGTTTTCACCAATGAGGTTTCTTTAGCTACTTTTATTACCTGTACATTATCTATACAGTCATTATTAGAATATACTTTAGGAATTTGATTGATTTGACTTATCCCCATCTCAAAATAATTTGTTGTACTATCATTTTGAGCTTCGAATGTTTCAGAAAGACCACCAATACTCTGATACCTTGTATTTGGTGTAGAATTTTCAAGTGTACCAAAACTCGACCTCACATTAATACGACTAAATTCAGGGCTGTTTAACGCAGAGCTTGATAAATCTATATCTGGATTATCCAACTTTGTCCTTTGAGTAGAGTCAATTTCTTCTAAACCCTTTGCAATAATATCCATAGGATTAGTCATATCACCACGGCGTTTCTCTACATCATCTAGCATTTGCAAACTCTCTGATATAGTATTATCAACTTCCACATTTATTGTTTCACATCCATTATTTATAAAATCTTCAAACTCCATATCAAAAATAATTGGTTCAATAGTGTGTAATGAAATTTGAGACTGAGATAATTGTGAATCTTCGCTTTTTGGTATAATTCTAGCGTGCTCACCACTATTCGATAATGGGAGAATATCTAAAAGGTTAGTATTTTGACTATTAATTATATCAAGTGTTTTGTTTATATCTTCTTGGCTAACAAGATTATTAAAATTATTATTTCCTTTCTTCGTAGCTGGCTGAGAGGCCATCTTAGTTAAAGAGTTATGATCACTATGGAAGTTCTGCATTTTAGATAAAACATCAGAACACTTTATATCTAGAAATTCTACCTTATGATGATAGACCTTTACAATTCCTGTGAGGAGTGCACAAGAGATTCTTAAAGGAACCCATTCTTCCGAAATCTTCTGAATAATTTCTTTAATTCCATCTTGCAAATTAATATCCATCAAATCCCTTTTCTTCAATCTTCTGTCACAGTATGCTACAAGCCATATATTCGCCAAATTTCCATCGGAAACGTATTTAGAGATAGGATCTTCAAGTCTACTGCTTAATTTATTCATTTGATATACTTCGTGCAGTAATCTAACTTCAAGTTTTAAATAATATATTTATACTAAAAGAAGTACACTAATAAATCAAAACTTAGTTCATTGACAATATTTCGAAATATTAACTTATTACCTTTAAGTTTATTTGCTACTTAAAGATATTTTAGAGGCTTAATAGTTTAACATCACAATTTAACACGAAATTTGTGACCCACACAAATCCCGCCTCTATAATGTCTTGTGTCGATCTGCTCTTAGGCAGTATTATAATGCATACTTGTTCATAAAGCCAGATTTTTTAATTAATTACTGTCAAAAAATAATAATATAGTACTCATAATTATATTATTTGTTTCTATTGTTTAGACTTCATTTTTCTAATGGATTATTTGAAATTTTGTAATATCAAAAGATTACTTAAATTATTTTTTTCTTAAGAATATTACGTACCAAATCCAGATTCCGGAAAAACAATAGCTGACATAATAGCTTATATGTGAACTTGCACTTTAATTACTCACCCCAGTAACCCACTAGAAAAAGTTTTCTGAACCTTTATCAATAAACTTTAATACATAGTGTTTTTCTGGCCTGAGGTGAACATATATATAGTTTGACTAGACCTTTAAAGTATATGCTTGATATTAAACAAGAAGCTTCTTAGGAGTACAAGATTAAGTACCGAATTGCATGCATGTAATTTACGTCAAATAGGCGCCTAATATGTGGGGCAGCAATGTCAAAACATGTGGATATCGTCTAAAAAAAAATAAGCTAAGCTCATTATAGGTAATTAAGCTATCCATTATAGCTAAAACAATGCAGGTATCGAGCATTGTTAAGACAAAAAGTACAACATATGTAGTCTTACAGGAGCTTGGAAGTGGAACTTATGGCCGTGTAGTTAAAGCGTATGACCAAAATGATCCAAAGAAATTAGTAGCTATAAAGTTCTTCCATCTTGAAGAGCATGAAGAAGAAGGTGTACCAGCTACTTCTATTCGAGAATTAGATATTTTGAAATCTTTGAAGCATCCAAATATTGTCAAATTATTTGAAGTCCATTATAGTCGTCCATCTGATGGACCTCCATTATTACTAGCTGTATTTGAATTGTGTGTAAATGACTTAAAAAAACATTGCAAGGCCTACACACAAACATTAAGAGAAAGATATCCTGACCTTAGAAGTCCAATTGCTGAGCATACTCAGTGGGCAAAAGAACTAATGTTTCAATTATTGAATGGCTTAGCATACTGCCACGCTCACAATATTATGCATCGTGATCTGAAACCACAAAATGTTTTAATTGGATTGGATGGGATTTTAAAACTAGGTGATTTTGGGTTAGCTAGGGCTTGTAGGTTACCTCTACCAGAATATACTCATGATGTACTTACAATGTGGTATAGAGCGCCTGAAATTTTGCTAGGTATTAATAAATATTCTCCTTCAGTAGATGTTTGGTCAGTAGGATGTATAATGGCTGAATTATTCAGAGGAGGACATGCCTTATTACCTGGAGAATGTGAAATTGACATGGTTTGGAGGATATTTCGAACACTAGGAACACCTACTGAAGAAACATGGTCTGGTATATTTGAATTAAAATATTTTGACAAAGATTTTCCAGTCTGGAAATGCAATGCATTAGAGAACCTTAAGAATTTATGTAAATTAGCAGACTCTTCAGCTCTAGATCTTTTGTCAAAGTTGCTTGTTTGTAATCCAAATGACAGGATATCATGCAGAAATGCGTTGGAACATCCGTGGTTCGATGATCTGGATAAATCTAAGTATATCATGTGGAATAATAGAGTTATTTTACCCAGAATGAATAATATATTAAGTCTTTATACAGATGTGTCTAATGATGAGAATATCCAACAAAATAACTCGAATAAATTAAGTGGAAAGTCAAGCTATAAAACAACAGCTGATAAGCGACGTAGGGATTCTGATAAAAGAGGTATAAATAAGATGACAGTTGGAAATATTTAGTAGTTAATAAAGTTCTTTATATCATAAAATATATATTTAGATTTATATTCCCAATTGAAGATCTATCGGTTATCAAGGAATTGACAAATTTGGGTTGTTGCTCTTTTAGCACTTAATAAGGCTCCATTCACTGTTCCAAAATTGTTAACTGTTGTTCCATCTCCAGCAAAGTACAAGTGACCATCGAAATGGGGCTTTATTAATTGCACAATATGAATTTCCTTACTATCTATAGTATGGACAGGGATACTACCTCTTGTAAACTCATCATCCTTCCAGACTTTAACAGACCAGTCGAGGAGAATAAGTTCAACTGAATCAGTTACAATATCTCTGAGTAATTCAAGGCAAATATCAACTAATTGTCTTAGAGGTAACTTTGAAGATGATTTCGTGCTAAAACGATCACACAATTCCTGAGATATACCACAAACTAAAGATCCAGGAGTTTCGTTATTAATATAAATAGTCACTGAAGAATTGTTCAGATTGTATATCTTTCCCTCCAATATTGGGCACCATGATTTAAATTGATCATGGGTATTATCAAATGTCAGATAAACTTCTGTATAGTTGTTCATATCAATAGATTCAATAGAATTAATTGTTTCAGATGGCAGTAGAGGCGAAAAGTTTATAGTTGATGAGTTAGATGTGGGATAAAATTGTTGAATTTCATTAATATTTAAACTAGTATTAGACTTAATACAACCCTTTAATACTCCAATTGGTAAGGTGCAAAGTACACATATAGCCCTATACCAAGTTCCATCTGCGGCTCTTACATTCACTTGATCCGTCTCGTTGTTGTATAGAATATCAGTAACATTTTTATTGTACAAAGTATGGTTGATTGTTGCCTTAACTAGATCTTCAATATTAACTTCTATTTCACTATTAAGTACTTTTGTAGATCCAGAGTTATTTGACACTTGATTAGTATCATCATTAGGACAACACCAATACTCTCTCCAAGGAGCTTCCTCAAATCCTACAAATCTAGGTAATCTTTCCCAATAAATTTGTTCAATGCCTTTATTCAGATTTTCATCATAGTCTCCTTTAGTCATAATTTCTATGATACTCCATGCTATTGGACTTAGATTTGAGATATTTAATCTTTTCATAATAATGGGGATACAATGATTTATTAGTAGCCATCTCCAATTTATTGGCTTCTTAATTTCTCCTAACTTCTGAATAATAGATCTTGAAGGATTTATGTCAGTATATCCTCCATCATATTGAGTATTAAATATTTTAATTGGATTATCTAGGATATTAGATAGTGGATGGTATATATCAATAGCTACTTCCTCCAAAAGTTCCATTGAAAGTTTTAGTAACTCATTACATAACTCAATAGTTTCAATAGGGACACGAATTCCAGGTTTTCCAATATCCTTGCGATGAAAATAATATGATTTTGAATTTAATTGACTATTTGACTTTTTGGGCCACTTTTTGTATGAACAAGCACGGCCTAAAGACGTATTTTGAGCCTCAAGTATTATAACTTGTAGATTCCTTTGAAGTAGAAGTTCAGCAGCTCTCATTCCTGCGACTCCTGCTCCAATTACTATTACATCGTAACACTTCGTTATATTACTGGATATGAAAGTTGTTGGAATGCAATACCTATCCCTTATTTTGTCTATTGTCCATACTATCCAAGGAGCTAAAAAATAACGTTGTAAATGTTCTGGTAATGATAGCCAAGTTAATAATTTTGGAAAATATGCTTTTGTCATGGCATATTCTGCTCCATAATATTTCAATGCATCTAAATCCCACCTTCTTCCAGCCTCATCATGAGAATCGTAAGGTCCATAAATTCTCAACACTCCATTTTTAATAAATTGAGTATAGTAACCTACTTTACCGTTGAATTCACCGTAGAATATACTCCGATCATATGTACTTCCTTCATTATCATGTTGATATCTTACAATTAATTTATAGGCTTCTAGTCGTGAATCTAAGATACCACTAGCACCTAATATATTGAATGATGCATAGGGAGTCTTCCACTCCATATTAAAGATATCAAGTTTAATTAGTGATATTCTACAGGGTAAAATATTAATTAAGTACTTCAATAAATTCCTAAAGTTATCCTGAGTTTTATCTTTAAATTTGTGGCAAATTATACATACTTTTTCTTCATTAAAAAAGCTGTGAGGACAGTTTTCCGTTAAAAACTTAGATTCAATGTAATCGAGGCACAGATTGCAATACTTGTGATTACAAGAATAAATAATTATTTCTAATTTTTTGGAATATGATTGACCCAATATTCCTTTGAAACAGATGCAACAAATATCATTTGAAATTTGTAATGACTCAGATCCCTCAGGATTTTCTTCTTTTGCTATTCTTTTGGGAATAATATCATATTTACTATTATTGTCTAATGTCATAATAAAGGGAATAGCTTTATACTCCAAACTAGAAGCTTTAGATTGTAGGTACCCCAAATCTAATGCGATCATTCTACTTTCAAAAAATCCTCCATATTGCTTGAAGCTGAAGTGTTTCCTTATCCCTTCTTTTCTTCTTCTCCAGCAACCTTGTCTCTTACCACTTAATTCTATATGTAATCCATTCCCATTTACTAAACCAGTCCTGAGTTGTCTTAAGTATGTTAAATCGTCTGCTGTCTGGAAGCACCAGTGCCACTCAATTGGATTCCTTGGTTTATTCATATTATTTTTATTATAGTTACTTTGATAGTAGCAAATTGTACATAATCTAGTGCTTGTATTAAATAATATCACGTTTTCAGATTCGGCATACACTTTGCAATTGTAGCAAATCGCTCTACCACATACATCCATCCTACATACAAAACTTGGGATTAAAGATATATCTGTAGAAGTAGAACACGTGGGTATCGTAGATATTTCACTATCAGTATATTCCAATTGTGTTCTATTTAGAGAATTCCCACAAGAAAAACATATAAGTCCTTTTTTCATCATGTTTGTAAAATAAGAATATGGTTTGCAAGAGTCTATCATTGGTAGCCTCTGTCCATTTATATGTTGATCTTTGGGTAAGTAGTTATATTCATGACATAATCTATTGAAGGGTTCTACTATATTTCTCTGTTGTATAACTTTAATATTTGAATTATTTTGCAATACTAGGTCCATACCATTATATACATTGTGATTATACCAATAGTCTTGAATTTGGCTATCTTGAAACTTTTTTAAAGTATCCATAATAAAGACCTCTAGTTTTATAGTTTCTGGAGAATATATAAATTTGTTTAAAGATTAAGAAAGATAAAACACATAAAGAAGGCTTTAATAAAAATACTGTGGGGTCAATTTTTGACTGCAGTACAGCTTTTGTGGGGTTATTAACTGACTCAGGTACATGCAAAAAAAATTAGTAAGTTTATCTTGAGCGCTTATTTTATCAAATATTTTGTATTATGGCGCTAAAATAGAATATAAAAGCAATTTTTATTCTACTAAGTAATATATAATAGACACTTTTTATATTATAAAAAAATATTTGAAAAACTCAGGATTTATCTATATTTATTATAAATGAGGTATCAATTATTTGTTTTTAAATATTAACAATCACGTAATTTAAGTAAAATGTCATATTTTTACTTAACAAATTAGTTGGCGCTCTGAAAGGTACTAAAAGTGAACAAGTATAGAAACATTTCTTGAAACTATTACTTTAGTTATTTTAATAATTTATTTTGAATTTATATGCCTATATGAATACATTAATCAGAATTATAAACGGTAATTTACAAGTACTTAATAGTCGTATTCATGCTGCCAGAGTTGCTTATGAACAACGTGACATTGAATCATCAAGGTAAGTAAGGTATTACCCTTAAATAGTATTGCATCTGACAGTTATTTTTTCCTTTAGAATGGCTCATATTGGGGATCTGCATCAAGAAAACCATATACATAGCCATAGTGAACTGTTAAAGATTGTAGTATTTGGAGGTTTGGATGGTATAGTCACGATATTTGCACTGGTATCTGGATGCGTTGCTGTACACTTTAAATTAAAACAAATATTCACTATATGTATGGGGAGTTTATTGGCTGATGCTTTTGCAATGTCTATGGGGGAATATGTAAGTTCCTCAGCAGAACATGAATTCATTAATGCAGAAAAGCAAAGAGAAGAATGGGAAATTGAGCATTGTCCCGAAGAAGAAATAAGTGAGATGGTCGAAATTTATAGAAATAAACATGGATTCTCATTGCAGGATGCAAATGACATGGCAAGGCTTGCTTTTAAATATAAAAACTTTTTTATATCACATATGATGATGGAGGAGTTGGGTCTCTTATGTGAAGTGAATGAATCACCCAGACTACAACCTATAAAAGGAGCTCTTACTATGTTTCTTAGCTTCAGTTTATTTGGATCTATTCCTCTTCTGTCATTTGCTTTTTTCGAGTTATTCTGTAATCGTTATTCTCTTTATGAATTATATTCAATTAAACCATCATATATTTTTGTCTGCTTATGTTGTGTAGCTACATTGTCCATACTAGGCATGATAAAGGGAAAGTTTTGTAGTATACCTCCTTATAAAGCAGCTTTTACAATGGTTTTAAGTGGACTAATTTCTGCTTCTATGTCATACTTCGTTGCATCATTTATATCTTATATATCTGAATCTAATATAATAACTGCAAATTTAGGTTTCTAACTTGTATTGGCGCCAGCGCTAATGGAATGTATAGGTACCAAGAAGACTTTAAATGATTAGGTTTTCAATTATTTTGAATATTAGTTATGAAGAATAATCATAGAAATAAAGATAAACTCAGCAAGAAATTTAATAGTGATACTAGAAAAAGAAGGATATTGGATAATAGGGAAATTGATAAATTTACTCATGAAGAATGTAAAGGAGGGACCTCTTTAAAAAGATGTAGAGATAGAAAGGGAATTTCTAGATATTTACAGAGTAATGACAGAATTTTAAAGTCAAATATATTATCAGACTCAACTATTAGTGATATAGATGAACCATTGTCATCTACTGAAGATATTTTTTCTAACTGGTTATCAATGATAAATGTTTGTAGCGAAGAACCGATCCTAAACAAGACAAAAGTGAAGAACTTAAAATTAAATCCTAAAAGTGAAGAATTATTTTCGAAGGATTTACAGGACTGTACATTAAAAGATGGAATAGTGTGCGATAATTCAGTTGATAAATCCGATTACACCTCTAAAACCGAGTCACATGTCGAGAATAACACTAATATCTCTAATTTAACACAGAATTATTTTAATGACTATACAAATTTTGGGATGATATCTTTACAATCTATAGAATCTAAATTCAATTTCTCAAATGACTTGGTAATTGTACATCCACAAGGGTTTTCTCCCTTTAGATCTCCTTTTTCACGAAAATCACATCGAATGAATGATATTGAGAAATTTACCACTGCAGATATATCTCAAAAAACTGTCTGTTTGGACTACTTTGGGATTGAGGGACAAATAATTTCAAACTGGAAGACTCTGACTCAAGATTTTCCTTTACATACTAGAGATAATATAGTAGTGGAGCTGCAGTCATTATTTAGATACATAAATGGTTATATTGATATTGAATATTGCGATCCTGACTGCATACTTTCTCCTTGGATAGTATCTTTGGTAATGTTACACATTAGTAATCATATCTCTTGTATAAGGAAATTAGTATTATCAAATAATTCTGTTTTAAAGAAATATATTAAAAATAATGAGAGTTCTTTTAAAGGGATAACTCACAATATTGATCATTTAGGTGATGATAATTTAAGAGATCAAGGATTTCATCGTTGTAGAATTTTGATTTTATCTCCATTTCGTGGAACAGCCAAAAGATGTGTTGATATTTTGATTAAACTACTACCTCAAGGTAAAAGAGCAAAATATCTTGATAGATTTAATAAGGAATTTGGAGATCCTGAACTTGAATCCCAAAATGATGAGGCTGAAAAAGTAGGTATTGTAAGAGATGACCCATTATATAGATATCTATTTGTAAATAGTAATCATGATGATGATTATCGTGTTGGTATTCAAGTATCTAAATCTGGAATATTGTTTTATAGTCCTTTTGATCAATCGGACATTATACTTGCATCTCCATTAGGGCTAAGACGTATTATTGGAACTAGAGGAGAATCAGATACAAAACGTGAATATGGATTTCTGTCTAGTGTCGAAATTTGCCTTATATATGGAGCTGACATAATTTTAATGCAAAACTGGGAACATTTGCTGGATATATTTGATGTATTAAATAAACTTCCTAGTAAAAATCTTGGATCATGTGATATTAGAAGGATATATCAGCCTTTTATAGATGGAAATTCAAAAATAATGAGACAAACAATCTTAATAGCATCAGGTCGCTCTGAAGACTTTACATGTTTATTTAGAAAATACACAAATAATTGTAGAGGTTATGTAAGACTATGGAATAGTCTAGAGAGATTAAGAAAACTATCAAATATAAATAAATTTGAATTACCTTTAAATATAGCTGCATCTCTTGTTCCTGATTTAAAACAAATGTTTATAAAGGTTAGTAATCAAATAGATTCTGAAGAATCCATGTTATCATATATGTCAAGTTATTTATATCCCGATATATTAGCAGCTATAGATGGGATAAATCAAAGAGTATTATTAGTTCTTCCAAATTATATTTCATATCTTCGAATACGAAAATATCTTATACAACAAAGTGCAGTGTTTGGATCTTGCCATGAATCATCCTCAAATTCTTCTTTATCAAAAAATAGGCTTGCTTTTTATAAAGGTGAACTACCTATTTTAATAACTACGGAGAGATTTCTATTCTTCAGGAGATATTTATTGAAGGGGGCTACAACTGTTATTTTCTGGGGTCCTCCAATATTTCCAGTTATATATGTTGATTGTATATATAGCCTAAACTTTCCATGTATTGATAAATCTAAAAACAAAACCAGGGATCCTCTTTCAATCGTGCTGTTTCATGAGCTTAATTCATTAGCTTTGGAAAGAATTGTGGGAACAAAGAAATGTTCTTATTTACTTACAAGATCTAAAATAAATAGACCTACAATTATAATTGGAGATTCCTAATATGTATTAAGATATTATCATTCTAAAATTGAAGTGCTAATCTAGAACTTAGTTTATTCCTTGAAGCTTCTTTTTGATTATAAATTTTGTGCAACTCACGGACTATATCCTTTTGTTCTATCTCGGGTTCCTTTCTCCCAGCTAAAATTTGTTTTATTGAGATATCTTTTAATTGACTTGTATGCCGATTTCTCATATAATTGTACCTTTGAGGTATAGTTATTGCCCACCGAGCTTCCTTTTTTCCTTTAGTTTTACCTTTAAGAGGTAGAATTGGAGGCAGGTTTTTCGTTGAAGTTTCTATATCTCCACTTGAATCTTCTATATTTTCATCTTTATTATAATTGATATTTAAGTTATCTTTATTTATTTCATCATTTGCCTGTGAAATTTGGAATTCTTCAAGTTCTTCTATACTCCAATTCCTAACTGTATCTCGTTCAATAAGTTCCAGAGATCTAGTTGCAGCTGATCCATTATCAAGATTCATATTTTCACGAGCTAAAGAAATTTCAATTCTTCTTTCTTCTTCTTCAATAGATCTCAAAGCACTTTGTAATTGTTTTAACTCTTCCTGATAAAGTTGTATCAGTTCTTCCATTGTACTTTTCTGTATCATACAAATATTGCGTCTATTTTGAAGTAGATCTATACCAATAAGTTTATTACTATCCAATTCTCTCGTTATGCTTCCATCTATATATGAAGACTCAGAAAGAGCTTTGGCCTGCTTAATTAATTTATCCAAGTGTTCAACTATACTTCGGGGATATTGCATCTGTACTACATTATGTACCAAACTAATAATCTCTTTAATTGCATCAATTCATATAATAATCCTAAAGATTTGTAATCTGTTTAAAAATCTAAATATTCCTGGAAGTTTTTAGACCATGCATTACGTTATTATCCTCTTGATAAAACCGCCAAATGTATGGATACTTCCCACGCCTAAGCTATATCAGGTCTTACACTCTATTAGAGTTGAAGACTTCAAATAAATGAATAAAGACTTATTATGGTCACTATGTCCAAATGAATATCTTAAAAGATTTATAGAACAAGGCATACGCCCAGATGGAAGAACATCGGAAATATCCCGTAGTATATGTATTCAAAAGAATACAATACCTAATTATGATTGCTCTGTTTCAATAAAAGCTGGAAATTCATCATATATGGCAGGGAGTACAAATAAAATTGCAGCTAATGAATCAGATAGTGATATTCAACGTAGAATTATTGTTAATATAGATTTTCCTAAGGTTTGTGGACTTACAGTAAGTACTAATCAATCTATATATATAGCAAATACAATAATGGAATGTTTAAATGATACAAGAATTCTAAATAAGGACTTGTTGTATTCGAAAGTTAATGATAAGGATATATTTTGGGTAATATATATAGATATAGTATGTCTATCTTATGATGGAAATGCTCTAGATTATTGTTTCCTTGCAGCTGTAGCTTCCTTAATAGATACAAATATACCAAAAAATATTGAATGGGATAAAGAATATTCATGGTATAGGATATCTAGTGATAATATTTCATTGGAGCCAGGTGAAAATATTTATGAGGACACAAATGTACAAGAAAACTCTTCAAGTCGTATACTAAAGTATATTCCTATATTTGTCTCATTTCTTTACTTATCTGGTGGATATTGGGTATGTGATCCAAGTTATATAGAAGATTCACAAGGTGATATGATATCATTTTGTTGTTTAGGGATTGAAGAAAAAGCTACTTTAGTGACACAGCGTATTACAAAATGTGATACGTGTCTACAATCTAATTTATCTCATTTAAAGAATGTTGCAATTCAACATGCACTTAATATACGTAGATTGTTAATTTAGTATTTAATAAGTCTTTATATACTTTATTAAACAGTTGTACAAGTAATTTCCTCTTTTTTTATTATTAGTTTACAATACTCATGATACATTAGCGGTAAGTATATTAGGCGCTTTCAGTATTGTGGGTGCTACAATAAGACGGCTATTAGAGAAGGGGGACACGGAGGAGAAGAAATTAATAGTTATTGTAAAGTACTCAGAACATTAAAATTTGCAAGTAATGGCAGTACAAGCACCAGAATTCAAGCTTGCACTGGTTGGTGATGGTGGTGTAGGAAAAACGACACTAGTAAAACGTCACTTGACAGGTGAATTTGAGAAGAAATACATACCAACTATTGGAGTTGAAGTACATCCATTAAGATTTAATACAGATTTTGGTCCACTTATTTTTAATGTATGGGATACGGCAGGTCAAGAAAAATTTGGTGGATTAAGGGATGGATATTATATTAAAGGTCAATGTGCTATCATTATGTTTGATGTGACTTCGCGAATAACTTATAAAAATGTCCCTAACTGGCATCGTGATATTGTACGTGTATGTGAGAATATACCAATAGTTCTAGTTGGAAATAAGGTAGATGTTAAGGATAGACAAGTTAAGGCAAGACAAATTCAATATCATAGGAGACGTAATTTACAATATTATGATGTATCTGCTAGAAGTAATTACAATTTCGAAAAACCATTTTTATGGTTAGCAAGGAGACTTACTAATCAACCAGCTCTTCTATTTGTAGGTCAGCATGCAAAGGCACCTGAAGTATCTATTGATCCAACTCTTGTTGCTCAAGCTGAGAAGGAATTGACTGATGCTGCAAATGCGCCAATTGAAGATGATGATGAAGATCTTTGAATGTTTGCATTATCAATTAAATATTTATCAATATTAATGAATCTTTTAGAAAAGTGAAGATTTTAGAATAATCTTAAGATAAATAGGTTAAGTGAGTATAGTACAAGTTATCTTAAGTAATGTTTGTATTGTAATATATTGTGATACATATTACACACAATTAATGAAACAGTATCTTTAGTATTAACAGAGTTCGTTAAAATTAACTAATTATGTGTATGATACCTAATTATAGCTAATAAGAATTTGTAATAATGGCGCAATAATGCCTTAACCGGGAGATATAATAGAAATAAGTAAATTAAATAGTCAAAATTCTTAGTGATAGAATAATGTTCAAGATCTTTAGAATTATATTATCTACAAATAAAAATAAGAGGAATTTAGATTCCTTTAAATATGAGGAATTTGGGCTTACATTGGCACAAATTACTCTTGTTGATGGAGATAAGGTTGATATATTTGTAAAATTGTCAAATAATAACCAAATATTAAGAATAGCAACTGTTACAAAAGCACAGCCAAATACTTGTTTAAGGCAATTAAAATTTCCAATAAATTCTATAATGCTTTGTAAAGGGAATGGTACAATACATTGTATTGCAAATTTACCTTTAAGAAGTAAAGGCTGTCATAAAAATGAAATTATTTATGAACAAAGAGAATTTCAAGATAAAAACCAATTAAAAAAAGAAACTGAAATTAATCCACAAGATATTATAAATTTTAAAGGAAAACAAAATTCTAATGAAATTAAACCAGGTTATTGTCGAGAATTTTCTAATGGATTAAAATATGAAGTTCTGTCAATAACCAATTTACCAAAACATGATAAACCACAAATTGCATTAAATGGAAGTAATGTTAAAGTTAAGTATGAAGGTAGACTAGCTTCTAATGGGAAAAAATTTGATAGTGGAATATTCTCATTTACTCTTGGATGTGGTGATGTTATTAAAGGTTTTGATCAAGGTGTAAAAGGTATGCTTGTTAATGAAAAAAGAAGAATTTTTATTCCATCTAAACTTGGATATGGATTAAAAGGTTCACCACCAATTATCCCAAGAAATGCAGATTTAGTTTTTGAAATTTCATTATTACAAGTTGCATAAGATAATTTTATAAAATTTTAAAGTCTTGATTTAGAAATTAAATAGATTGTTTTGGTTCTAAGTCTTTTTTTGTATCATTTTTAATAAGATATCTTATTATTCTAGGTAAAGAATAACTTGTAAATTTTGAAACGAAATCTTCATTTAAATTTGATGTAACTTTTTTTATTCCAATTACCTGAAAATGTTGAATTACTCCATCATAATATAGTAATATTATATAATCTGCATTTGAATTAACATTTATTATTGGATAGAAAATACCCCTTTCTTTCCAAAATAGCAAGATCTGTATATTTAAAATCTCTTCTAAACTATTAATATCTAATTCTGTACCCCAATGAATATTCCCAGGTATTGATAATTTATCACGAACCATTATAGCTTTTAAGAAAGGTGTTGTTATATTTCTATTTTCTAATTGATTATTATTTAATATATTTGTCGGTGACCAAGGATCATCCCATATACCAGATAGCTCTTGATAAGACATCATTTTTAATTTATCTATGAATGATACACTATCCCAGTTATTTTCTATAATGTGTATTATACTCTCTTCTTTATTTAATTTTTGATATTTAAATAAATTAGATGTATAATTTTCACTTATAGCTTTAATTTCTTCATTTTTAAAACCAACAAAATTATTTGCAACTTTTTTACGTAAATCAGTTACTGTTATATTTTTGAGGTCTAATGCTGATATTACTGAACTATATAAACAATCTCCTCCTGCTCCAGTATCTCTTAAGCAGATCCAATATCCATATCTATATAAACGTTCTTGCCAGTTTCTAGATACATCAAGCCAATTATATCTTGTTTTAATATAACTACTTATTTTTGAACAGTAGTTTCTTAAAAGAAAAGTTTTCAAAATTTTTTTGGAGTTATAAACATATTTATTTAGGTGGTTTCTACTTTGTGAATTATTTGGTAGTAGTTTAAGATTAATAAATTCATAGTTGAATAACATTACCTTTTTATTTGTTCCATTATTATAAAATTGTCTTACTTTTTTTTCAAAATCATAGTGACTTTTAACTTCTTTTGTTATATTATTTGAGTTGGAGAATGTTGTATTATCACTACCATGACAGTAATGTATAACATATAATAAGATAAACCATATCTGTATATATATAAATAAATATTTTAATAAAGTAAAATTATTCATGCATCTATGAAATATTTAATTTTTCATACTTTTTTAAAAAAGATTCTTATTAAATATAGGAATAGATTTGCACCTGATAGATTTACGTGGGTGCATAGCTCCTCACAGATTTTACTTTTTCCCTTTTTTTTTTTCTTTAATTAAAGCAAATTTTCTTTATTTTTTTTGAAATGTTACGTTCATCTGAAGATACGGTCTTTGAATATGATCCAGAATTAGGAAATAACAGTGGTGATCAAAAAAGTACTAAAGAAACTGATAATCAAATTAAAAATATGCAAGAGTCAACTTCACGAAGTGATAAACAATCAATTCTAGGTGAAGTTTTAAAGACTGACTACTTAAAACTGATACAATCTGTAGCATCTGAGAAGAATATTAAAGTTGGTAGATTAGCTCCACCCAATATAAGTACTGAAAGTTACCAAGGTGCTTTAACACGAATTAAAGTTGATCTTGACGAAATTAAAGAAACTATAGAGACAACTCAGAAAATTATAGATAAAGATGAAGAAATTTCTCAAACAACACTTTTTTCTAATCCAGATATATTACTAGGTGAAATTGAGCAGTTAAAAAATCAATTGAATATACTTGCTAGCAAACAAGCATCATTTAGTAATCAATTACCTTCTTCCGATTCATTAAAGCAGCAAACTATATCTTTTAAAGATATAATTAATGAGTTGTTACACGTAAGCTCTATTAGTTTCTCTTTATTAATTATATAATGACTTGTTTTTTCTTATAGTGTGCCAATACATTAAAATCAACTAAATACCTTCAAAATAATTCCGATAATACTACAAATATTGATGAATTAAATAAAGAAAATAATGAAAATTTAACTGAAGTATCAATAGTATGTGTTGGAGATAATAATTCAAGTTTAAATTTGAAGGATTTGGTTGATCTAGAACGACGTATCTCTTTAATAGAATCATATCTTGGAATTGACCAACTTTCTACAATGCCTTATTCAGATATACAATCAGCAATTAATGATATGACTCAAAAGTTATCTCTGCTTGATTCAAATAGATTGGAGGGTATTTTCCGTCGTGTTCAGGCACTTTCCTCATCTATTGAACAATTAAATAAGAAGAGAAGAGATTTAAATGATAAATTGTTTGATGAAACTGATTCTACAAGAATCACTAAATTATATGATATACTTCAACAATGGAAATCTTCTGGAGCTATTTTACCATTTATTCTTGAACGTTTAAAACTACTACAAATATTTCACCAAGATATGGCTCAGATAAATTCTCGTATTGCAGGTAATGTTTTTGATATTTTTATTTATAATAATTAAAAATTTTAAATTTAATGTAATTTATTGCTTCTATGTAGTTATGGAATCACAACAATGTGATATTGAAAAGATTCTTGAAACTTGCAAACTTTCTTTTGAAAAATTAAATAATACTATTTCATTAGCTTGTAAACAACTTCAAAATATTCAGAATATCAACTAAAAATTTAACCTCAACAGATAATCAAGTCATATTTAGTAATTATAAGTTAATTTTGCTACTATTATATTTTAAGTAACAATGTTGACAAATATGTATATATATATATTTATGCATGCAATAAAGTTATGTGAAGCTACCGGCTTTTACGTGGACCTACCGGTAATTACGTGGTTGCACGTATTATTGCATGAATAATATTAAAATATGGGACAATATAGAGATTATATTTTATTTTATTTTATTTTTTGAATAATTTCTTTAAATAAATTAATGATGTGTAAATTATTTTTTAAAATATTCATTTTATGTGTAGCTATTGTGTGTGGCCAGAATATTCAAGATGAGGTAGTTTTATCATTACCTGAGGAACCTTCTCCTAGAAGATTATCTGGACCAACATATTATAATACAGTATATGAACCTGTATATGTACAACAAGTTGAATATATACCAGTTAAATCATATAAGAAAGTTGCATATACACCACCAAAAAAGAGTACCACTACAGTGACTCAGGTAGTACCTTCAAAAACATCAGTTAGGTATGTACCAGCTGGGTATGCAAAAGGAGTACAAGAAAGACCACAGATGTATGTTCCAGTAACTAAGGCACAACCTACAACTTATATTCCAGTAACAACAAATAAACAATTTAGGCAATTAGAAGAAATTGAAAATATCAAACCTCAATTAATTGAATAAACTATTAAAAATAAATACTGAAATTTTGTAGTAATACTGGTAAATAAAATTAAAAGAATATTAAAGATCAGCAAAAAATCCATCAATATCTTTCTTCTTTTTTTTTTTATCTCGTGGTTTAGATGAAATCATATTATCAACTAACTTCATATCAAATATATCTATTACTGTCCCATGAGAACAAGCTATATAAAAAAAATTTATGGAAACAAGAGGAAAAGATTAAAAATATTAAATTAAATTATTTGAAAACTTTTATTAAACTCAAAACTTACCAATAATATTTTTCTCTCTTGAAACAGCAACTTTGGAGCATTCAAGATTTGAAACATCGCACTTTTGTTTATATCTTACATGCTTTAAAAATCCTAAATATTGGAATATTTGAGAGGGATAAGTCATTTGTATTACTTATTAATAATCATATATTAAAAATACTGGAATAATCAAGCACAAATATATACATTTGTACTTATTTATTCAAGTAAAATCCAAGGTTATAAGTACTTACCAATAACTTTATTTGGAAAGAATTCCACAATTTTTAAATTTCCATCACTAGTAGCGATAATTGATGTTTGTTCATCTAACATTGCAAGACTTTCAACACTATTATCTCCGTGAAAACCATCAACAAAAGGAATAGTAATGCGATCACTACAATCTCCAAAGTTATCCCAGGTAAATAATAATAAGTTACCTTCATCAGTTCCACATACAACATTTTGATTATTCTACAATTTTTTTTTTTGGTAAAGTAATTAATCAGTAAAAAACATCAAAATTTTTACTTCTTACCCTAAATAAGCTTATACATAGGATATTCTCTTCTTGAGCATCTGATAAAGATACTAAATGATCTTTCTTTTTATTTGTATATATACTTCTCAAATCATAAATTCCAAGAGTATCACCACAGGCAACAAGAAGATTTTGTTTAGTATAACTTAAACATATATCTGCCAAAATAAAAAAATATTAAATAAATTCAAAATATGGTTAAATATATATATATAAATATTCATAATCTTATGACACTTATTATTAGCTTACCATTAATACAATCATCATAGTCTTTGAATGATATTGAAGGGTTTTTTGGCTTTTCTCTAGTATCCCAGATCTAATAAAATAAATATCAATAAATAGAATTCATAATTAAATAATTAATTTGATATATTACTATATATTTTAATTAGTTATACTTACACAAACATATCCATCATCATCACCATTAACAATTATATTATCATTGATCCATTTAAGAGAATTTATTGCAGAATTTCTAAAAAAAAAATACTTAAGAATTTCTTATTAAATCATAAAATAAAAACATTACCTATTAATGCATTTCCATTCCTCTTTCCAATTTGAATTTAATAATACTATCTCACCAGTGTTATACCCTGCAATCGATTTATCTATAGTAATACCAAAAAAAAAAAGTATAATTAAATCAAAATCTCATTATTAAATATAATTATATAATAATTCTTACTATTCCTCAATTCAATATTTCTACAAGATCCTTTTTTCTTATATAACTCTGAAACTGAAATTATGCAACTGTCATCAAAATCATACTTTATTCTAAATAGTTAAATGAGCCAGATAATGAATCTAATGATTGTAATTTACAAAGTAATCATAACCTACTTGAGTATTCTACCATCTACATGAGATGTGTATAAAGTGTCATAATTAGTATCAAATTTACAATCCATTATTAACTCAGGTGTATCACCAATCCTAGATATAATAGCATCCTCTTCACTATGTAAAATAAGACTAAATGATGACATCCTATACTCTAGATATACTCCTTATTTCTAATTTTTCTTGATTTTAGTATTATTGAAAACTGTCCTACGCGACATTGATACATAGATGCACCTGTAATCAACATTTTACCGCTAATATGCACTAAATTTTATTATCTACTATTATAAATTTAAATAATATTAGATCAATATTATAAAAAAAAATATTGAAAAGGATATATAAAGAGTTATATAGAATTATATGGATATTATAAATAATCCGACTTAATCTAAAAATATCTTTAATTGTATATTTTATATAAAAAAAAAAAAATTTAAATATTAGACCTTAATAATAAAATACCAGCAATAATTGTTAAAGTTATCTTTCTAAGAAAATTCGCATTATTCGCTTTAATTATTTATTTAATAGTGGTAATCTTTTTATATAAGCAATAATACTATAAGGAGACAATATATTGACCTAATTTTTTAAATATACTTTTATATATATTCTAAAAATATAATATCTAAATATGACAACTGAAGATAAAATAACTAAACCTCCTCAGAAGAAATTCTATCGTCAAAGAGCTGTAAGTCTATAAACTTAATATTTAAGTCTCTATCAAATTTATTCTTTTATCCCCTTTTTTTTCATAGCATTGTAATCCATTAGCTGATAATTTCATGATACATCCTATAAGCCCTAATTATATAGACTGGAGTCTACATTATCCAAATTACTTAAACATAGAATATCAAAAAGTATTATATTTAAATACAAAAAAGTATCCTATAAATTATGGTAATAAAGTTTGTGATAATCAAAATACTAAATATAATGTTAAAATTCTTGATATAGGATGTGGTTATGGAGGATTATTAGTTTGGCTTAGTACACAGTTTCCAGATAAGTTGTCTCTTGGACTTGAAATTAGAGAAAAAGTAACTAATTATGTGGGAGAAAGAATTTTGGCATTACAACAAAATGGTAGAGCTAGAAATATTAGTGTAATTAAAACAAATGCAATGAAATATCTTCCAAATTATATTAAGAAATACCAATTAGAAAAAATTTTTATTTGTTTTCCAGATCCTCATTTTAAAAAAAGAAATTGGAGGAGAAGGATTATAAGGTATGTTTTAATTTAATATTATTTATTATAAATTAAATATATTACCACCTTTATTATTATTTATATATTAATACTTTTATTACTCTTAGTTACTCTACTATCCCATTATATTGGTATTTGTTACAACAAGATGGATTATTATATATTGTATCTGATGTATTAGAATATTTTGAGTGGACAATTAATGTTTTAAAAAAATTTTCTGATTTATTTGAAAGGGTCCCAGATAGAGAACTTAAGTCTGATCCTTGTATTGATGCTATTAAAACCAACACAGAAGAAGCTAAAAAGGTAGAAAGATCTAATTCTCCTAGTTATGAATGTGTATTTAGACGTTTATAAAATTTCTTGGTACTTTTTTTTTATATTTTTAATTACCAGGATATATATTATCAAAATTTAGAATATAGAAAGATCTTCTGAAATATGTGCGAGTCAGAGTATGACTAGAATTTCTTTGCATGTTAGATCCTAATTCCTTTTTTTTTCTTTAATTAAATATGAAACTTTATAAAATTATTATAATTCTAATATATCAAGTAATTAATAGAGATACTTGTTTAGCTTGGATTTTATATTTTGATATTATACCAAGCTCAACAAATCAAGATCCATCTTTATCTATAGAATCTTGTAATATATATTACTGGACAAAAATAAATACTTCATGTTTTGAAGGATGTTGTATAACTGGAAATTTAAAATATGGTATAAATTTTATTACTAATAGAGATATAGGTACTTATAAAATCTCAGATTTTAAAATAGATTCGATTTCAATTAATTGTAGATTATTATCCTTTACTAAATTTAATAGAAAAATATCAATTAATTCTTGGGTACCTACAGATATATGTATATTAAATGATAATATTTGGGAATCTATTTTAAATTTAGAAAAATCATCTAATACTAAGATGTCATCATTACCTGCTACTTTAACTATAGGCTCACAATCTTCATATTTATTTAATGAAGATAATCTATATATTGGTGCATATTATATAGAATCAACAATAAAGAAACTTAATATATTAAAGATAGTTATAACATACTTTCTATATGGTTTTATAATAGATATTATACTTATTTTTATATTAATAACTAATTTTACAGTATTAAAGTTTAGATTAAACAAATTAGAAAAACAAAGATTAAAGAAACTGAAATAAATTAATATAGATTTATTTATTCAATATAGAAATGAATAAATTTAATTATTTATAGAAATATTTTGCATTTGATTTGTCAAATCTTGGAGTTTCTTCTTTTCTTTTTCTTCTTTCCATAAAATGGCAATTTCTTTAAGTAAACTTGGAGCTCTTCTAGGTGTCTGTTTATTTTCTTGAATCTTTGTTCTTATTTCTTGAAATTTTTCTTTAACAAATTTTGCATAAGGATTATTAGAATAACCTGATATTTTAGAATTCTTTTTAGTTTTTGTAGGAGTAATGACATTGTAGTAATCATTAGAGTTTTGATTTAAAAGTATACTATTTTGAGAATTTTGATATTTAGTTCTCTTTATATTATTTATAATACCTTTGCCAATAAAAACAACATTCCCATTACATAATGAACAGACAATTTGATATTTATTTTGTACTTTAGTTTGTCTCCCAAATATTTGTAAACATCTAAGACACTGATATCTAAATTTATAAACAATATCATAACTATGATATATTTCAACTTTAAGATCTGGAAATTCTTGTGTAGCTATTTTACCCCATTTCATAAATATTTGACCATGAGGAGGATTTGTACATTTATCAATAATAAATTGAGCTACATGACAACATTCATGTAACAAAGTTTTTTTAAGCCTATATTCACTATCTAAAACATATTTTGAAAGTTGAATCAAAACCTTTTTTTTACCATTAGATTCTGTAATAAAACATGTTTGAGCTGCTGTTTTATGTAATTTTCCAGTCCATTTAATAGGAATTTCTAAGGGAAGTTGATTTTTAAATACACGTTGATTAAATATTTTATACCATTTAAGTGATAATACATTACGATTTCTTACAAATGTTTTAGAAACTTCATTAAAAAGTTTTTTTGGATGTAAATCTATTAATTTTTTATCCTGTATAATTTTATCAATACTATATTGATTATTAGATAGTGAAATTGATGTAGAATTACTCAGACTAGAATTTTTAGATATTTCTTGATTTTCTAATGTATCATTTAAATAATTGTTATTTTGATTTTCAATTTCATCTGATATACTTGATTCACTCATATTCTTTTCTGATGAAAATGAATCTAAAGCTGAAATCCAATTACTTGAAGGAGTTGAATAATTAACTGATTCTGTTAATGGTGATTCCCATTTAATATCACATACATTTGATATTGGGGAAGTTAAAAATTGTGTTGATATCGATGGAATTATAGAATCAATTAAATTTGTAGATGTACTTTCATTAATTAATTCAGGTCCCATACAAAGTGATGACCTTACATTTTCAGATAACTTAATATTATCACTACAATCTGACTCAAAATCTATTAAATATTGCAAAATTTTATTTTTTCTTTTAACTGATGAAAGATAAGTGATTGAAGGTCTTGAATTAGATTCATCATAATCACTATCTGATATATGATTATATATTCCTTTTCTTCTACGTATACTTGTGAAATTTAAAGTACGTCTTCCATTACTTTTTCTAGGAGTTTGTATACATGGTTGGGTATTAGCTAAAGTATTTTGATTTAAATAATTAATTTGTTCATTAAAATGATAATTTTCAATATCACTTCTATTTTTATATTCATCATTTAAACTATTATTTCTATCTTTTATATTATTATTGTCTTCCTCATATTCACTTAATATATAACTAGCTCCATCATTTATATTTGTACAAGAAATTGAGGATTTTGATAATTGCAATGTTGGCGTGTAATCTGAATAATTATCTTCAGTATTTATTGAATTATTTGGACATTGGCGATTTTTAATAGGAGTAATAACATTATTAAGTTCTTTAGTTAAATTCTCATCTTCACTTTCTGATATTATTAAATAAGGTAAATTCAAACATTTACGGCGTACTGAACTCTCTAATTTTAATGATAATCTCCTTATATCGCCATTTTCCATTATTATTAATAGTTAATATTTGTGCATGTCTAGCTCTTGTGGGTTTAAATTTAGGATTCATTTTTTTTTTTTAATTATTACACTATACACACTACGCGGTATAAAGTTCTAAATTTATCACTTTTTTACCGCTTTGAGACACCGCTATAATATACCTATTATATTTTTTACCGCTATTTTTTTACACGACCTTGCACACATACCGTACTAGCTTCTGAACTAATAATAAAATTCGTTTATGTGCACTCTTCCAACTTACATATTGATTATCCTTTCATCATTTGGTTTAATATCATCACTAGTTGAACAGGTATATTTGGGATATTTGAGGTTTTAATATAGGATTATTGTAATAATATAACTTTTTAAATGTCCTGTCTCAGAATAATAAGCTTAAGAATTCCATAATAATTGTGCCAGAAAATATTTATTATGGTGTAGAATGCCAAATAGGTAATTTTTAGCTTCTATATTACAATGTAGTATTATTTGGTGATACTATTGTTAATTCGTTAAATGGCAGCTAAACCACTAATTGTGATGATAAACAAAGCTAGTTTAAAAGTCGGGAGATATGAAATACAATGCTTTTCAATGGGACCTGTAAGTTGAATATATTACCTTTTTATAGTCTCCAGATATTATCTATTTACAGGATCCTCAGGGAAATTTTTATATGACGGCTTTTGTACATGAAAATAGTAAGTACTTAAATTTACATTAAATATTACTATACTAGAAGGAAGATATGAAATTCAATATTTCTATATTTATAGAGATTGACAATTTTTCTAAATCTATTCTTGACAGAATATTTTCTGAATCTCTTTACTTTAATGGCTCATCATTAAGAACAAGTAGGGGGGTAAGTTATGTCATTAATTATTAGTAATATTTAACAAATTCCTTATATATTCATGATCCCTAAATAGTATGAGTTTATTGAATACCTTGACAATATAACGAATATATATTATTACAAGTATCAGATTATAGCCGATCTCAGAAATATATCATACAATAGAGACTTGAGGAATATCCCTGTACATATTAATATAGGTAATTTGGAATATATAATTTCTTTGAATATAAAAATTACATCTTATTTTATATTGTTAGGAATTCAATATTTCAACTATGGTATCCCAGTAATTTTACTAAAGATAATGACATCAATATTACTTTGCATGTTCCTTACTGGATGCGCAACTTATTATTGTATTAAAGAAGATATTATTGATAAGTTAGAGTCTTATATATATGGCAATATAGAAAGTAATAAGGTGTATTATAAGGTAAAATAATAGATTGATCTAAAGGTGCATTAATTTATTATTAGATAATGAATATAATATTTACGAAGTATTTTCATCAAGTAGACAATTTCCTTATATTTCTCTAGAATAATTAATATGCCCTCTAATTTAAAGGTACTTAAGATATCTTTAAATTACTTAGTAATTAATTCACAAATTTATTTTTTTTTTTATTTCAGTACTTGTTTGTTAAAATCAACATAAAAATTAAGGTAGACCCATTACATAGGGTGATTGTATATTTGTGTAGAAATTAATAAGACAGTTATACACTAGAAATAAGTTGGCGGATAGTTTTTAGAATCTAATCTAGATTATAATAATACAGTATAGTTGTAATAGTATAATGGTCCACGTATGTCTATTACAGTAACTGCGGTTTTAGACTATCCGTCTATGTGTCTCTATTAGCTAAAGTATTGTCCGTTTTGCTTCCTGATCATCTGTCTGACTCGAGATTTTTGGTTTACTTTGATAATTTAATAATTAGAGAATATTAACTATGGCCCCTAAGAAGAAAGAAACTGTAGTTGCTGATGTTCCATTCCAGCAGGTATGTTTTATTTGGGAATTACAATAAATATATGTCTTGAATAGAAGCACTTTAACAAATAACTTTTAGAGTTGAATATTTTAAAAGAAATAAACTCTAAAATTTGATATATTTGATTTATAATTATAGATTTTGAAGTTACTAGACATGTTCAATTGTAGTTAAATTTCTCAATGATTCTTACATTTTTGTCATTTTTATAGGTTCGTGAAGGTCAAACGAACTTTGCTGTAGCCCATATCTATGCATCATTTAATGATACTTTTATTCATGTTACTGATTTATCTGGGAGAGAAACTATTGTACGTGTAACTGGAGGTATGAAAGTAAAAGCTGATCGTGATGAGAGTTCCCCTTATGCAGCTATGATGGCAGCAGTTGATGTAGCTCAGAAATGTAAAGAATTTGGTATTCATGCTCTTCATATTAAGTTAAGATCTGTTGGTGGCGTGAAATCTAAAAGTATGGGACCTGGAGCTCAATCAGCTTTAAGAGCTTTAGCACGTGCTGGTATGAAAATTGGTCGTATTGAGGATGTAACACCAATACCGACTGATAGTACAAGAAGGAAAGGAGGTCGTCGTGGTCGTCGTTTGTAAACAAGAGAATTATTACTCTTCTAGATTACTGGATATATACAAAGATACTACAAATTTAATTGCATTGGTAATTAGACATCTTACACATGACTTTCAAATTTAAAATTTATCAATTTAGTTAAATACATGAAGATTCTAGATTTGAAGATGTCTATGGGATACAGTACCTATAAGAGTTTATGGGACTTGATGTATTAAGAGTTATACTAAATAGTATCATAAATTGACAATTTCATAGTTATTGTAATCTAATTTAGTAATAAATGTAGTGGGAAGACCTTCCTCTAAACTTTACATCTTTTTTAGTACATCTCTATATTGACATTTCTCTCTTAATATTTATAGATATCTTGATATTACTTATCTATAGTTGTAATTGTTTAGTGTTAGAACTATCTCTAATGTAATACTGATAGTATTACCTCTATAGCCCCATCAGAGACAGGTTATACGTATGGTGTGTACGCATACATGAAATAGGCTAGATAAAACAAATCTAAACTAAAATAAGTCTAAGAAACTTAATAGAGCAAATTGAAATAGTCAATATTTCCAAGCTATGGGAATAATGTGTCCATGGTAAGTTTATAAGACCATTATTTTTAGATCTAACTATAGATTTACTTACTTTTTAGCTCAAAGAATTCAAAGGATGCAAAATCAGAACAAATTTTTGTTAAAGAACAAGAAGCTAAGAAATGTGATATGAGGATATCATCTAAATCTGATAGTGGATCTGAGTCAGATGTTATAGATCATATCCCTATGCCAAAGAACCTTTTAGTTAGAGGTCCTAGAACAAGTGTTAGTGCTGAGGCTTATGGTGCTTGGAACAAAATAAAACCATTTACCTCTCCCCATTATCCTAAATCTAAAGAGCAAGAAGATAGAATTCGAGTAAAATTGCTTGAAGGGTTTATGTTCAATAGCTTAGATGATGATGAGCTCATGACTATTATACAAGCTTGTGTAGAAACTGTAGTATCAAAAGATACTGTGATTATTAATCAAGGCGATGATGGAGATAAACTATACATTATTGAAAAAGGTCAGGTTGATTGTTTTAAAGAGTTTAAAGATTCATCTGAAAGGAAACACTTATGTAGCTTAAGATCAGGAGATGCATTTGGTGAATTAGCCTTATTATATAATTGTCCAAGAGCAGCAACAGTTATAGCTTCTTCAGATTGTTTATTATGGGCTTTAGATCGCGAAACATTTAATCATATTGTTAAAGGAGCTGCTGCAAAACGTATTGAAACATATGAAGCATTTTTAAAAGAAGTAGATATACTTAAGACAATGGACCTATATGAACTTAATAAATTAGCTATGGTACTTAAAAGTTCTTCTTTTAATGATGGTGATATTATTATTAAGCAAGGGAATACAGGCGATGTATTTTTCCTAGTAATATCTGGTGAAGCTGTAGCAATTAAAGATAATCAAAAGGTAATGACTTATAAAAGAGGTGATTATTTTGGTGAATTAGCCTTACTCAGGAATACCCCTAGAGCAGCTACTGTAAAATCAAAAGGTAAATGTAAGGTGGCATATCTTGATCGCAAAGCTTTTATGCGGCTATTAGGACCTGTTGAGGAAATTCTTAAAAGGAATATTGAGAAGTACAATTTGGTTATGCAGAATATAGAGAATATGACTTAAAGTCAATAATATAAATTCTATTAAGATCTAGAGCTTATATATGTAGTTATATTTGTAGGAGACTGTTTCACATAGGTATGTAGAATTTAGAATATATTCTTAAAAAAAGAAGATTGAATTACAATGGAATATTATATCAATATTATTCGTTATAATCTAGATGTGTATTAAAATTAGGACCTTGTGAATTTATTAAAATATCTAATATAGACTTTTGTTGACTGTGATAGTTAGATATAACACTTTGTAATATTAATCAGCAATATTCTTAATTTGAAGTTATCAAGATACTTTAGATTTACAATAATATCTTATACCTCATAATTACTTCGAAGTAGTAATTTGTAATTTTGATATATAACAGAGGGACTACCTATCTATTCCATAAATATATTATCTATATTACTTATTATAGTAATTCAATACCATCTTTTAAATTATCATCTATATAATTATTTGAATTCTGATTCTTTTCATTATATTCATGTGGAGATTGAATTTTAGGGAATGACTCCCCTTCTATAAAATCATTCATAAATACATTAGCTTGAAATATATTACTTGTATCAGTTTCGAATGAATTTGATTTATCTATATATCCCGAATGATTAAATGAAGTATCTAATTTACTACTCATTTGCCTAGAAGATGTAAATAAAGAGTGGGGATCAATATCATCATCAAATACATCTGTATCATTAAGAATAGTATCATTTCTAAAATTTATATTGTCATAATGTTTTTGTGTTGGTTCTAAATTTACATCATTAGTTTTATTTTTTATATGATTCTTTTCAGAAGATAAAAATTGAGGACTTGAAGTATTTATATCATGGATTTGGAAGATATCTTCTTCATCATCTTCCATAAATACACTATTATTAAACCCATTATTAACTGTTGAATAATTAGAATTCCTGTTCATATTAATTTTAGGAGATGAAGGACTAAAAATAACAGCTGTATCTTTAGTAAAGAAAGAACTAATAATACTTAGTAAACCCTGAAGTGAAGTGCTTCTACGTTTAGCAACTCCTAAAACCTTGTATTGTACATGCATATAAGTATCAAAACCAACTTCACTCCATTGTTTCCAATCACCAAAAATACCTTGTTTAAGTAAAAATAGTAAAAGGCAAATAATTAGGACAAAAATAAGTTTAGCATGAATACTACTTGGAGCATGATCTGGACATGGTACAGCCACAGGTGGAGGTTCCCATCCCCCTACACAAACATCACCTGGTAATTTCCTATATGCAGATGTATAAAATACCCCCGAGGAAGTACATTGACCTATTTTTGGATCATCTTGAACGATTTCAATACTCTCAGGTCTACATTCATAACTACCAATAGATCTTGTAAATCCAAAATCACATGTAAAATCTTCCTCAGTACATTGACAAATATTCTTTTCTACAGGTCTTCGAAAATCTTTACCATTATAACATTCTGCAGTCTGTTTCTTACGAGTAAATACAAGCTGTTTACCTAAAATACAATTTTCAAAATTTTTGCCATCATTAGGACTCCAAGTCTCATAATCTGAACCCATTGTATCTGGTGATGAAGCTCCTGTACAAGGAACTTGACCTAAAGAATTAAAATCTAAGTGATATAATACACCAGATTTACCTCTTGTACCATATAAAATAAATTCCATCGAAGAACTATTAGGCTCTATCATTATATTATCTACCTGTAATGTACGTATTCCTAAATCAAAATCATACCATGATAATCCTTCATTCCAACTAAAAATAACTTGATTAGTTTGTTTCAAATCATTTGCCATAACTACTAAACCCCCAAAATCACCTAATTCATAAATATAAGCTCCTTTATGAACTTCCATCCATGTACGACCTCCATCTCTTGACATATAAGTATTTATATTTTCTGATTCAAATAAAAGATGTGTACCAACATTACCAGTTCCTAAAATTATACCTACAGCATTTTCAACAGAATAAAATGGAGCATAATTTTCAAAATTACTAATTCCATGTAAATGTAAATAACATCCTTGATCTGGATTACAATCAATAGGATTACCTCTACTATCTGTAGTAGGTGCTTGGATATAATTCCATTCACCACCTTTATTAAATGTAATTACTGTCTTTACAACTTCTTCCATTTTACCTTGTTTACCAGATTTATGTTTAGCTTCTATACTAGAAGTATCTGCATCTTCTACTGTATCATCAATATCTAAATCATATAAAAATACCATATCTTTAGATACAGCATCAACTTCATTTTTTGAATCAAAGACATGTTCTTTAATATTAGCTAAATAAACGCCATCTAAAGACATCACTTTATCAAATTCACATTCTCCAGTCTTTGTACGTACATTATTAGCTAAAGATAATGCAAAACGAGTACCACTCTTATCACTAATATATATGTGACCCGTATTACTCATTATATCACTACCATGATTAACATGAAGAATTACTGTATCCTCTGAAGTATCTAAAATTGTATAACTCTTTTCTGTTAAAGGATGAGGTAACTGAACTTGTTTAAATGTTGCTCCATCATCTGTAGATACTACTAATGAAACTGTTTGTTGTATATGATTCTGAAGTTTAGCTACAAATATATAATTATTTGATATTAAGAATTTATTACCTCCTTTAACAGGTGTTAAATAATGTGATCCAAAATCATCTGTAAATGAAAAATCAATATTTTGCATCCAACCACCATATCTAAGTTGATCACCTTGTTTTTTTCTATGATGAGTAAAAAAGATCCTATTTGTATTAGAATTTTTATTTGTATCCCAATGAAATTGGACTACATAATCTATAACACGAGTAAATGAAAGTCCTAAATCCTTAGTTACAAATAATTGATGAATACATTTACTATTTGTAGTTGAATTCTTTTTTAAATTAGATAAAATTGACTTTTGGCACCCATCAGTCCAAGAAGAAAATAAAGCATATCTAGATTTACTAGGATGAAATAACCAAGTATGGATTGTACCAGTATGAGAAATCCGACGAAATGTCTCACCAGCATTAATTGATATAAAGTGATTATATTTAGATCCTACAATTAATATTATATTTTTATCTACAGGGTTTATACTTATAGATTTAACCAAAAATGAAGAACTTTTATTAGATGTTAGATTTGCTGATAATCTAGCTAAATTATCTGTAATATCACGCCAATTCTTACCTCTATTAGCTGATCTATATACATGCCCTTTAATAGTCTTTGCTAATACAATGTCATGATTTTCACCACACCATTCTAATATTTCAATAGAGCTATCTAATGTAACTTCACTAACACTAACTTTCTTATCACTCCAAATTATAGTAATATTAAAAAAAAATAAAACTAAAAAATAAAACCAGATCCAACTATTTTTTGATATAGATCCAATATTTCTAAAAATCATTATTTTATTGAATTATGCCCATATATATCTTAAATTTTACTGAGTAACAAGAATATTTCAAAATAATATTAGCCCCACGCCACAAAAAAAAAAAAAAAATTACCGCCTATAGTGCTCGTATAAGTCCAGATTTTAATGATTAACTTTTTTTTTTTTTACAATCTTAATAATATTAACAAATATATACTATTAATTAGAAAATATCTTTAGATCTAGTCTTATAAATACCTTTCTAAATATTTTAATAATATAATCTAAGTTTATATAAATAATATATAGCTGGATTTGTAACAAGCTGTACATAACATTATCTAAATATCAAGATATATATATAAATATATATATAAGATGAACAGACTCAAAATTAATCAAATTAATATATTAATAAATTCTCTATCTTATTTTAAAAGAGAACAAAAAAACTAATATTTAGCCATCTAAGAACCCCGCCCGCGCCTATCATACCCTAAAATATTTTGGGATTTACGTTAGTACTCATAAAAGTGTTAACTCTACAGAAAAAAAAAAAAGAATCAAATTAATGTATATATAAACTGGTTATGTTTAACTGGAATTTTCGCGCAAAGGAAGAGCCTTCAAAAGGAGTTATTTTAAATAAGGACACACCTAAGTATAAAAAGGATTTCATATATATCCCAGAACAATATGTGTGCCCTGTTTGTTTAGATGCTTTTTCAGATCCTTGTACACTTCCCTGTACTCATACTTATTGTGCGAAGTGTGTCCTTGGTTCTGTAGAGTGCCCTATATGCCGTTTTTTAATACCAGAAAACTATTGGTCATCAAAGTATGACCAATTAATAGACAAAAGTATGCAAACATATATGAGAGAAACGCTCATAAAGTGTCATTGTGGTAAGGAAATGGCTATCTGTGAAGCAAATAAACATGCTATTGAGTGTGAATACTGTCGAGATGATGCTACTAATCAAAATCTGAAATTTAATGTAGCTTCTTCATCATATACATCAACAATATCTGATAGAAGGAATTCTAGTATATCAGGACCAACATTTGTTTGTCCTATGTGCTTGGTAAATTCTCAATCTGTTTCTTTATCCTGCATGAAATATACAATTGAAGATTTAGTAACTCATTGTGATAATTATCATAAGGATTGTAAAGATGAAGATGAGATAACCGATAAAATAATGTGTCCTATTTGTGTTCATACTGGAGATGAAAATGCAGAAGTTTCATTTAGTGAATTTCCTATACATTTAAAAACTAAACACACATTAATTACATCATTTCTTGCCGCTGCTAGGGCTTCACTTAATCTAAACTCAAGTGAAGCTAGGTTTCAATTACTTGAAGATATTCTTCTACAATATGCTTTAAACAGATCTAGATATGATACATGCATAACACAAGAAAATAATGAGGAGCACAATCAATCTGAAAATGATTTTGATTATTAATAATTATGTTAATCTTATAATAATATCATTGTATATAGACAGATAGTATTATTATATTTATTTCAGCAAAATAATTATTAATAAACTGTAATCATGGGAAAATATAGGAAAGGTAAAAATAAGATTTTTCCAATAATTCTGACTTTGATCCCTCTTATTTAATTCTTGTTCTATGTTACTTTTTAATTTAAATCTTTTTTTTTGTAATTAGATATATTATACGTGATATCATAGGCGGGATTGTGGGGGGGGGGGGTGCAAGGTATCGATTGTATTTTTGGTTTATACTTAATTTTATTTTTTATAAAAGGATTTTAAATTATAAATAAAAGCTGAATCTAAGAAACAAATTTATTTATAATATTTACATTATTATTGATGATATAGTTAATACTTATAATATACTATTAAGTAGTTTGAGTTAACTATAACTATTTATAGTGTCATTGTGCGATGGGTAATTTTAAAGAAGATACTCTTAATATTGACTTGAATAAAAAAGTAATATTACTAAGTGAATATGATGAATTCTTAACTTTATATAAACAACGAAGTGAGGTACTTAATAATGACTATAAACTTCATAATAAATTTCGTCGTGAAAGTGAAAATAATTGGAGGAAATTTTTAAATTATATAATACAATCAATACATAATTTTTTTTTAAATGAGTCATTTACTGGAATTCGTTATTTGAAATATATAAAGTGGAGTTTTAATTTAATTATGTGTGATATATTTTGTGGTCTTGCAGAAGCTGCACTTGCAATTCCTCAAGGATTATCTTATGCATCATTAATAAATGTTTATCCATATATGGGACTTTATAGTGGAATTATACAACCTCCTTTATATTTACTTATTGGCTCATCTATTTTTGTATCAATTGGAGTAAATTCTGTAGAAGCTATATTAGCATCAAGTGCAATAGATAATCTTATTAATAGTAATACTTTAACAGCTACTCGCTCTAGTGTTTTATCTCTCATAATATTTTTTCATGGAATATCTTGTTGTATATTACGTTTATTTGGTATTTCAGTATTTGTAGATCTTTTATCAGATCCCATATTACAAGGCTTTTTATCAGGTGTAGCCTTATCAGTTATTATTAAAGAAATTCCATTAATGCTAGCTTTGAAAATTGATAATACTAATAATATTCCTTTATATTCAATAATTTTAGTATTTAAGTATATAAATACAACAAGATGGCAAGCTATATTATTTTCTATATGTACTATAATATTTTTAGAACTAATAATTTGGATTAAGATCTATTTTAAATCTAATATACCGATCCCTTCTCAATTATTAATTGTTATAATTACTAATTTAATTAGTGCTTTTACAAATCCTCAAATCCCTGTAATAGGTTTTATATCTGAAAATAATACTCTAATATCTCCTAATATTTTATGGAATGGACCTCAAATATATAATTTAAGATCTTCATATAATTTACCATTTTTTATTCAAGTTTGGATAGCATCTTTACCTATGACTTTGATATCATTTTTATCTCATTATTCAATAGCTAAAAGTGCTGAGAAGACTTATTTAAAAAGAGATATGAATAATGTGACATGTAATAATGACGTGAGTACTTTAGAATTAACCTTATCAACTTCTATTAATGAAAGTAATAATATAAGTTTTAATTCACTATCTCCTAGAATTCAATCTCTAAGTGAATGTTTATCTAAATCACTTGGTGATATTGAACCTGTTGAAATATCTTCAATTACTAATAGAGAACCAATAAATAGTGAAGTAAATATACAATTAACCTCAAATAAAGATGAGTTGAATGATAGGAAATATACTAGAGAAGATTCAGATAATACTAATTTTAAAATAGATACAAATATTCAATATTCTTCCAATAGATCTCAAAATATAAATTTATCTCCTGATTCACTATTTTTAGCTCGTACAGAAATTCTTGCATTGGGAATAATAAATATAATTGGGTCTTTTTTTCATTGCCTTCCGGGAGCTGCATCTTTAGCTAGAACTAATCAGAATTGTATTTTTAAAATAAAAACACCTTTACATAATTTATCTTATTGTACAGGAGTATTATTGGTTACTTTATTACTTCTCAAATATATAAGATATCTTCCAGAAGCTGTATTAGGAGCTATAATAACACATGCAATGTGTAGAATAATTGATTTTTCTTATGTTTTAAATTTATATAAAGTAAGAAGTATAGATACTATATTTTGGATTGTGGCATTTATAGGGACAATAAGTACAGGGATAATATATGGGATAATATTTTCCTTATTTCTATCAACTATTTATTTAATAAGATTCTTACATCGTCCTAAAATTAATATTTTAGGCAGGCTTCCGGGAACTTTATTATTTAAGAGTATAAACAAATTCCCCCAAGCCTTAGAATTTCCTTATATTAAAATTATTAGATTTGAAGGTCCTTTATCTTACATTAATATTAGTCATTTTATTACCCAAATAGAAAATATTATTCAGAATTGGTTAAATAATAATGAGGAAGCTAATTTTAAAATTAAAAGTTATGATACATTTAAGACTACTGATTTTCAGTATGATCATTTGTCATCTTTTTCAAATTTAAATTATAATTCTGAAGATATGATAAAGAAGAAGATATTAAACAAAATTGTAGATCGAATTGTTATCATTGATGCCTGTATGATTAGTGATATTGATTATACTGCTATAGAATCCCTAAGAAATCTTCAATACAAATTATCTAGATGTAAAGTAAAGATATGGTTTGCTTCATTTAACCATAAAAACTCTAAATTTTTATTAAGATCAGGATTTTATGATATTATTCCACTTGTAAATTGCTTTGTAGATTTGTCAGAAGCAATAGCAGCTGCTCAATCTTATATTTATGGGGACTTTTGTTTAAGTCATTGATATTTGGAAATATTTATTTCTTTAAATATTTCTATAAATTGTTATATATAGTGGAGAAAAAAGATATATTAGACTACAGATAATTTCCCAAACTTATTTTAAATAAATATTATTCATTTATATCTAAAATATTATCAATTAGATTCTCTTGTATTGTACCAATTAATTCCTCATTTGGAATCATATTTGGATTATCATCAAGCCCTAATGCTGAATATTCTACATACTCATATAACATGGAGAATCTAAAGAATTATAATAGTAACAGTAATATCATTAATTTTATCTAGATATTATTTATTAATATAGACTGACTTACCCATTAGCTTTATCAATAAGTTGTAATAATGACAATACAGAATTCTTTTCATTAATATCTACAGGTATAAATTGCATTATAGTCGAATCTTCAATTAGATTTGCAAGTTCCCTTTGAAATAATTGGAATTTTAATGCCATTGGATGATTACCTTGGGCTGAATGATTCTCCCAATATATTAATAGTTGATTTAAATCTTGAACTTCTACAAAATATTCCAATCTAAAAGGTAAATCATCCCTTATAGTATTTAATAAGTCTATTTTTGAAAATACATTTATATATGGTAATTCTAAAGACATTTGGGCTGATAAAGATACTAAAAGTGATGATATATAATTTGTAGGAGAACTTAATAAGGTACAATCGATAAGATGAATAACTGTTAAACGTATATCTAATATTTCAAATAAGTCATTTAAAATATCTTTAAGAGAGGCATTATGTGTATATAACTCTACTTGTCCTGGTATATCTATCAATAAATATCGTCCCTTATCTTTTTCTTTATTAATTTCTTCTATTAACCAATCAACATTAACTTTCAAATATTCCATTGCATATATTAAAGCACCATTAGGGCCTAATTTATATTCTTCCATTATTTGATCCAAAGTTATTAAATCTCTAATGTCAATATCTGGAATATATGGAATATTCTCATTAGCTGGATCTATATTTAAAACTAAATGAGGACGACCTAATGCTTCACACATCTGGTGCATTCCATTAATAAAAGTAGTCTTTCCTGTACCAGAAGGACCTACTACAATCTGTCCAAAAATAGTCATTTTATTAAAAAAAAAATGAAAAAATAGATAATGGCATTTTTATTAAGAATTATAATTACCGGGAAATATTAGGAGACTTGTTAAAATTCGATACCCTTTAAAAGATGTAATGTTACTGTACCGCCTATTATTAAGTTATTTTTAACTACTACATGTATTTACCGCTTAAATTATATTTTTGGGACAGTCTCAATAAACTTTATTATTTAAAGTAATAATATAATATTAATAACATATATTAGAAAATTCCAAACTTTAAATATATTTACCTTATTATTTTAAACCAAAATATTTATATGTCCTGAGTAGCTATAACTGTAGCATTAATAATTTTTTGGGAATCTTTAATTATATATTTACTCTTATTATAAACTACTATGGCTTGAGTAGTCTGTCTACATGTTGGGCATAAACCAACCTAGAATTATATTAAAAAAAGAAAATTATAAATGTATATATTAATTTGAAAAAGTTATGTATTATATATTAGAACATTACCCTATAAAATTCCCTTAATGCACATTTTGTACATAACCCACCATGTCCACAAGCTAGAAATACAGCCTCTACTTTATTATCATAACAAATCATACATGATAAATCAAATATTTCATCATTAATAGATTGATTTCTTTCTTCTAAGTTTATTTCCTCTGTTGAATATTTATCTTCATTCCAATTGTCTAATTTACTTGTAATAGAATTACATGGTGATGTACAACACATTGTTGATGTATTAAATGTTGTTTCATCTGAATATGAATAAGGACATTTTGTTTCTATTGTATGAAAAATTCCAGTTCCTTTCTTATTCAGAGTTATACTTGATCCTATTATATATGGACATTTAGATTTTTTTACCATTTTTAATGTATTTGTAATAAATTGATTCTCATTTATTTCATTAGATATAGTTCTACCTTCTAGAAAACTTTGAGAAATAAAAGCAGAAAATATTGTAACAAAGACTTGAGTACAAATTAATGATATATGCCATAATCTAAAAGTATAATTTATTGGTATAAAAGGAAATGATAAAATCTCTTTATTATCTTTAAGAATTATTCCTTGATTAAGATATTCTGCAAGATCAATACATGTAATAAGAATAAATGTTGCTAAACCTCCAAAATAGAGTCCTACAATTGTTAGTAATCTATCAGAAATCCCAAATAAACAAAATACTGTAGAAAAAGCAAATATTGTTCCACACCAAAACCAACAAGGCCAAAAAACTATCCACCATGAAGGTATATGATGAAATTGTTGGGCTATAGAAACTATATTTTCATGATAATAAGATTGAGAAGTCCAAATCATATTATTATCAATTTTATTATAATAATTTTGTTCTGCAGTTATTCTTAAAAATATCTGAAAACAAAGTAATCCAATCCAAATATCTACAAATAAAAATCTAAGAATAATCCAAGGACATCTTAAGGAATTTGAGCAACTAGTACAAATAACTTGAAAAGTTATAATTATAAACATTAATGCTAAAGGAATCATTAAGCTTGGAAATCCAAAAAATATATTTAAACACATAAGAGTTAAACTTATTCCTCTTACCAATAAACCTGAAATATGGATTAGTCTTATTAATATATCATTCATTAAACACCAATTTAAAGTAGACTTTAAAACATTTAAGCCCATTATTACCACTATAAAATCAAAGAGTATAGGAGGTAGAAATGCAAGAATCCAAATAATCCTGAATATTAAAAAATAATAATAATAATAAATTAATAAAATATAAAGATATTATTATAAATTATTATTATTAATATAATATTATAAAACTTACTTTATTTTAATTGAAAATATAGATAAAGTTACTACTAATAAAACAGTAATAAGCCAACTTATTTGTTCCCATAATATTCCTATAGATGCTTTATTAATTGTACCACTTGTATTATTTCGGTAATCTAAACTTGGAAGAAGAATTGCAACATTATACATCAATAAATTGTATTAGTATTATTATATTAAAAAAATTTGAAGAAAATTGATGATATAATTCATAAAAGAGTAAAAAACTTCAAGGTTACCAAGAATATTAAATTATATAATCCTGAATATTCTTATATTTTATCTTTACTTCTTAATAGAAACTTTAAAATTGTAAAATCTTAAATATTAAATTAAGGTACACTCAATATTTAAATAGTTTTTACTTCAAACTCTTCTTAAAATTAATAGAATATGAAATTAATGAGCTTAAAATTTATTTATATGGTCCAAATAATATTTAAAAATCTTAGATTGTTTAAGTGAATACCTTTATTATAAATAAATATTGAATTTTGTATATTATTAGTTTAAGAATCCTTATAATTAATATTAGATTAATAATCAAGTAAAATTGAAATCTTTGTTTTCTTATTTACCAAAATAGTTTAGATAGTTATTTAATATTTTAAATATTTCTCTTTTTCCTTTTTCTTCTTTTTTTTTTAAATTTTAAGTTTATTAAATACTAATAATTAATTACAAATTTAGCAAAGTGCTCGAGCTATAGAAATATTATTAAAAAATTAGATATAAAAATTTAACACATAATAAATAAGCAATATATTATATAGATTTAAAAGTAAGAATTTGTAATGTTTAAGAACAAATTAGATATACTTGATAAGTATTCCAAAAATAAATAATATTAAATATACTTTCCGCGTAACTTAATAGAATAAATAAAAATATTTAATATATTCTTAATTTTGCTTTGAAAATGGATTCTCCTGTTTTAAAAAAAAAAAGCAAAATTAAACTTTGAACCTATAAATCCTATATCTAATTCTAAAAATGTTTTATCTCATATTTTTTTTCATCCTTGTATAGAGGAGAAAGATTTGGATATAAAAAATAATAAAGGATTTAATCCAGATTTTGCTCATCATTTTTTTATTGAAAATGAACAAATTCCCATATTAGAAAATCATGAAACTTATATTCATATATTTTATTCATGTAATTGGTTTGATATTTATGTGGATATCCAAGTAATTCCAATAAAAAATAAGAAATATGAAATAACAAACAATTTTGATGGTAATATTAAAAAATATCGTGAAAAACTTCTAAATATACTTAAAAATGTACCTTTTGAAGGTGATTTTTGTTCATATGAGGAATTTATTTATAGGCTTAAAAATATCCCATTCGATACCCCTCCTGGAGACATATCTATAAATTTTACATGCAGAGACGGAATTATTGAAGTTATGAGAATAGACCTTGCTAATATGAATAAATTAAATTGGCCTATATATAATAATAATATTAAACATCCAATTGTAAAAAACTTTAGTATTCTCCATAGAAGAATGGAATGGTTTTTACATTGGTATATAGAATCCGCCTCTTCTATTGATCAAGAAGATCGTTGGATTGTATGGTTACCTTATTTTAAACATAATTCTTCATATTTAGCTACTGGATTAATGACTACATATAGTTTTTTTGCAATTCCTAAAATACGTTTAAGGATTTCACAATTTCTAATTTTACCCCAATTTCAAGGACAAGGTATTGGACTACAAATTTTAAAACATATTTATAATATTGCATTACAAGATGATAATATTATGGAGATTACAATAGAAGATCCTGCACCTTCGATGATACAACTTAGAGATATTTTAAATATTCAATTAATTCTTGATAATAAATTAATAAGTAATAAATTTCTTCAACCACTTGATACACAAAAACTTTTAGAAATACTTGAGACAACTGAAAAGACAAATGAATGCTTAAAAAAAATTACTTTAAGTTGTTTTATTAATAATATCACTTGGAATGAACTTAAAGTAAAGATTCATTCTTGTACTAAAGAATCTCCAAGGCAAATAGAAAGAATTCTTCTTTTTTTAGCATTTGCTAGATTTATGAAAGACCCATTACCCCCTTTAAATATAAATTCTACAATCGCTTCAACTCGTGGATTAAGAATTAAAAAATGTAAGTTTACTTTATATATTTTAAAATTGATATTTATTCACTCTTTTTTTTAGATATTACTCAAAAAGAAAATATTAATATTAATGAAATGGATACTGATGAAGTAAATACTCAAATACAACAAAAAATTAATAGACTCTTCAGAATAGCAGTAAAACATAAACTACTTGCAGATAATGCTGAATATTTACTTAATTTGTCACAAGCTGAAATGTTACAGAATTTGGATAATTTATGGAATAAATTGTACAGTAGCTTTTATATATCTATCAAGAAAATAAGATCTTTAAGTTAAACTCTTTTTATTGAAAGTAACCTATAACTAATATTTGTAAATTATCCAATTATTAAAATTTCATATTAATATTTTATGGAGAAGAAATATTATCAAGAGTATGTGTATAATAATCTCCACCCCTTGAATATAAATCATGTGAATAACTAATTTTATCATTTCTAACATTATATGCTGCAACAATTTCTTGTTGTCTGTATGTAATATATATAAATATTCCTATAGCTGAAAATATAATTAACCAAAATAACATTTTGTTAACAAGATATATAATCATCATTACAAAAAATATTACACTCATAGCAACAAGTCCATTATAGATCTTTCTTAGGAACATTTTTCTTTCAAGCTGAGAAGAATAACTAGTGAAATTCTCTGTTGTATTCACAAATTGTCCACTTTTATAACCTATATTTTCTAAATTCATTTGCCTTTCTGCTAATTGCTGCAAATTATTTCTTGATTTATCTAGTGTCTGATAAACTTGTTCTTGTACAGCAGCAACATATTCAGGATCATATATATACTGTTCAGCCATACTATATCTTTTTTTCTACTCTTACTAGTTTTCTATTTAATAAAATTCTTTTATTTTTTTAATATTATTTTACACACACGCATACACACATTTAATTACAAGCTGTATTTTTTTAAGTACATATATTGATGCATACCACTAAAGAGACATATCATAGAGCGCCTATGGAGTGTATCTCTAAAAGGTATTATAAACTTACAAAATCTTTAATAGATCTATATTATATATTAAATACTTGAAAATTCAATAAAAACCATTTAAGATTAGAATTTAGTACTTTAAAATGTGAATATCTTGAATTTTTTTTTTTGATCTAATTGGATTATATATTTACACATTAGGTACTCCAAAAATTATATCAATAATATTCTTATTATTAAGTTACATTATATGGTTGACTTTTTTTCTTATAATTTTACACAATAAATAATAATGAATAGTTACATTATTATAACACTTTGTACCTTTTTTTGTGAATATATACATATATTAAAAGCTAACTGTAAAATTACAATAAATACTTAGATTTAATCATATATACTTACTAGGTAAAAATTATAAATATAATGAAGTCTTATTTAAATATATTTTTAAAGCTAGTACAAATTAATATTTTGAATGTCTTAGAACTTATGAGAAGTTAATACTTAAAATATTTATTAATTGGGAAATAGTGGAATTATTATATATAAGCTTTTTGTTGTAGATATTTATGTATGTAATATAATAATAAAGAAAAATATTTTTGTATAGATTTTTGATATATATAAGGAGATTAAATAATAGTAATAAAAAATTTGATTACTTTATAAATTAATGTAATTTAATATTATATTAAGAAATAGTAAATTTGAAAATAAGAGGTTTTCCTAATTTTATTTATTGATGATTTATATTATAGTAATAATATGTGAAAATGCTTTATATTGTATTAATATGACTTTTTTTTTGTTTATTTATTTATTGAAGTTTTGTTATAATTACATATTAATTATAAAAATATTACAGAAAATTATTAAAAAGGTCATTTATTTAGTAAAAATTCATAAATTAGGGTAATTTCTAAAAGGTCTAAATATTTTATTAGAGAAGTTGAAATAATTGAATAAGAATAAAAATAAGTTTGCATAAAGTAAATATTTAATTATTGTTGTCTAGTTTATATAAAATTGATGAGAATAAACAAATAAATTATTTTATTAATTTGGATAATATAGATATTAATAATATAAAATCATTTTATATTTTTCAGTTAAAATAGCTAAAATAAGAATTACCTTGATAATAAAATATCAAGAAGTTATACATAGAAATGTTATTGATATTTAGAAATATTAGAACAAAAAGAAAGATGATGTGATTTCAAACAAATGATATAATTATCCTAGGAAGTAAGAAATAAATGATCAGTAATATATTTCAAAAATAATATTTGTAATATATATTATATAAATGTGATAATGTATTTTTGGCTAGTTTAAAAAAACTTAGAATATCTTTTAAGATTTGGAAGTAATATTACTATATAAATTTAGTCATGGATAGAAATGTTGAATAATTTTGTGTAGACCATTGATATAATCATATAGAATTTAATATGGATTAGAATATATAGTTAAGCTATGATAAGATTTATTTAAACACTAATTCGAAATATGAATACCATAAGATTTGTAATATAATAAAAGAAATTTCATTTATATTCCCTACACAGTATTTTTTTTTATTAAAGTTTGAGAATATAAAATAGAATTTAAAAAGTATTGTATAAATTCATCAAAATGATGTATCTATAAAATTAAAATGATATTGGCATTTTTTTTTTATTAACTTTACTTAATAGTGAAATACTTAAATACATAAAATTATAATGTAAATAAATGATTAGTATACATTAAATGAATAGGAATGATTAAGCTATAAATGTATTTATATACATTAATTTATTAAACTCTCAAGCTGAGCAACTATAGATTTGAGTATTTGCAATTCTTTATTACAAGTTGACTCCATACTTTCAAGGATTTTATTTGAATTATCAGACTTATCTTTAACATTAACAACACTATGAATAGACTCCATACAAGTTTTTATAATATCAGAAAGTTGATCTTCATGATTGAAAAGAGTTAAATTATTCTTATCGATATGCTCCAATTTATCTAGTGAAATTTGGTATATTCCATTACAAGATAACCATAGTATATTTGCACAACTAGTAATAATCATAATAATATCTTGTAAATAATTCTTTTCAATTAATAGTGTTTTATAATTGTCATCTTTTAAAGGTTTTACAAGATTATTAATGCACATTGATATACACTTTGCTAAATTATTCTTTCTTTTTTGTAAAGTAATAAATTCAAAAGGAGGAAAATTTTCTTTGCATTTGTCTATATCTTGTCCAAATTTTATTTGTTTTGGAGTTAGATACTCACTTTGTATTATGATAATATCTTGTATATCAGTATCTAACCACAACATACATGAAAACATTAATGTATAGATTAATTTAAAATTATTTTTCACAATAAAAATATTTTGTGACAAATTTAGAAGAATTTGAGTACATTTGTTATGTAACATTCCAATTATTATATCCTTTGTATTATCTGAATATTCTTTGTATAATTTCTTCTGGTTTAAACCTCTTACTATCTTTGAAGCAGTCATAATAAGTGGGTTTAGCAAAGGAATTAACAGAGATAAGAGTTCACTTCCATATTCATTAGGTTGTAGGGGATCACTCATAGTCCAAGTTGATCTTCTAGATTGTAAAGAAAATGTTATATATTTAATAGTATTATCTAAAATTGCACTAAAAAATGCTTCAAATTTTGTGATCCATTTTCCAATAATAAGTAATGCTTCTTTAGAACCATATCCACCTAAAATATTATCAGGTAAAACTCCCTTTTCAGTAATTTGATAAATTAATGAAAAAAAAGAAAATAACATATCTGATTGTTGTGTGTATCTATAAATATTAGTACAATTAGTTTCCATTAATTCATCTGGTAATAATTGTGAGATACATTTAATAAAATCTTGACAATTATCCAATAAAATGTCTACATTTAACAAATAATCAATATAATTGGTTTCTAACAATCTTCTTAAAAAGATAGGAGACATATTCAACCAAAAGGCAGTAATATGATTCCATAATGAAATAATATTTATAGAAAACTTTCCAATTTTTTGAGATATTTGAAGTAGTTTTAAAAAAATTTGTATATGTCTATCTCCATTATAATAAGGTACCAAATATTTTACTTGGAAATCTTCTATCATAATTTTATCTTTATATTGATGTATCTGTGCATATATTAAAAATAGAGAATAAGCTGAAAAATAAAAATAGTTATCTACATTCTCTATGCCAGCTAATAAATCTGGATAAAATAATTTTGACTTATAATTATTTTTTATATTATTTAAAGGAGTTCTATTTCCAAATTTATCTCCAAAATTTCCAGTTCCATTATTTGAAATAGACTCAAAAGGGTTGTATATCCAGCATACGGATTTAGAATTTAAATTATGGGGAAAGATCCAATTCAAATTTAATTTTGGTATATTATCTTCAGATATTAGTTGGAAATTATCTAAATTACTTATTAATATAGAAATAAACTTTTGAAAACTTATTGAATTTTGTTTTGTAGACTTTACCCATATATCTGGCCAAATATGCTGTAATAATAAATTTGAACTTGAATCTGATAAATTTTTAGATTCGTGTATCCAATCTAGGGCTATACAACTTGTAAATAAAAACATTAAGGTACTTTTCCATTCTAAAGGAAGTTTAGGAAGAGTTTCAAGATCACACAGTAATTCAATAATATTTTTGCAGCAATCCTGAATAATTGCAATTGTACTATTTGATTGTTTTATATTATTGAAATTAATTCCATTAAAAGATATATTTCCTATGCTAGCAAGCCTAGAAGAGTCAATATTTTGTAGTAATGTTAAAAAGGATTGGGAAAATATTGATAAAATTGCAGTAGATATTGGAATTGGACTTTTTTGAAGAAATGAAATATTTAAATAAGGTCTACACAATTCAATTAGGGAATGTAATGTAAAATTAATATTTGGTATAGTATCTTTTGTTTTATAATCTTTACTTCTAAGAAGAGATCTTCCACTATAATGTTGTAAGAGTAATCCAAAAAATTGAACGTACTCACTAAGTAACGCATGACAACACATTGTATGAATAGATGGACTACAAATTCCAGAAAATTTATTATTTATGACAAATTGAGGTAATTTAGAATACATAGACTTGCCAAAATATGTCATACAAGCTAATAATTTCGGGGAAGTAAAGAATGGTATAAATGTGTTTAACAGTAAAGATATTTGATAATTATCACCTAATTCCAAATCATCTAACAAAGTTTGTCCAACATTAAATAATACAGCAAGTATATCGAATGGTTCAGTAACTGTTGATCCAGTACGAGAAGGAAATAGGAATATGCGATTAAGAATCTGTAAATTATGAGCATTCATTAACCAATACGATTCACCAGTCTCAAATTTGTTATTTTCAAGAGATCCACAGTAAGTCAAACAAGTATTTGTAACTTCAGATACTATGAAGATCTCAATAGAATGAATATGGATTAACAATGTAATATGAAGATAATGGCACCATCTGTATTCTAGGGGAATCCAATTTACTGGTGTTGCAAGTCTCTCTTTTAAAATTGAGTATCTAGAATGCCAATAATTAAGTATTAATCTAATTGTAAAGTCAACAGTTTGAGGAATTTTTAAAAGGTTTACAACAAGTCTCAAACATACATAATATAATTCCATTTGCGTTAATATTGTAAAATCAATAGTAGGGTCCTTAATTTTATTTTCACCTGGTTGAAGTAAAGGAATTTGAGGAGGATTTGATGTAAGACTAATAATAGTAAGTAAAGGAAAAAGTCCATCATCACATACTAATGGACCTCCTGCATAAATCTCCTCGTAAGATTTAGTACTAAGAGGAGATATATTATTTAAATCAGGAGATAAGTATTCATTAATAGTAGGTACATCTGTAACTATATCCAAATATAATCCTAACATCAAAGGTACTGCAGTTGCAGATGAGTCTCTTTTTAAAAGTCCATTACAAATAATATAATTCTGTTCAAGTCCTATATTTAAAGTATGAACGATTAAAGATCTAATACTTGTAAGATGAAATCTTGATAACTTTTCATAGTGAAATGATTTATTCAGCTGAAATATAGGAGCTAAATTCTGTAAATATCCATTAAGGATATGATCATTAATACTTGAAGATATGAATAATGGTGAATTTATCTCTGAATTTCTTAAACTTAACCATAGAGATAAGTCATAGGATTCTATTAAGGCATTTTGATAGAGATTCCAATATAACTCTAGTTGAGAATTTATAGGTAATAAGGATTTGGATGAACACCCTAAAAAGTTATATTGTAATTTTGTAGATAAGGAATCTATTTCAGCAATTTCTTCCCAAAAAGTAGCTTGCTCATCAGAAACCAGAGAAGTTCTAGTTATAGATCCTACTTCTGTTTCTACTGGAGTTAGAGCATATGGAGAAGCCCAAATAGACAAGAAGGAAGAAGACAATTCTGAAACGAAACTTTCGATTGAAAATGGAAATTTATCATTAGATGGATTTACTAAAATATGATTTAAACAAGACTTTACTTGTAATAAAAGAGAAGGGGAATAGTGAAATAAAGCTGAAATCCCTTGATAATCTCGAATTACAAGCTGATATAGAATATATACCATATTTTTAAGAATATCTTCATCAACTCCAGTAATAAAATATTCCAACAAAGCTCCCTTATAATGAAAAGTATTTGGTAAATTTGAAGATCCAGATAGAGGAGGTAGATTTAATTGTTGGTCAATTGGAATCAAAGCACTATTTGCATAAGCTAAGGTATCCAAAGTTTGCATTGAACTAGAATCAAATTCAGTATCCTTTGATTGAATATTAGTAGAATTTGCTAAATATTGATGATGTAGAATAGACTTATAATGCCTAACCCAAGATATAAATATATAATCTCTTTGAAACAAAATTCGTAACAAATCAAGGCCTACACTGGCAGTCTGAATTTGTAATAAGGTACAGGGATCACTTGAAGATCCTTTTAAAAATATTAAATGAGGTTGCCTATGTAGAGTTATAAGATGCATTACTTGGTGATAAGTAGGTGAATCTATTGATAATAAGCAACGGAATAACCAAATAGTAGCCTCAGAGTTATCTCTGGATTGTTCAATATTTTGCGGAAGAGGATGGCATAGAATAAATCTCATATATTTAAGAATAAGAGTTGAAAGACGCCAATATCTAATTGAAGGAAGATTATCTAATGAATCTAGAATAGGAAGAATTTCTGAAAGTATCCAACGAAGTAGAGGAAGTTGGAAAGAGTAATTAGAATCTTTTGGACTATTTAAATTTTCAATATTCATTTGGATTTTAATTTGTTCTATTTGGGAATTTCTAAATAATAATGTTAGAATACAACTTAAAATCTTAACTGCAAATTCTCCATAATCTTTTACATGTTGGATTGCAAATTGAAGAGTTCTAGAAAGTTGATTAATTTTTTGACTTATTATTTGTAACATTTGGTGAGTTTGAATATGTATTAATCCCATTGAAAAAGCATCTAAACATCCACTATAAAGTGAGTATAAAAGTTGCTGATTTTCAAATAATCCATTGTCGGATGAATCCCTAAATAATGTAATTAAGACATCTACAATTAATTTATCACCATTTAAGTTTATTACAGGATTTAATAAGACATTTGGAGGAGGATGACTCAATAATAAGCGATTTGAAAATCCTGATGCAATAATTCTAAGAACTGAGCCACATAAAGTATGGAATATATTTGAAGAATCTAATCCACTCCCATTCCATATACTAACATTTGCTGGAGTTAAGTTAGGATCTTCAAGAGCTAAAAGTGGTGTACCAAGGTATAACTGAATACCAGGAAGCTTTTTTGATATCACCTTAGCTAAAAATTGGATTATAGAGGGAAGATGAAACCAGATATTTGAAGGTTGATTTTGTAAAAGGTGAGATATTTGTTGACCCAAAGAATAATGTCCAACAGTCATTATTGTTCCAGCTAAATTTAATAAATCTATAAAAAGTTCTAATAGTATTGGAGACATAGAGAGTATTGAAGTATCCTTTCCAATCTCATTATATGAAGAATACATACTGAGAGTTGGGAACATTTCAATACAACTTGAAAGTATTTTAGAAGCTCCCCAACTTGAAGGTGGATATCTTCTACATAAAACATCCAAACAACATATAATAGGGCTTAATATAGATGTAATTCCTTTATTTTCAGATGAGTTAGAACGTTTTTGTTCTGATCTATTAGAAACCCCTCCTGATGTTCCTTTATCCATTAAAACTCTTCTTTGAAGTTGTAATATACGTGACCACTGTATTGGATCAACAATAGGGTTAAATGCTGCTAAATAAAAATCATAGATAACCTGAAGAAAAATTAGATTTACAGGTTCTAAAGGATGTAGACGTGGCATCAGATTTAACTGAATATGATCAAAAACTTTCCAATGAGTAATTCCAAGAAAACGCTTTTGAGAGTTTTTTCCAAAAATCCCATTAATTGAAAAAGCTGCAAATTTACCAAGTTGAGTATCTTCATCCCAAAATGCACTTAAATATGATTTATCTAATGTTAAAGATAAATCAGAATCTGAAGATGTTGCCTTATGATCCTGTAATAACTTATGTATCAAAGGATTCTTACATATAAATAAATTTTGTTTATTAGACTTAGGAAGTCTCTTTGTAGAGAAATACCACTCAATTGAATTATATAGAGAATTTGGACGTGATTCAGGAATATCGGATCTAGTCCATCTTTGGGCTACTGTATCAAATGATACAATAATAATAAATAAAATCTTCATAGATAAAGATAAACTAGAATTATCTTTAGATTCATTCCAAGAATCATAATCAGCTGCTGTAGGCCTATTTGTTAAAAAACTTGGATGCATCTTTGCTATATTAGGAATTAATTCCATCATAGATTCTATTTCTTCTAATTTTGGATGAAAACGGGCCAATAATAAAGCTATTGTATCAGTCAATCTATTAATTATATCTTTATAATGTGATCTCATAGTATTATTAACTTCTATATCTAATGGTATATCAGCCATTGCTGACTGAGATTCAGCTTTATTCTGTACTGGTCCTAATCTACCAGCAGCCTGAATACAATGAAATATTGAATTAACTACATTAATTACAAACCCACCCATTAAAATTTTAGCACATCCATATACACATAAAGGATTGCATTGACTTGTAAAAATTGTCGAGACAATATTTGAATCAGAGTGAGATGGAGAAGTTAAATTAGAGTTAGATTCAGGTGAATTGTCACATAATACACCAAGAATCAAACTTGTATGAATATTTCTAGCCATTTCATATATAATAAGTAATAAAAATTTCCTTTCACGATAAAACAATTCTGTAATTGTATATGGAAGATTTATTGTATCTATTGAACCATCCTGTTTTTTTAGTAAAGGATCCATTATAGCCAAATTCAAGAATCCAAATACTTCCAATTGATGAAGAGGAAGTTCTACAGAAATATCTTCACACATACGAATTATAGAGGGATTCATTAAAATCTCATATGTAGAAGGAAATAAAGATTTAATCAATGGCTCAAAAGAAGAGCTCACATTTGTTAATGTAATTGATGTATCGCGAGGTAGTGCATAAAATGGATTATTAAGGTATTGATTATATTCATCAATAAATATTATACAATCATTATAGGAATCCCACCAACTATCAGATTCTTCTGGATGAGTTGATAATACTACACGAAATGGACCATAATAAAATTTCTCAAATAAACCTGTTCCCCAAACTGGTTTTATATCTTCCCACATATATTGAATGACCCTTTATATTAATTAAAATGGTCAATTATTATTATTAGAAGTGGGGATTATAAGACTTTATATTTATTTAGTAATTCTATATATAACTTCCATTAGAGAAAAATCACCAAAAAAATATTTTACCGCCCGCGGTCAAAACAACAAAGATTTCTATATTTTATATATTAAAAAAAAATACTTATACATAATATATTTTGGTTATTTTAATATATAATTATTGTCTCAGATAAATAAATAAACTATTTATACCCTAATATATGGTTCATTAGTCTTTTATATATATTTATTATATTTATAAAGTATTTTAGAGATTTAGAATATATAATTATTAATAAAATAGTATATTATCTCAAGATGCACCTTAGAAATATCTACAACTATTATTATAATTAATTATAATGATTATAAATATGTATTACTTATTGGCTTATTATATATATTATTAATGAAATTATTATTAACAGCCGCTTATAATTTATTAATTTTTAGTTGCTAATATTATAATACTTTATATTTAATATAATTAATTAGAAATGACTCAAAATGACTTATTTAAATTAGTTGAGATTTATGATAAAAATATATTAACCGATATATTGGAATACAAAAATAATGTAGAATTAAATATTAAAGATGAAGATGGTAGAACTATTTTACATAATGCAGTTTCTAAAAATAATATTGAAGTAAGTTATATTTTACTGATATAACAAGATGTTATTAATATTATTGTTTTTTTAAGTTGGTGAGACTTCTTATTAATAAAGGAGTTGATGTAAATACATGTGATGATAGTGGTTGGACACCTTTACATTCATCATGTTCTAGTGGATTAGAAGAAATCACAATATATTTATTAAGTGGAGGAGCTTATTGTGACATTACTAATAACTCAGGTTGTACCCCATTACATTATGCAGCTTCAAAGGGACATGAAAATATAGTTAATATATTAGTTAATAAATGCCATGATATTATAGATTATAAGGATAACTATAATAGAAGTGCTATCTTTTTATCAGCTTGTTCAGGAAAATTAAATTGTTTTAAATTACTTCTTGAAAAATCAGCAGATATTAATGGGAATGAAAAATATTCAAATGATACAATTCTTCATGTTGCAGTGAATGGACTTCATGAAGATATTGCATATATTATTGCAACAAAACAACCTGAGATAATATTTGCAAAGAATAATGTATGTTTAAACTAAAAAAACTTAAATTCTTCAATTTATTATAAATTTATACTTTTTTTTATAATTTAGGAAGGAAAAATACCTCTTGATTATGCATCTAAGAAGTTTAGTGAAAGATTACTACAATTAATAAATGAACAAGATAAATCTCATCTTTAAAATTGAAGATATGACTATAATAAAAAAAAAAATAAATAAATATTTAATCACCACTGCACTCTAATGAGCAATATGTAAAATGTTGTATAAGCTTTTCTAATGATATATCATTGTCAATAACTGAATGATCTTCATTAAAATAAAAGGAATTACCATATTTTAAATCTTCAGGTTTTAAAATATGAATTTCTCTTTCTAACCACTTACATCTCATAGTATAAATATTATAAAATGTTTCAAAACTATCTCTTATAATATCTGGTACTTCATATTTATTAACCAATTCAACGATGTACTCTATTTTATTCATATCTATATTATCTATAGAAAGAATTATATTAGCTAATAAAATATAAATTAATTTCACACCTGTACTTGATATATTATTTAATATAAATGGTTCCATATAATCCAATATTGATGATTTCAAAGTAATAAATTCGTTGATTTGAGGTCTTTTAATTAATATCTCAGTTATATTAAGTAGTACTTCAATTGTATCATCATGATAAACCTTTGTACTTTTTAAGACGATTTTTGAATGTCTATAATTTAAACAGCTAATAATTATGTCATTTATTAAATTAGAAAATATATTACAATAATGGATATGATTAATATAAATATTGTTTATAATAATATTAATTGCATTACAACAAGAAAGAATAATATTTGGACCAGATATACAATATAATTTAAAATAATTATTACCTTGATTATAAAATATTATTTTATAAAACCATTCATTAATTAAATTTAAAAATTGAAGAGATGTAGATAATTTAATATCTACTATATTAATCATATCTATCATTATTTTAATTGTTAATTCAATTTTCCAACTACTCATTATTGAATAATCTCTTATTGAATTTTGTATTATATTCAATAATTCATTATGTATTAATGAATAAGAATATATTTTTAATCCATCAACTTTAATAAATTCAATAATATAATTGATCATTGTAGGTTCTTGAAAATTATATAAAGAACATAAATGATCAAAATTATTTTGAAAATATACAAGTATCTTTATAAATATATGAAAATATTTTTGTAATATTAAATTATTGTCTCCATGATTATATACTAAATGATCATCTCCATCATATTTATTATATTCATGATTTTCTGAATCAGAAGATGTCTCACAAGGTATAAGAGTTACCTCTCGATCTAAATAATGAATTTCCGACATATTAGCATCATCTTTAATAGGTCCATATTTTATAAATAAATTTGGATTATAATTTATATTTATATCTTTATATTCTTCCATATATATTTTATTTATTAATAATGGTAATAATTGAATTAATTGAACTAATATTAAAGAATTCATTTGAATTTCAAAGTTACTTATAGGCTTATTTAAAATAAAATATAGTAACTTCTGTAAATTATAAATTAAATATATATCAATATATTTTTTAATATTAAAATTTAAACATATTATATTTATAATCTTAAGATATTTTAAAAAATTATCACCATACTTTTTATTCATATATTTAAGTTTCATATAATTCTTAATACAAATATTTATTTTATTTATAATGTTAATGATAAAATTCTCAAAATATTTTATAGTAATATCATCATTTATATTCTTAATAATACTGCAAATAAAATCCAAACCTAGATCTGAAAATATTCTTGATTTATCCATAATTACTTTAAATAATAATTGAAAAATTAAGATTATTCTACTTTCAGCTTTTCTTTTATCATTTTTAATAATTAATTTGGAGTTACTATCTAATCCAAAATTAAATAAAACTTTATAAATATTCTTATTTGTTATAATCTCCTTATAATATAATAAAGTTAAGTATTCAGATTCATTATTATATAAATATTTATTCATAACTTCTTCTTCAAATTCAAAGATAATTTCAGAAATTATATAACGCCATTGACATATATTTATAGATTTTGATATAAAATTAATGAAATATCTTTGCACATATCTTGTTTCATTAGGTAAATATTTCATATATATTTTTAAAGAATCTACTTTAACTGAAAATAATTCAAAAAACTTTGGAAATTCAAGTAAATTATATAATAATATAAATCTTGTACATTTCTCTTTAGTTTCTAATATTGTCCATTTATCTACATCTAATAATGGTTTTATAATACTCCAAAATTTCTCTTCATTATTACTTTCTTGTATAATTTCTCTTATAGATGAATCTGATAATATTATAGATATTAAATCAGCTATACATATATTAGATATTAACTTATCTAAAGCTGGAAATAAAAAGTCATCAATAAATTTTATTTTATCTTCATTAGAAATGGTCTTAATATATTTCTTAAACTCTTCAATTATTTCAGGAGGTAAGTAATAAGATTCACTTAGATTAAATAATAAGAGACCTTTTAAATAATCTAAAAAGTTCAAGGCATCATTTGCATCAAAATGATACTTTTTAGATTTACTAATCATTTTTAATGATATTAAAATATTTCCGAATCTTACCCCTTCCCCCCTTCCTTTCTCACTAATATTTTAATATAAATTTGTTAGATACCTTATCATTAATTAGCGCGATTACATTTTCTGATGTACCAAAAGATATTCTAAAAAGAAAAGACTTTTAATATTCTCTATTATTAATATAGATTCTAAGTTTAGAATTTATTTTTTTTATAAAAGGTAATTATTCCGAAGTAATTTAAATATAATCATATTATTAGTTAATAAATCCAACTCTTTTTTTCTTTGATGCATAAGCACTATTATACTTTATTGTCATTTGACAATATTCCTTACAAATTTGAATATATATTTGAAAATGATCTCTTCTTTTAAATTCCTTGTTTATATTTGGTATTTTATTAAGTTTAATTAATATTATTAAACTTATTTGATCATCTCCAACCCCTATAATTAATAAATAATAAACCACTTGTTCTTGTATCTGTAGTAGATAATACGGGATTTGTCTAAATAAGTGTTGTGGATGTTTTGATAAAAGGAGATAATTAATATTTGTATCTTGCCAAGATAGAATATTAATAAGAACTAATGTTGGAATTACTGTAAATGTAGATAAAAAGCTAGGATCTATTAAATATTTAAGCTTTGAAACTATTGTATTACCAGGGAGTTATAGTTCTCAAAAATATACAAATTATGAAGTTATATATAGTGTTATCAAAAGATATATAAATTAAGGGGATATTATCACTACTATTTGTGGTACACCTGTATGAGTGTTATATTCCAGGAGGCTTTTTAGATAAGGCTAACCAAGTTATTGGATATTCGGGAACACAAAAAGTATTTTTGAAAAATAAACCAATACAAGGTTATAAATTCAGGTTAAAATAGTCACATCATTATTTCCATATCATATAGAATGTCATTTGAATTTGCTTTTAAAGTTTTTGGAGTTATTTTTAGTCAAGAAGTTGCAAGTAGAGTTACAAGTGAAATAGTCTATTCATAATTACATGAATTAAGTGAAAATCTATTGATTTATTAAATATTAACATATATTATTATTATTATAGTGAAATATCACTCATCTTTTTTTTATATTAATCTTATTTTTTAGGTTAAATTCAAATATCTAATAAAAATTTAATGAGATTGGATCATATTTAATGATTGTGTATTGAAAATGTATAGTAATTTGAAATGAGCCTTTATTGGTTTATTTTGTGATTTGATTTAAAATTATTATCGGTCTATAAAATTATTTAAGGATATTACAATAAATCCTTTTTATATAGTAATATTATATGGAAATCTTTTATGTGTTAAATATTAAATTTGTAATATCTTACTTTCCTTTTATAAAATCTATAATATTTGTTTTATTTTGAGATCTAATATTATAATGGCGCAACATTTTAAGATTTTGTTGTATCATAAATATTTGTTATTATTATATTAATAATATACTATTAAGGTTTTATAATAATTATATGATATATTATTAATATATATGAGGGAAGGAGGATTTAACAATGGATTATAATAATACAGATAATAAGAATTCTTTATCTATGAATGTGATAAATATGAAAAATTTTGATTTTTGTTTAATATTTTTAAGTGGTTTATCCTTATGGATTATTATATTATGTCATTTATACCATTATTGGAGAAAATTTGGATCTATTATTATATTCAAAATAGAAGATAATGATTTTAATTATAATTTAATAATAGAATTACTAAGTTTAGTAATACCATTATATTTTTTTACTTCAGGATGGCGTTATGCATTAACAACCAAAAAAGATTTAAAAAGATATTTTATTTTTATTGTACCAATTTTATTATTTATAGCTTTAGAATATAAATATTTTGGAATTATTGATATAGATGATGATATACCAACAAATATTCAATTATTAAGCCATATGAGAATTGGTTTTATTAGTGTTCCATCTTACCATTTTTTTATTACAGTGATTTTCTATTATAATGAAAAGATTTTTAAATTTAGTAAAATTCCTGTAGTTCCATATAATAACTTGGAAATAAATGAAGATAATCTAAATTTACTTGATAGAGAAATATGTATTAATAATTATGAAGAATTAAATGAACCTTATTGTAAATTTATTCATTTTAGTTTTTTTTATGCACTAATATCAATGATTATATATTTTACAATAATAATATGTTTATATTGTTTTATATCAAATAAAATATTAATATTTTTATTATCATTATATTATTGGGTAACTATGATTACATTATTATGTTGTATATATATACTTAAAATTTCACCTCAATATATTTTTATGATTATATATTTTATAACATTCTGTACTTCTATAATGTTACAATCAAAATTTAATTATCTTAAAGAAATATCTGGATTAAGTATTTCTGTAACATTTTTCCATTATATACTTTTTTATATTGGAGGATATTGTTTTGCTTGTTCAAGACTTGGGAATAGATTATCAAATATATATATAAATATTAGTGTTATTATACTCTATATCTATTATATATATTATAAACCTATAGGAATAAAATATTTTTCTTCATTAATATTTCCGTATTATTTTATTCCTACAAGAACAACTTGGATTATAGAAATAATTTGGATAAATATCTTTATTTTAACAATACTTTTATCAAAATTTAATGAAATAATACAGTATAAACAATGGATGGAGATTATTTGGTTTCATCTTCCATATTTAATAATATTGTTTATTTTTCCATTATCTCCATTATTTGAATATATAGGAAATTATGCTATAAACGTTATTTAGAAATATATTACAAATTTATTTTTTTTTTTTTTAATTTTGGAGATATAATAAGAAATCTCTGTTAATAATTTTATTATGAAATAATAAATTCTAAATTAAAATTTCAATACTCAATTTATATTTTTTAAGAAATAAACAAGAAATAATAAAATAAATTTATAAATACTAGTAATATTGGTATACAAAAATTTTATTTAATCAATGAAATATATTATTTTCATCTTCTACATTATATTCTTTTCTCAATTTTCAACACTTTTTGACACTGGACAATTTCATAAACTAACTTTTTATAATTAGGATTTTTTTCTTTTTATTCCTATTATTATATTATCTCTATATTTTTGTTTTAAATTCTAAATTTGATTTGAAATAATATCGATATTATTTTGGAATAATTTCATGTTTTGAGGTGTTGTACTAATATATGTAATTTAATTAACAAGATTATACAATATATACATCTAATTTTTTTTCATATATTTATTAAAATTTTATATATTTTATATCCAAATAAGTAATTCTGTGCATATTTGGACTTAATATTTTTTTTTTTTTTTTTAACTATTAACTATTAAATTTATATTTATATTTAAAAAAAAAAAGAAATTAAATCTATTGATTATTTTCTTTTTCTTATTTCTTTTATACTTTACTTTTTTAAATATACATTTAGAAATTAGGGTTTTATATTTATTAAGTAATACTAAAATATTTTATATTAGAATTAGAATTAAATTTTAATCATTTATATTTTATTAATATTTAATATTATATTTATTTCTTACTTTTATCTTAAAGACTTAAAATATTTTTGGATAAAACTTAACAGTTATGTTAAAATTATAAAATACAATAGTAAAAATATTAATATTTTAATATTTATTTAAAATATTATTAAATAAAATAAATTAACACCACATAAATTAGAATTATTACATAAATTATTATCTAATATAAGCTACTTATGATCATATCTAATTATTATTTATTAAATTTATTAAGAATCTAAAATAATTATAATTATATATATTATTTCCATTTTCCATTTTATCTTTATAAGATTTATTATATGAATAAATTTCATATATAAAATAAATAATATATATAATATTGATTATGATCAAAAATAAAAAGAAATATTTAAAATAAATAATAGATGATAACCAATTTAATAATAATAATAACCAAAACCACAATATTTTATTAC